GTGGATTTGCGCAGAAATACTGTCCGCTTCGGCTGGCCTAGAGCCTACATCCTAGTACTCAGCCTGTCGTTGAGGTATCAAAACAGGAACCGTGATGAAGCGTGATAAAAGGTTTGGCAAGAGTGAGTTACTCGGCGTGAACTGGTACCTCCCGAGGTTTCGGAAAAGCGTCACGACCTTCCCTTTTACTGCGACGTGCTTTGACCGAGATGATGTGACGCGTGAGCACTGCATGAAGTCCCTGCGTGACCAGGGGCTTATCAGTCAACCGGCAATGCGGGTGGTATGGCCATGAAGCATCTGCGATTATTACCTGTAATGCGTCTTCATAAACTTCACGCTTTCATTGAAATATAACACTTGAATACAGTCCCAAATATTCTAAACCTCAGTTCATGTTCGAGACAGAGAGACTAGGGTGAGGTTGAGTAGAAAAGTGGCAGAGTGCCACAGCTGCTCATGAGGCTACGCCTTGGCATCCTTTGCGCGATCACATCGGCTGGGACCTAAATAAAAATGGATACATTAGCGTAGTATTTATCCGGGCCTGGGGTCAGGCCTAGTCTCTAGTGTGGTTTGCGAGTGCTGTTATTTGTCGGATTGGGGCTGTTGGCTGCAGTTGCATCCTTCGATGTCATCGTCGAAATGTCTCGCACGGCCACGAACCGAATGGGTGGCCGGGACGAAGGATTGGCACTGTGACTATTGCCCGGAACCCCCGACTGGTACGATGTATGAGTTCATACAGCGAGCATTACATTAGTATGGGATGTTTTTTCGTGGAATGTTGCCTCAGCAAACCGAGCATTACATATTGCAGCCGAACCCGCCTCCTCAAGCAGTCCTTCGCAATCAAGACTTATTTCTGTGTCCCAAAAGAACACCAACATTCTTCATACCAAAGACAATGTTGCCAGTTCCTCGAGAAATTGTGCATTGTCGTACCGAGCAACAAGTGGCTGGCGCACAAGAAGCAGCCCGAACCGGTGATGCTGAACAGCTGCGTGCTCATGTGGCCGGCATCACGTCGATCAATAGATGCGGAACTTTGCCCGCTCTCGACATGACCACCGACCGCCACGGGAACACTCTCCTCCATCTTGCCGCACTGCACGGCCATATCCAATGCATGCACGAGATCAACGGATACTTTGCCAACTCACACGGCCGACTTAGAGGAAGGAAGCAGCAATTTGCAGTCCAATCCAATAACGAGGGCAACACCTGTCTCCACCTGGCCGCTCGGCACGAAGACCTAAACATTCTCCGCGCCGTGTACCGACTTTTCTGCTTCGACTGGCTACCCGGGGAGGAAGGCGATGGCTTGGAGCCAGCGGAGGATGCCACGGACCGACTTGGCGAAGAGGAATTTGGGCCACCACTTGTATTTCTGAAAACCAAGAACGCAGTCGGGCGTGATGCAGCTGCTGAGGCTCGTGCACTTGGGAGGGAAGCCAATGCTAGGTGGTGCGAGGAGGTCGTCTCCCGCCTTGACCCGGAAGCAAAGCACCAATCTCCCGAGGAACTTAAGAGACTGTCTGCATACGTATTTAAGTAAAGGTGCCACTTAGAGCCATCAGGCCATAAGAATGCGACCATCATGAGAAGAAAATTCTACGTCTTCAAATTAAACACACGACACTCATGGGCTGATTGAATGGACTTGGTCGTCAACCTCAGGGACATATCTAGCATTCTTGCAATATCTGGCGTCATTGTACGGGCGGATCGAGACGTCGTCGTATGCGAAATATGGAGTGAGCCCCCAGTAGAGACCCCACAGAGCCTCCCGCAATCATGTTGGGATGTAGATGCCAGAGGACCGCCAGATTCCATTGCGCATTTCCATACGACGATTCCGCAGATATTAATGAAACCTTTACCACCACATGGCTTGATTTGTGCCTCATGTGAGGACCGTGCTTTATGGCGCTCACCTTTCTCGCCAATATGCTCCTACTCTTAAGCCGTCAAGTGCCAAAGTTTCGGAAAAAGCTCCGCCACCCTCCCCCCCCCGGGCATTTAAGGCGGATGAACACGTCAGCAATATAGTTTAGTAGTGACGGCGCCGCAGGTCCAGTTACGGGGATGAGCTCCACGTCGGTCACGGCAACACTCCCAGGTCATGTTCCAGACGTGATCTATGGGGTAGCCTCGAGATCGGAATCCTCGTCTCCCCAGAAGGCACGCCGAAATGGATTTGCCAACTTCAGATGCAAATTCAGCAAGGTAAGGTCCCCACGTAAGATGGGGATCGACTTGTTTCCATCGGATTCCGACGGTCCGGTGAAGGCTGCGAAAGTCCAACGCTCGCATTCCGCACCTGGAAGCTTCGATCCGGAAACCTGGCCGCCAACAAGAGCAAGTTGCTGCCGTGTCCATTACCTCGGTTGCACAGCCCGATCCGGAGCTGGTGGACACGCCATTCACAGAAACTACGTCCTCTCGAAGCCAAGGCCAGTTGAACGACCGAAGTCAGTCAGCTTTAAATGCTCATAATGCAGACTTAGACGGCTCCATCTGGATCTAGGTCATCCTGGGCGAGTACAGGACAATCAGAGAAAATGGCTCAACGAATGGCTCCCATACTGGCTGGCTCCAGGAGAATATCGTCACAGCAACTGGTCAGGGAGACGACCCGGGGATAACGCACTTGGAGATATTGCAGTCCCAGTACAACCCTGATGGTTGAGGGGACGAACTTTGCGTATGCTAAAGCTTGGATTTCTGACGGTATCCAGCCTGACAGGGAGGCTTCATGGGGTTGTTACTGGCGGTGTGTCTGTATTCGATTGTTCTAGGAAGCAGCTTGGGCTACGCAAGGTTGCGGATCCAGACGTCGCGGCGAACATGATTTGCGTTGGACACTGGCTACATATCTCAGGTATATAACATCTGTATCGGATGCAGTTTAACACCGGCGGTGCGCAGACATTTTAGTTGTCCACGGGTGATATCTGCCCTCAGGTGGATGCCTCTATGTATTCCAAGGAGAGAAATAATCTTCTAATCATTTAGACTTGAGCATGGCATGATGGTAAAGGGGGTGAGATCTCAAAAGAAATCAAAACCAACCAGGCGTTACTTAGTCTTGCGGGCACGGAAACCACAACAACGGTCAGGATGGGTTTCTCCCCGATGTTGCCCATTATTAGCGCAGGGCACTTCAATGCGAGATGCCGAAAGCGTGGCAACGTCAACTGCCCAGGTGGATACCCAGGGGTCAGACCTTCGGTTGCCCCCTACACCTACCGGCGTAGGGGGTGCCAAAACCCCCACACGGCCAAAACCCCCACACACTTAAAAAAAATAAAACACTATACTTAACTTAATCTAACTTACTTAAATAAAAATCGTATAAAGTAAAAAAAGTAGTTTTATAAACCTTATTTTTTTAAGGAATTTAAATAAAATAAATATAAAATTCTAGAGTTAGGGTTTAACTAGATTTTATTACTTTTTTATATTTATATTATTATAAATCTTAATTTTAAATACTTTTATATTAATATAAAAAATATATTATTATAATCCTTAAAATATATAAATTATTTATAAAATAAAATAGAAAACCTAAAGTTAAAGTCTTATATCTTATATAAAATATATAAAATATATAAAATATATAAAATATATAAAATATATAAAATATATAAAATATATAAAATATATAAAATATATAAAATATATAAAATATATAAAATATATAAAATATATAAAATATATAAAATATATAAAATATATAAAATATATAAAATAAATAAAATAATAATTTTATTTATTAATTTATTTAATAATTTTAATATTAATATTTTCTTTTATTATTTTAATTTTAAATAATAATATAATTTATAAAATAAAGTTTTATTATATTTATTTAATGAATACTTTTAATTTTATATATAATAAATATATAATTTATTTATTTATTTATTTATTTATTTATTTATTTATTTATTTATTTATTTATTTATTTATTTATTTATTTATTTATTTATTTATTTATTTATTTATTTATTTATTTATTTATTTATTTATTTATTTAATTATTTATTTATTTATTAAATAAATAAACTATATATTAATTATATATAAAATTAAAATATTTATTAAATAAATATAATAAAACTTTATTTTATAAATTATTTTATAATTTTAATTATAAATAAATATTTTAATTAATTAAATAAAGTTAATTATATATATATATCTATATATATTATACTTTTATAAATATAATATTACTTTTATATTTATATTAATTATTTAAAATTTATTTTATTAATTAAAATTATAAAATATAATAAATTAATATTTTAAAATTAAATAAATTAATAAATATATTTAAAATTAATATAATTATTTATTAAAATTATATTATAAGTTATATAATAAACTTTAATTTAAATAAAGTTTATTTTTAAATATTTATTTTAATTTAATATTAAATAATAAATAAGAAAAATATATAAAATAATATATTATTTTTAAAAAATTTACTATTAAACTTTAACTTTAAATTCTTTTATATTATTTTATAAATATTATTAATATTATAAAGATTATAATAATATATCTTTTATATTAATATAAAATTATTTAAAATTAATTTTTATAATAATATAAATATAAAAAAGTAATAAAATCTAGTTAAACCCTAACCCTAGAATTTTATACTTATTTTATTTAAATTCCTTAAAAAATAAGGTTTATAAAACTATTTTTTTTACTTTATACTATTCTTATTTAAGTAAGTTAGACTAAGTTAAGTATAGTGTTTTATTTTTCTTAAGTGTGTAGGGGTTTTGGCCGTGCGGGGGTTTTGGCACCCACTGCGCCAGCAGTGGGTTCCTCGGAGCGAGAGCGAACCCACGGGTATTCGGAAAAGTTACCTGCAGCCACCGGGATTATCTAGGTACCTAGGTGCTTATTCCCGCCGCCTTCCACGCACCAGGAACCGAAGTCGGCCCGCGCGATCAATTCAACCGCAGACGTGGGATGCAAAAACGATCACGATTCTACGACGGGCTGCTCTTTTGTCGACCAAAGTTAGAAGCAGCCAAAAGGGTAAGAGGGACTGCAGCATTAGAGAGAACGGAGCTGCGAACCCTTCCAGACGGTACACATCAGAAGCGATTCCGAGTTTGTCCGCACTCGAGCTCCTGACCTTGTCCATTGCATTGTACTGTACCATCGCATCGTTCCCGTATACCCCACCTACAATCAAATCTCGCATTGAGAATGGCGGCGAACACTCCAGACAAAGTAGAAGAGTTCACCATCCTAACGCCAAATGCTATGCTTGGCTATGGCTACGACTCAAATCACTTTTGGTATGGCATAACCAAATACAAGCCGGCTGCTATCATAGTCGACAGCGGATCAACGGATGGCGGTCCGTATAAGCTTGGGATGGGCAAGATGACCTGCGGTCGTGGCTCATACGTGCGAGACTTGGAACCGATCCTCGCGGCTTGCTTCCACCACAAAGTGCGGGTCCTCATTGGCTCCGCCGGTGGGGACGGGAGCAACAAGCATGTCGCCGAGATGCTTGAATTGGTGAGGGAAATTACTGAGCGCAACGGCTACTCCTTCAAGGTCGCCACGATCCAGGCCGGCATGGACCGTGAATGGATCAAGTCGAGAATATCACAGAACCGGGTTGGGCCATGCGGGCCCGTGGAGCCGTTGGAGGCGAGCGTGGTTGATGGAGCTGTGGATGTTGTTGCTCAAATGGGTGCAGAGCCGTGAGTGAAGATATGGTTTCTATTCTGTCTTTGCTTCAGATCGTTGATCACTGACTAGCGTTTCCCTGAAGATACTTTGAGGCCCTCAAAGATGACCCAGATATCATCATCGGCGGGAGGTCTTACGACCCGGCACCTTTTGCGGCTTTCTCTATCGCCCGTGGGGTTCTGCCCGACGTGGCCTGGCATATGGGCAAAATCATGGAATGTGGTGGTATTTGTGCTGTGCCGAAGGGCCGGTCAATGATCGCCACAATGCGGAAAGATTCCTTCGATCTCACGCCGCTGTCACCAGCAGAACGGTGCACTCCTTTGTCGGTAGCAGCACATACGCTATATGAGAAGACGAGACCGGACCGTCTCCCAGGCCCTGGCGGTGTTCTAAACCTTAAAGACGCCAAGTATGAGCAGGTAACTCCCAAGACCTGTCGCATTGCGGGTGCCAAATTCGAGAAGACTCCGTATCAGGTGAAACTGGAGGGCGTCACCCACCTCGGGTACCGTACCATATTTATCGGCGGCATCCGGGACCCGATCCTCATCCACCAAATCGATGACTTTCTCGAAAGAGTGCGCGAGTATTCACAGACACTGTTCCCGGAGCTTGATAAAACAGAGCAGTGCCGTTTGCTGTACCACGTCTATGGCAAGAATGGGGTGATGGGTCCACTGGAGCCGTCTCAGGCATCCCCCCACGAGATAGCTGTCCTTGGAGAGGTTATCGCCCCATCATCGGAGCTCTCCCATACTATTGCTAATAACGTGCGGGCTTCTATCCTGCATTTTGCCTACCCCGATCAAGTTGCAACGACGGGCAACTTTGCCAGCCCCCTTTCACCCCACGAACAGGACGCTGGAGCGGTATTCAAGTTCAGCATATATCACCTGGTCGACTTGGAAAAAGGCGAAGAGCTCTCCACCTTCCCAATCCATACATACAATATTGGTCACGGATCTTCGAAGGCAGCACAGGTTCCGTTGCCACCGGCTTTTGACGAAGCATACAAGGCAATCGAGAACGGAGAGCTGACACCGCTAAGCACGAAGACTGTGCCACCGGGAGAGGCTCCACTAAACCAAGTCGCTCGTATCATACGGTCAAAGAATTCAGGACCATTCGAGTTGACTTTTGATGTCATGTTCGATGACGAGGCTGTGTACAAGCGCGTCAAGGGAGCTGACATCTTCACAAATGAGACCATCAAGAGTCTCTACCGTGTGACCGACGACGACATATTAACTAATATGTACTTCGACCCAGCGCTAGCATGGAAATGCACCATCAAGAGGCCATGGGCCCAGGGAAGTGTCGGCGAGCGTGACACCCTCGGCACTCAGCAACATGCACCCCTATTGGGGATCCGTGTTCCGGCAGCGAAACCCGAGACGAATGTCATTCACAACGACCAGAATAAACTGTCGCATGTGTCCAATTGGGCTCCCAAGTCCATATCTCGCGAATCCTCTTCAGCCCAGGATATTGTGACTGAGATCTGGGACGGACTTGGCTTGCCAGCCGAGGCTTTGAATGCCATTTCGCTCGCAAGACACCACAAACCGATGCTGCCATCATCCTTCAAGATTGGCCATCTTGCCCAAAGCTCGATTGCATTGGTTGCTCTTGCAGCTGCCCAGATCCATGCCCTGCGCAATGGAGTTTCCACGTTGCCTAAGGTGGATGTCCCGTTGGAACATGCAACTATCGAATTCAAGTCAGAGAGGTTCTACACCTTTGATGGCAAGCCAGCCCCCTCTCCATGGGGTTCCATCGCAGGTCTACACGAGACATCGGACGGCCACGTTCGCGTGCACGATTCATTTCCTAATCACGCAAACGGAATCCGTGAGCTGGCCGGACTCCCCGTCGGATCGACAAGGGAGCAGCTGTCAAAGAGGCTCGCTGAGTGGTCAGCAGTTGACCTAGAGACCACAGCCACGGTCGAGGGCAAGCTTGCCGTATATGCCTTACGGTCATACAGCCAGTGGGACAAGCTTGCCCAGTCCAAGGCTATCAGCAGCTTCCCCATCGACGTCAACCAGATTTCCTCCGTTGGGCCCAAGGGTCTACCTCCGCGGCTAACAGGCGGCAACAGTAAGGCGCTCCAAGGCCTCCGTGTTGTGGAGATGAGCCGAGTCATTGCCGCCCCCCTGTGCGGTAAGACCCTCGCTGCCTACGGCGCGGAAGTAATATGGGTGACGTCCCCCAACCTACCAGATCTACCTACGATAGATCGCGAATTTGGTCGCGGAAAATACACCGTGCAACTAGACATCCACACTCCCAAAGATAAGGCGCGTCTACTCGAGCTACTCAGAACGGCCGACATCTTCGTCCAGGGATTCCGCCCAGGCAGCCTCGCCGCGTACGGCCTGGGGCCCGACGACCTGCTAAAGCTCAACCCGTCCCTGATCATCGCCAACATGTCGGCGTTCGGGCCCCGCGGCCCGTGGGCAGGCCGCCGCGGCTTCGACTCCCTCGTGCAGACGTGCTCCGGGATGAACGTCTCCGAGGCAGACCACGCGGGCAAGGGCGAGGTCGCGCGGTCGACGCCGTGCCAGGCGCTTGACCATGCTGGTGGCTACTGGTTGGCCACTGGGGTTTTGGCCGCTCTGTACAAGCGAGCGGCGGACGGTGGTGCGTGGAGGGTCGACGTCTCACTTGCTGGGGTGATGAAGTACCTGCGGAGTCTTGGGCAGTACCCCGGTGCGAGTGGCTTCGACGGGGTCAGGGACTACAACAAGCCGGGAGACGTCCCTGAGGAGTTCTTTGAGACGAGAGAGACTGGGTTCGGCGTTATGAAGGCAATCAAGCACAGTGCACGAATTGAGGGCGTCGAGGTCGGCTGGGATGTCATGCCCAAGCCGTTGGGGTCCGATACGCCGGAGTGGCGATGAGGGCTTAATCGTTTTTCATGGGTGATGCTGAAATTTCCTCAGTATCCTAGTTCACAGGTATTTCAGATGGTCCAAGTCGACAGAGGTTTAACGTACCGTTTCCAAGATTGTGAAGCTTCACATACTTTCTATAGTGTAATGGTACCGCGATGCTGGGTACCTTACGAGCTTTACACCAGAGCAAAATAGTACGAATATGTGGTCAGTAGCCTTAGATACCGGATCTTGATGTTCCTGGGGGGCATCTTGATCATGCCTGCAGTCATACTATTCGGCAACTGCACTTTCAACATGCAGGCGCTTGTGAGCGCTGCTTGCATTATTTTGAACATCATTTGCTGGTCCGTAGGTCTCATCCCGAATACTTAAGTACCATAATAATTTGCATCATGCAGAACTGCATATTTGGTGCGACCAGCAAGTAATTCAAACTCGCCCCCTAAGTCATGATAGGAGGTACTCTGGCGGAGGCGAGCTGCGACGGTATTCACAAAGAGTTTTATTGCAAGGTTTCTACCATATTACCTGCCAGTCTTTCCAATGTCCTACCTAATTACGACCCTCGCGGAGTTCCTTTCCCTTCTTACATTTCCACCCACATGCCATCACCCATTTAGTATTTATCCCAATTGTGTCATATCATCTTCCGCTACTCAAAAACAAAAACCCGCAAAATACGAACTGTGCGCCGAAACGAGGCTCCCAAACCAATCTTGAACACATCCAGCACCTTCAAAAAGCAATCATAGGAATACAGATACACCAAACACTCAGTGTTTTAGTTCAGAGATCTTCAATGTCTTTCAAAATTCTCCCAGGGTTGGTCCTGGGAAACATTCCGCGTCGGTAAACTGCGCGACTTCTTGACCCCACGAATTGGCTCCTGCTGTAAGAAGTCCGGGCGGGGATCCGAGAAAGTCTGTCTCAGTAGTTCCGTGTTTACGAGTTTCTCAGTTTCCGACATCAGTGGTCGTTGCTGTGCCTGCTGGGACAGCGTTGGTAGTCGAGAGGATGACGATGAAGGGCCCCCTGCCTGCTTGATTACCGACCCGCTGCTTGTGGAGGCCTTGTGTCCTGAGGCTTTCTTCGGGCTCGGTTTTGGAATCGAGGTCGGGCTCTGTGTCAGCTGAGGCTTCTTCGTATCATCTCGCCGAGTCGAACTGCGCGTTTTCACGTTGGCAGTGCGCACTGGCAGGCGCGTGGTTCCACTGGAGGACTGGCTAGTTTTTGGCCCACTTCCAGATGCAGCATTGTCTTTTGGCGCTGCACCCGGGTGATCTGAAATTAATGATCCCGCTTTCAGGTGCAGCATGAGGCCTATTAGCCGCCGTATGAATGCGTCCATGTGTTGAGCGTTCCCGGTGAGAAATGGTCCGAATCGGTGCATAAACAAGAACTCATCAGCGGCCGGAAGGTTTGGGTCAGGCGTCTTCGCGATGACTCGAGCAGATTTCGTAACCACGCGCGGGGGCCTCTCTACCGTAATCACACCTTTGTCTTTCAGTTGATTGTTATAGCCGGCTGAGCCAGCCCTCTCCTCATCAGTCGCCCCTTGTCTGCTCGCTGCGTTCTGTTGCTGAGCCCCTTTCCCCTTAGCAGATCGCCCATCCGACACTGGTCGAATGTAGTCCTCGTATTTTGAACCGTATTCTCCAATTATAATGAAGATCTCGTGTCGGTCTTGAGAGATGAGAAGACGCCTGCTCGTTATGACGATGGTCAGCCACTTGCCATTGGGAGACGGGAAGATGTGGATAGGGGGCCATGAACCTTTTCCTGCCACTGGCGGAGGATCGAAGTAATCCTGTATCATCTCTGCATTGGTTGATCCAGCATGCCATCTCCGCGCTCTCCTGCCGCTGAATTTGTGTGAGTGCACTGTTTCGTACAAATGGCTTCGCCTCACAGATTGCCAGGGGAAGCTGGTTCATCTGTCCGCTTGAATCCCTTTTGCACAGGTATCCATCTACTTGTGCTTGAAGCAATTGGATGGTCTCCTTGGAATCCCTGCCGAGCCCTGGAGGGTGTATGACAATATGATTGAGCTTTAGGGGGATCCGAGGCGCCAGCCAATCCATGTCTGAGAACAAACCACCCACACTGAAGGTCAATGCCTGCAATAACAGTAGTAGCGCTGTGTTTGGGTACTCTTCATCTGCTGATGGAGTGTTGGCTGTGTTGCCGGTGCCCATCGCGTAATTTGTCACCATTGGCGACCTTCCGAGGGCAGCTTGAGGGGTGCCGAGTGACTTGTTATGCGAACTCGGCTGAGTGCCCTGACACGTCCGCACCTTAGAAGCCCTTGTGATCTGATCGAGTGAGGGCTCTTTAACGTTCTTGGTGTGCTTCATGGTCAGAATCTGATAGTATCTGGCAGCCCTCCAGTCGCGGCAGTCTCGTGCAGGCCGAAGACTTTCTGTCCCGGATGCGATGTCATCCAAATAGGCCTTCCAGTAAGCCTTGCTTGAGTCATAGACCTTGTTTGCGAGGTTGAGATTTTGTGGTGAGACATATCCTCGATATGGGCTGTCCAGGTCGGGGCTGTCTTTTATCATGTGGCCCAGGTCGTTTGTATTTTGGTAATACTTCCATATGACACGGAGGTGAAGGAACTCGCTACCCGAGATTTCGGACCCAGATTTGTATGCAGTATCAGTGACGGAGAGGCCTCGTTCTTGCCCCTCGGATGTGAATTGCGGTGTCTCGTCTTCTATGCTGCGGTCTTCTCTGACCATGGTGGCCCATTGTTCAATCGAGTTTGGTATTGTAACAGCGCTCTGTGAGGAAGACATTGATCTAGTACCGACGAGTTTGAAAGCAGTTTGAGAGATATAATAAAAAGAAATCTATGTTGCAAGCCTCTGGGATTGTCGTGAGTGAACGTACAAGAGAGGACAATTTGAAAATAATAGAAAACACGGGGGTTTATATAATAAGTATTACACATCCTGCGGCTCTGGGGACGAACGAAGCTGTTGCGAAGTTTGAAAGAGTGATATAGAAGCCAACACAGCCAGACCAAAATTTCTCGACATCGATGCTGGTCAGTCCATTCTTCTAACACTACTGAAGCATTTTAATCCCTCGGATTATGCGACCTTGACGAAGACCGCCTACACCATTCGAGGCTGTGCCGCGCGATCTTTTGTCCCTAGATACATAGGTAACGAAACATGACCTGAGATTCGACAGCCTGAAGAGGATGGCGAACAGACTGATGCTTCTCTAGAGCTCAAGTTGATGACTTCGCGTGCGATCACACTGATCCATGTTTTTGTGACAACGACTTTGTAGATCTTTGAATCGTGTGATCAGGAATTCCTTAATCTTTCCGGCTGGCCACTTTGGACTTAGATGGTCGACACTGCTCGGTACTTACTAAAAGTACTTAAGTACTTAAGTAAGTACTTAGTAGGTTTGAGGTCTTGGCGACCCCTTGGAGAGGGGGTCTTTGGCTGTTGGTCAGAAAGGAAACACATCGACAAGGGTGTGGTCGTTGCACAAACGGTGCAGTTTGCTGCCTGGCGCATATTCTGGGCAACCAATCAAATGCCTAGCTCGGCCCGCCGACGTAATCAAAACACGACAGTCGGGCCCGGTCCACGTTGAATTGTCTTCCGCACGCCTTCTCCATCACTGTCCGCATCTCATCACCAACGCCGATTGCAGGACCTCTTGTACCCCACTTTCGACCTCATGGAGCATCCAGCCCCGGCACAAGATGAGCTCGATGAGGAAAGGCAGGAGCAAGACTCTGTGCGGCTCTCAAGACTGTGTCGCGCTCTCAAGGAGCTTCTTGCCGATGTCTCTGGGCCATTGACACCACAGTCCTTCTTGGATGACATATCATCATTCGTCACATACTTGCCTCTCAACATCGATGGAACAAACTCCGGCCCGCTGTATTTCCTTCCTCGGACTGAGCTTGACCAGGAGATCAAAGATGCCCTAGCCTCGACATGGCATAAACTCGACGACGGGAACGCCGACTGGGTTTATCCTGACTGGAGATCTGGGTGGTTCATCAGGGGCTGGGGCTATGTTATTGATGACGATCATGACTGGGCGTATGATGCAGCAAGTAAGGATTGGTATTTCTGCTCGTAAGTGCAAATCAGTCTCCGGCGTGGTGTTGCCGAACTTCAGCTTTTTCCCTTCCTGCTTATACCTAATGGCCTCGGCTATCTACAGTCGCAGAAATGAGGTGTTGGCAGACTATGGTCTTGACCTTCCCTGTTACAGTCACCCTCCCAACAGGGTCCCTAAGTGGGAGTACATGTCAGACTTTGCGTTTCTTCCAAGAAAGGACGACGTACCTCATTTGGCATGCGTTCTGTCAGATACAAATGGTATGCAGCCTTCACAGCCCAACGTCACTCTTGGCGAGATGCATGCCATTCTCGCACTTCTCGCCCATCCATTTGCATGTGGCAAATATAGTGAACATTCAATAAAGCCCGTAAGTTTCATTTGGAGGATGAGGATGCCACGGAGCTTATCAACGTGAACCCCAGTGACACCAATGCTTACCTTTCAACGTTTCAGGCAATGATCTTCGCATTTCAACATGATCGGTACGCCCGAATCACGCAAGCGCACTTTGACTGCGACAGGGAACGTGTGGTCATCCGACAGTCCAGGGCCATTGATCTCCGGGATGAGACTGCGCCAGAGGACGCCTTCATTCTCCTGCGCTGGATGCTGAGCACCCCTACCGGAGACACTAAATACAAGAAAGTGGAAGAGAACCATAAGAGTCCTGAGACAGAGCCTCCTCCTGATGCCGACCAGCCACTGTCAAATGCGATCGAGGTGCGATAGACTTTGTGGAGGTGGTTTCGCTTCTATTCTGTATACGTCCGAGGACATACATGGCGCCTTCATAACGTAGTAAGCGCTCAAGCCCCAGCGCTTGAAAAAGATACGGTATCAATAACTATAGTCAAGATACGATGGGTGCTTGTGGCCTTAGCCATGCGACGCACAGACAAGGCTAAGGGGCACAGTCTTAGGCTAGTCATTAATTTACCACAATTGATGCCATCCACGTAAAACACGTGATAATAAGCAAGATGTCCCACGTTCCCCATGCCGCAAATTGGATGCTCTTTCCGCGGAGGTAGAGGTCTCTTGGAGACTTCAATTCCGCTGCGAGACTTTCACAAGGTCTACATGATGCTATACGGCAAATGCGTTTCAACAACCCGGGGAAAGAAAAGACAGTACAAAGGGTTTCAGAAGAGAAGGAAAGCTGAGAGGTGACGACAGCGTGGTCTGGCATCTGGAATGCGTACAATGGTTAAAACGAAAGTTAGCTCGGCGTTAAAGACGGAAAGCGGATGTTAGTGGACATGTTAGACAGAGGTATGAACGCACACAATCAACACTATCAACATTTCGAGCGACGCCATAGCAGCTCAGCGCTACCATTTGTTCAATGCCATTATTGTATATAGGAAAGCAAATTTGAACATGTCCACATAAGTCGGGCGATTGGTTTAGGGGTATAATGTTCGCTTTGCATTCAGTCAGTCGCATGCGAAAGGTCGCCGGTTCGATTCCGGCATCGTCCATTTCACATTTTGTAAATTTTTGCATTGGTCTCAACTACTTCCACGTGTTTTACATCGATGTTAATTGAGCATTGAAATACAAATCTTAACATGAGCTCACTTAAAGGTATCAATTTCTTCAAGAATCCTTGTTAGCACTGAATTTGTTGGAAGGTTTACTTCCCAATCAATGAATGGCCTGCGCAGGACCTGCATGCCCAGGTGGTGCCCGAGACCCACTTCCAGTAAAAGCTGGACGGCAAAGTCCTCAACAGTGCCCCTCTTACATCAACACTCATCACTCTGGACAAATCAGCAAGATCTTCGAAATATTTGATACAACGGGCTGGCGATACTTACACAGGTGAATTTAGTGATTTGAATCGGGTCCTCACACGCCCCCTCAGCTAATTCCAGATACGGCGTGCCGGAACATGAGTCCTGGCTACTGAAGAACTGGCAACACCCACTGACCATCAGGGCAGCGCCTCTGCCGATCTCGCGCTCACAATTCTCGGTCGCGGTGATGACTCCACCATTGTAAATGTCGTCGTGACACGTCGTGGCGGTGGAAGAGTAGTTGGCCCCACCGGACGGATTGCAGGCGGCTGCGTTCCCGTCGCACTGTCCTTCCCAGACCCTGACCGTAAAGTTGGTGAAGCTGTCATAGACCTGGCAGTTGATGTTTATGCCGGCATCCCACTGCACTATTGTATCGAAGTCAGCTGAGAATGAAGCGAAGACAGGGCACGTGTGAGGAACTTGCGCTTCCAGCCGCTGACGGCCGTGACCAGAAATGCAAGAGCGGTAATCTGTATTGGCTTCATCTCAGCGGTATTTGGAGTGAATCTTGCTCCAGAAGTCATAAAGGGTTTCCAGAACTGGTCGAAAAGAGCTATACAAGACCTGGGGTAGGAGAGGACTTGGCTCGGTTGAGATACCCTCGGGGGGCGTTTGACTATGTATTTGCCCACCCAACGGCATGAAGTGGTTTCGTTTTTAATCCCCATACATGTAAAATGTACGTGGCGCCTTCATACAGTGGTAAACGCTCAATTTGTGGACCCGTGCTCAATGGTCCGAGACATTGCGGTTGTACAAAATGATACGGAGGAAGAAGGAACCACGACATGACGCAATGTGCTTATTGGGACAAGGATTAGCTGCGCCATTTCAACAGAGCTGAGACAGCAACACGCGGATGAAAGCATTTCTCGCAAATTCTGCCCGTTCCCAAAAGGGTTCAGTGTCTACGATACCCTTCGTACCACTTGAGCTAGTAGGCTCCCAAAGGATCACGCGACAATAGAAATCGGCACTATCTAGCGGGTCATACCACAACATGTGGTGTTTTCTTTTGATCTCAAGCTCACAAATGTACGACGTCGGTTTCCAGCGGAGGGAATTTTATACACTTCGACTCTCACTTCGGTATTCGGCGATGTCCTAATCAACCTAAGCACTACTATAGGCTGACACTTAGAGAGAGGTGGATTTATTTTTTAATACCTATATATATATAATATATATAGTGTCTTAATATAGTAGTAAAGACTTAAAACTTAATATTTAAAGAAATATAGTATTAATAATAGTAGAAAGAGAATATAGTATATTTATAGGTATATAATAGAGCCTTATATTATATATACTTAGAGAGAAAGAGTAGAAGTTAGATATAGGGGTACTAAGTTTCTATCACTAGGGACTGTAATACATAAAGTCTACACATGAGGGACTCTGTGCTGTGGTATTTCGTAACCCCAGCTGGTGTCAACTTGTCCCCCTGAGAGGTTTCAGTCCTATAGATATCCCCTCCCATTCAGCTGCTAAGGCTAGAGCCCGGAGTAGGTTCTAGTAGCAATAACGATCACGAGCTAGGATATCCTAATGCTCTATAAGAATGAAGACGGTGATTTCTAGCCTTATAATTAGCTTAGTAACGGTAAGTCTCTTTACACTCTTATTATTTATAAGTATTTTATATTAGTAGAAGAATTAGAAAAAATAGAGTGTAAAGTAATACTTTAACTTTATTTAAATAATTAATTATTAGGTTAATTATATTATATAACTACTTAAAAATAATTATTAAACTTAATTTAAAAAAACTTTTAAATAAATAAAAAGTTTATATTATTATTTATAAATTAAAATTTATAGATTTAATAATTATAAAAATAGTTATAAATATATTTTATAAATATAATAAGTAAGTTTTATTATTATATAAACTTTATTTTTAAGAAGTTAAATATTTATATAACTTTTTTAAATCTTTATATAATTAATTTAATTAATTATATTACTTTTATTTCCTATTATATCCTTATTAATAAAGTAGAATTATATATAAATAACTTATATAATAACTTAAGTTAATAATATTTTAAGTGTAATTTATATTTAACTATATAATTACCTTAATCTTTAGTTATATACTCTTATTATTATTAACACTATTAATGTTTATTAGATGTAGTGTGAAAGTAGAAAAATATTAACTTAGGTATTAAAAATAAGGTTAAATAAAGTTCTCTAATTAATTATAGCTTTAATTAATTAAATTAGTTATATAAGGATTTAAATAAAGTTATATGAATATCTAACTTTATTTTTAAAGTTAAAAATAATAAAAGGATACTTTCTTTATTTAAATAAATTAAATATTATATAAAGACGTTATATATACTTTTAAAAATATATAAAATAAAAATAAAAATACATTTATTTTATATTAATAAAAGTTTATTATATTAAAATAATAATCTATAATAATTATAAAAATAAAGATTATAATTATATTTATAATATATACTTTTATAAAACTTATAAGAATAAAATAATAAAGTTTTAATATAATTAAATATAATATAATTATATATAATTAAATTAAATATAATTAAATTAATATTTTTAAATAAAATTTTATATAACTTTATATATAAACTATTTAATTATAAGTTATTTAATTATAAAATAATAATAATATTTTACTTTATTAAATATTTAATTATATATAAACTTTTATAAATATAATTATATTTAAATATAAGAGTTATTTTAATAATATAATATAAAAATAAAAATAAAAATTAATATAAAAATAGTTAATATATAAGTATAAATACGTTTAATATATTAACTTTAAGTAATATTACTTATTTATTATATAAAATTAAAACTTATATTTATTAACTATATATATTCTTATAACTTTTAATTTCTAATCTTTTATTATTTATTTTAAATTTAATATTTTACTACTTTTTTATTATTATTTTAATTTTTATAATTAAATTTTAACTTATAATAATGAATTAATAATTTTATAAATTTATATATAAAGTTTTAATAAAGATATTTTATATAATAAATAAAAGAACATTAATAAATTTATATAAAAGTATAAAATATATTATATAAATAGTATATATATAATTAGAAATTATTAAATAAAGCTTTAATTAATTATAACTTTAAAGAAATATTATACTTAAATTAATAAACTAATTTATATATAATTTTATTAATATATATGATTTTTAAATATATATTATATTATTATTAATTATATATAAATTTTAAAAATTTTATGAAATATATAATATTTATTTATATAAATTATATATAATAAACTAAAAATTATTTTATAAATATTAATATCTCTTTTAAGTTTAAAGCTAAAGACTTATAATTATAATTTTTAATTAATTTTATTTAATTATTTTATTATATTATAACTTAATCTAATCTTTAACTTTATTTAAACTTCCTTTTAAACTCTATAAAAGCTTTTATCTTTATAAGTATAAACTTTAATTTAAAACCTTTAAGTTTAAATTTAAAATTTTTATAAATTTTAATATATTTTAAATTAAGTTTATAATCCTTTAACTTTTAGAAATATATTAATTATTTTAAATAATAATAACTTTTTTAAAAAAGAGGTTTATTTTATATAATTATAAATTTAATTATTAATCGCTATTTCTTTTTTTATTTATAATAGAGTTATCAAAACTATAAACTTAGATAATAAAGTATAATTACTTTATTTAATTATCTTTTAGTTTAATAGTATAGTAGGCTAAATAACTACTTTTAAATAGTTTTATTTAATAGGTGTTTGCTTATAGAGTAGAGTTAGAACCCTAGTTAAGGGAATAGTAGCTTTTATTTTTATTTATTTTAGTTAACTTAGAAGGCTTAAGTTATATAGCGACCTTATATATAGTGCTTAATAGCATTAAGACTAGCCTATAGTCTATAATAGCTTTAACCTTTAATATATTAACTTAAACTAACTAAATATAACTTAATATATTAGTGTAGGAAGATATCTTTTAATAATAGATAGTATTATAAATAATTATAAAGTTATTATAAAAAGTTCTATATAGTAAACTTAACTAAGTTAATCTTTAAAAGATATATTATATTTCATCCTTTTAAAACTCTAATTATTTACTTTTAACTTAATAGTAGAACTAAAAATATAAATAGTCTATAAATATTAATATTAATAATAATAAATTAAATTATATAAAATTTATAATTTAACTTATAAATAAATATATAAAAATACTTTATTTAAATCTTAATATTTTATTAAATATTATTTATATAAAAAAGTTAATATTTTAAAAAATTATTTAATATTAGAAATTCTTTTTAACGTTTTTTATTAAAAACAATATTTTTATAAACATTAATTATTATAAATAATTATTTATTAATAATATATATTATATAATATATATATAAAATTTATTAATAATATAAAATTAAGATTTAAAATATTTTTATTTATATAAAATTAATTAAATTAATTATAAAATATTTAAAAAAGTAAAGTAAATTCTTTTACTTTTTTACTCTAATTTTATAAATCTTTAATATTTAATTCTAATAGATTTCTAGAAATTAAAATAATTAAAATATTAATAAATATTATAATAATATATATTCTTAAATTAAAACTTATTAATTATTTTATTTAATTAAAATAAAAGTAAAATTTAATATTTTAATTAATTTCTTAATTAACTATTAATTATTTAATTAAAATAGAAAATATTAAGGTTTAATAATTTATTTCTAATTTATAATAATATTTATTAATTATTTAAATTTCTTTTATTATAAATATAATATAATATATTTAATAATAGTAAATATATTATAATAAAACTTTATAATATTAAATAAAGTAAATTAAAAATTAATCTTTTTAATATAAAATATATATATATTAATAGAAATATATATAAATTAATCTACTAACTTATCTACTATTTATTTATTCCTATATAAATATTCATTCTCTAGAAATAAATATTATTATAAAGAAGTTTATATATAGAGAAATATTAATTCTCTATTTATTACTGCTATAGTGCTGCCCTCTCCCAGAGCACTGCTCTCCTATATGAAGACCATTCTGACCAGGGTATTACAGCTTTTCATCTGTCCCCACTTCAGGTAACAACAACTTGTTGCTACGGGGTTGAATGCCAAATGGCACAGCAGAACTGTCTACAACCAACATCATTCTATTTTTGGCCCCTCCTCAGGTGACACGGACAGCATCTGAAGCAGATCCGCCTGTTGCCATAGCAACAGTCATGGTGCCTTAAGTTCTTTCCAGCTTGATGACAATACTAGCTTTACCAAAGCATCACAAGACTTGTCTAACTGCTGCACAATAGAGTTCATCCGATTCCACCCAAGTGCTTGGATTGATCAATTGGTTTGTTATCATCACTGTTTTCTTTGCCCCAGAACCACGTCGTCTCATCACATCGGCTCAGCCTCTATGAGACTGCTTTGCTGGCTCAGAGCCACTGCGTCAACTGTTTCTACCAAATGTATCAACAGTGGGAGCCACTGCCAGATCCAGACAAACCTAACTGCCCGTATATCCCGGGCTTTGAAGTGGATATCAGAAATCACGTCCCTCCACCACCCTTTGGCAACCGTCTCTACCCCTCGGAACCGCGACCGCCCATAAATGACGAGTGGTTACGATCCGCCACGCAGACCAAGCAAGTCTTGACGTATCCGCCGCTCGAGACACCTCCGCCATTACAATATGAAGTTGCGCGGCTGACTGTAACGAAAGCGCTGGCCAGTGGAGATTCTCGAGGCGCCCAGGTACTGGTCTGCTCAATTCAGAAACCAAATGCAGACCCTTTCACAGCTGTTGCCAAGATTTTCGACCCACTTTACTATTCATCTGTAACCGACATTGCCTGCTGCCCTATCGAAGTTGTTGATCTTGCCGATGGACATTACAGTCGAGAAGCAGCTGCATATGAGTTTCTCCAAAAACTTGGCCAAACTGGATCCTTTGCGCCCGAATATTTCGGCTCGTGGACTTTCATCCTTCCTATATCTTACGAGGGGCAAGAACGGCAAAGGCCTATCCGGCTTATTCTCATCGAGCATCTTGCGGGCGCGTGTCTGAGAGATTTGTTTGTTGAAAACAGACCTGCTCAAATTGATGCTTCACACCTTAGTGTGCAGTATCGCTTGCGGGCTCTAGCAATGCTGCTGGATGGCGTTGTTAGGCAGCATCACGCAGGTCTCAGCCAGCGAGACCTTGCACCACGAAACGTGATCATCCTGCCTCATCCTGATGAGTGTTTAGATGATACGAGCCCAAAGCGAGTGGTACTTATAGATTATAACATCTCGCTCATCTGGGAACTATCAACATATGGGAAACTACCTTTTCAGCTTGCCAAGCTGCCCCAGAACCCAATGCAGCAGAACTGGAAAAATCCACTAATTGACTTTGGAGGCTGGACTCCGCCAGAATGGTGCCATAACCTCCGGCTTCATCAAGAGTGGTTGGTTCAGGAATATGGAGGGGAGAAAGCCGTTTTGTACGAGCCTGTCGAGGAACAGCTTGAGTTTTCAGAGTAGCTAGATATTACCTAAAAAATTATCTTGTACTCCCTATGCCTCGCCAATATCGGTCTCGTTGGGCTCCATGGTGACATTGTCCTGCTAGCGACTTCAGAGCGACAGATGTACTAGTAGCCAGCAATGGTGACAGCCGCGGCATAAAGTGCGGTTCCCAGATATACCTCTTGCCAGGCATCTTAAAGTCCTGGGAGAACTATTGTCGGCCGGGAGGTCAAGCTGCTACGCTTCTTACAGTGGGTTCCTGGGGGTTCCGTGAGCTTGTCAGGCCATTGCCTCGGCCACACAAGTACGGAGTACCCCTGCGCAACGACCCCGCTAGTGCTTATTCTCCACAGATTGTTTGGAATTCACCGCTGCAATTGGGGCTTTTCTTCCCAGCCTCTTTGGGCCACGAACCCAACTCATTCCACCTCGCTATTGTCCTTTCCCTTCATACCCAGAGGCGCAGCACGTCTAGGCACTGCCGGCATGGCGACTGCAGCGGATCCACATGCATTCCAGCACAATCCTCTTGAGGATGCAAAAACTCACATCAGACTGCTCAAAGTTGTCAGTGTGGAAGAGACCACCCCTATTCCCGTTCGCTGCGAGCTGACCGCCTTTGCTATTGCGGAGGCGCCGCCGTACCGTGCAATATCGTACACCTGGGGGAATTCGGCCCCTCTCACCTCCATTCACGTCAATGGAAGAAAGATGGACGTGCGCTTGAACTGTGAACACGCGTTGAAGCAAGCGAGCCGGGACGAAGGTGGCGGGCTTGGGGACAGCTTCCTTTGGGTCGATTCAATATGTATCAATCAGACTGATCCCGGCGAGAAGAGTGCGCAAGTGGCTATGATGGGGGACATTTTTAAGAGGGCATCGCGGGTGCTCGCCTGCGTCGGGGCTCATGGCGGGGATAGTGAATTTCTCTACGACTTCATGCTCGGAGAAGGGGCCAGGATCAGATCCCTTCTCCAGGCAGATGCACCTCGATACTCAGGTGGGACATCGGATTTGAACTTCATGCATAATTCGATCTCTTTCCGCAGGGTAAAGGTCGCGTGGAGGATGAAGCATCCGCGATCTGACCTCATTCGACTGTGCGAAGCGGTTACGGACTTCCTTTCTCGCCCCTATTTCCACCGGGTCTGGATCTACCAAGAGCTTTTCCTCGGCAGAGACACGAGCATTTATTGTGGTAATAGCAAGGTACCAATATCCTGGCTCTGGGTGACAAGTTCCATCATTCGCTCCTGGATGTACCATCGCACCCACTATTTTCTGTTCATGGACCTCGGTCTGAGGATCAGGCTGCGCCCGAGTATCAGGGAGGCCATGCCATTGCTACAAGCTGGCTCAAACGAACTCTCTCTTACGCCGTTTATTAAAGCCATGACACAGGTCTTATCACTCTTGTGCGAGGATCCCCGAGACAGAGTTTACGGCATTCTGTCAATAACCACACCGATCGGGGCCGAACACTTCCAGCCAGATTATACGAAAGACAGGATGGATCTGGCGCTGGAGATTCTGGAAAAGGCAGCAACTGAACTCTTCGCCGACGATGGTGACTTCTCGGACTTAATAGACTTTGCACAGACTGTTGGTCTCAACCTCAACTTGAGAGACGATCCATCCGAGAAGCTTGTTTGTGCCATGGAGTCTCGTCGCTCATATACAAAGCTGCAAGAAGCCGAGGCTTCAGAGTTGGACAAAAGATATGAAATAAACGACACCCAATGTTGGCCCTTCCTTGGATGCCGGGTACTTTGTCAACAGGACAAGTGGGTTTTTCAAGATCAGCATCAATGGTTTCAGGGACACGGTTCAAAATCCCAAACCCCGAAGATGACAAGGTGCCGGCCAGGCGACAAGTTTTCCGACTCGTCCGGGGACATACACCTTCCTCCGGAAGCACAGCACGGCGATTGGCTACTGTCCTCTGGTTGGCTGATGAGCTCAACCTATTCCTTTGACAGCAGAGTTGCCTTTCTAGCGAGGCATGGTGAAGATGGAAGATTCGAAATTGTTGGCAAGGTCCTTATCTCAAAATGGTTGTCAACATGGGCCAAAGCCTTTGAGATAGGTGGCTCAAAGTTCCGATTCTACTTCGATCATGAGGACCTCCTGGCGTTGCTTGCTCTCTGCGACTGGCAGAGTCTCGACTGGATTACAAAGTGGCAAGATTCTGAACCATCTGATTCGTTCTTCCAAATGAAAGTCTGTGGGCAAAGGTTTTCTTCTTACGCGATCAGAACAGAGCCTTGACTTGACATCGCGTTGGGCACGGGCTGACGGGCCTGTCTAATCTACGAATATCAACGTTCTGGGGGGTATCAACTGCCGTCGACGCCCGTGCAGTGACAGTGGAGACCTACATTTGGCCTCCCGGAACACGCTTCTATAGCGGCTTACTTGCGAATCACCTGCTGTACTCGCATGAGCAGCACTGGTGCCAGAATAGATTTCGATGAAACCACATGAGACGTATCATGCAATCTCGTAGCATTCCGCAGCCTTAACATTGTCAAATATTATTCCAACTAGAAGGCGAATCATGAAGCGGGTCCTACAGTTTCTGTGAAACAATGACAAAATTCGGGGGCTGCTCCAGCAACTCATCCCACCAGCTCTCCACGTCATTCATCGTCTCTCCACGGCCAATCCCTTCTGGGACATGCTCCGTCGTAGGTGCGTAGTAAGTCATGTCACCCATTCCAGACTCCTTCGCCTGTGACTCCAGAATCTCTTTCTTGAATCTAAATCCATCGATCTCAATCTTCGGTTGCGTCTGAAACTCGATGTGCACGCTCCACCCCAGCCCGCTCTCAAGCTCCGTAACGTCGCTCTCCCTGGCGCCGTACTTGAAGCCCTGCACCCCAGCCGGGTGCACGATGTCGTGGTTCTCAATGATACCCACGAATCTGCCCCCAGGCCTGAGGTACGTCGCAATGTTGGTCCACATCCCGCCCAACTCCGCGGCCGAGGGGCACTGGTTGAGCAGCCAGATGCCGAGCACGACGTCGAAGCTCCCCGGCTCCAGGCCCAGCTGCCCCAGAGGCCTGCTGCAGTCCGCCGTGTGGAACTCGGCACCGGGGGTGGTCGCCTTGGCTATCTCAAGCATCTGCGGCGAGATGTCGACGCCTACGAGCCTCGAGGCACCGGCGGCGCGGACGAGGCGCAGACCGATCCCTGTGCCGGTTGCGAGGTCTAGGACAGACGCGCCGGTCAGAGGGCCGATGGAGCTGATTATGGATTCCAGGAGCGGGAGGAGGGGGGCTACGGCGGGGACCGTCCAGACGAGGTCGTAGGATGTCGCGAAGTCATCGTATTGGGGCTGTGCGTGTTGTATGCCTGCCATGGCGGAACTTGTTTGTGATGATTCTGACGATGTGGCAGTGATTGGCTGCGTTCGGACCTTCAGATTACTTTCATTTGCTGTGAAAATGGTGTTCTAGGCTCCCTTAGAAGAATGAGGGGCTATTTTGGTGGCTAGATTGCTGCAAATGCGACGATACATGGCTGAACCATATGTCTGGGCATGATGTGGCTAATAAGCGCTTGCGCCTTATCTTTCCCGATCGGTGTTAGCAGGCGCAAGACAGGACGTAGCACTATTGAAATATCATTCAATTCTGTAAACCAGGCGACATTGTGCACATATGGCACGGAGCTCGTGAACGTAAGGATTTTATTTACCCCTCAACCTTAGTCTCATTGCATCACACTGTTGAACTTCCTGTCAGATATGGTAATTGTCGTAGGAATAGACTATTTGTATTCTTCGATTTCCTTCGCTGTGCTAGAACAGCAACGGATATTTCATGAGGATGCTTAGAACGCAGAAAAGAATTCCTAAAGAGGTACCTAGATGCAATGAGTTTTGCTACACATATGGTTTCGTTTTTAATCCCCATACATATAAAATATATATAGCACCTTTATATAGTGGTAAACACTTAAGACCTAGCGTTTGAAGGAATATAGTGCTAATAATAGTGGAAAGAGAATACAGTATGTCTGTGGGCACGTGGCTGAGCCTCGTACCGCACAGACAAGGCTGGAAGGCATCGCTCCCGACGGCGCCGCACTGTTTTGCTACACAAAGCTTTTGACGGTGACATTCCAGCCCATTGCTGCGGGCCGGTGTTCTCGTAGAGGCTAACCATTTCGCACTATAAGTCTTAGTATTTGGCCGTATGTGCCTAGGTATTCGCGCCAGTGCTACTTTTTGAAGACATTGGAATAGTCGGTACTTTTTTGACCAAAATTGCTTTGCCATTCCACCCTTGCACTATTAGCTTTCAACTTAGGCCCCCTGCATTACTATTGTTCAAGAGACTAGAGGGCTTATTCAGTGGGCTAGCGGCTGACTTGTCCAGGCGCTTCGCATATTTTCCAATTTTGTTGTTAAGCAATATTGCCCAATTTTGCTCACATGCACACTCTAGAGGTATTTAACAGCATCGGCTCTGCTATTGGGTAAACCAGAATTGTTTCCCTTTACCAAGTACCAAATCTCTGGTTGACACGCACACCGCAGAACGAAGGCCAGAAAACCCCAAGAACAAGATCAGATAAATAAAACACAGCAATCTTCCACAATGTCTATCCAACAGCCAGACTACTATACCGCTCTAGGTATCAACCCCTACTCAACTTTTAGAGAAATCCAAAAGGCCTTCTTTAGGCTATCTCTTTCCTATCACCCCGACAAGCATACCAAATACAAACCCGAAGAAGCTCATAAACAATTCGTCATTATATCTGCTGCAAATAACGTACTCAAAGACCCCGTATCCAGGCGCAAGTACGAAGACGCCCAGAAGTGGGCGTACAACGAAGACGACGATGGTGAAGATACGTCGGAGCATCCGGCATCCCATCATCCTCTGTTTCACGGAACTCGGGCTGAGCGAGAAGCTCGCCGACGTGAACGCCAGCAGACCCGGTATGCCAACCGGGCATCATCGAAGAATTGGGGAACTGAAGAGGGTCCATCTGATTGGGGTCATGGCTTCTATCCCGAGTCGGATGACACAGACGAGGCCAAGCCGTCTCAGCCGCAGGAGGACCTGTCTGCCGAGGAGGGGGCGTGGCTGAGGTACCGTAACGCCAAGAATAATCTCCAAGGCCTCTCTTTCAGCCTCAAAGACGCTCTATACAGCGTCCTGGAGCTGATCCGATCTCTCCGGGCTGATGATAATATCAAAAAGCGGGCAGCCAAGGCCAGAGTCCAACTACGTTCAATCGAGGTCTTTTTCCATAGCGTTCAGGAGGAGATGGACGCTGTACTCTGGCCAACCTGCTTGACGGAAACGACTGTCCTTCGCATCAACAAGATGATGAATCTGGAAAGCAATATCCAAGAATTTCTCATCATGCTCAATTCTCGGCCTGGGGACACTTCCCCGGAGCAAGAAGCTACAGAGACTAGCAAGCTTTTGCTGAAGGCTATGGGCAAGTGGGCCCAGCTCTGTCGTTGAGCTGTTGTTAGCCAGCAATAGGGAAAACGAATGCGGGGAAGTGCGCTACTGTTCACGACTGGTGTTTTGTCTTGGTTTCCCTAGATTCGAAATTTGGATATATTGGAAAGTGGCAGGATCGTTGAGGTTGAAGCTTTAATTACCAATAAATTGACCTTGATTCTCATTATCGTGTGATCTTTTCGCTACTCAACATCCAAGATGGTCCATGAACGCATCCATTTGCCTAGTGAAACTCTGCTGCCTCTCAAGTGTAATAAAAAAATGCAACAACTTGAAATCTCTTTGGAGTCTCGCATAAGCAGTCCAGGTGCGGGCTTAATCTTCGACTTTCGAGAATAAGTAATCCTACCCAGTAATAACTACATCTGATGACATTTACATCGACATTGCTACATACTTAGTGGCTGGACATCCTCTGTGCCCAAGATATGCAATCCTTAGTCGTCGGCAACGCTCTACTTGTCCTTTATTCTACCATATTCTGCTCGAGCCCTTTAACATTGGTCCTTTAGAAGATACAAAATCTATGCCCACTTTCGTGAAGTAATTTGGGGTACGCGGCTTAGAAAGGCAAGTCACCCTATGATCCGCGGGGTGGGCATCTGAACCCAGCTGTAAGTCGAGAGGGGGCCGCGTCCGCATTAGCCCTCCACCAAACGCTTGTGCTCATTCTTATATGACTGCCCATTATCGCTCCATTGTATCTCTCTACCACCAGAGCTGCGAGAAAACTCTTGATGCCCCGCTTCGATAGCCATGGCGCTACGAAACACCCAGGTGCCACCCATATAGTTGCAACCATGCTGCAGGCAAGGGCAATCTGCCGTGCCACTTTATTTGGACGCTGCACTCGGAACCAGGTGTGAAGCATGGCTCCCCGCCAGACCCGATACCAGCTCAATATGGGTGCCAGCATTCCTGCCATCGCCTTTGGCACTTTCCAATACCCAGAAGGTCAGGAGGACGCGGTGGACAGGGCTCTGTAGACGGGCACGCGTCTGGTTGATACGGCACGCGTCTACGTCGAGAAGCGGATCGGCATCAAGAGGAGCGACATCTCCTGCGAGGAGATATTTCCTGGCACGAAGTTATGGTGCATCAGATACCATCCCGACGATGTTGAAAGTACCCTTGATGAGTCCCTCGCAGAAGTCGATACTCCATACGTCGATCTGTTCCTGATGCATCACCACTGCACTTTTGCCAGGGAGGAAGATCGGTTCCCTCGAGACAGCAATCGGAAGATGATTCTGAGGAAGACAAACTCTGTCGACACTTGGCGCGCCATGGAGAAGCTTGCCAAGACAGGAAAAGCAAAGGCCATTGGGGTATCCAACTTTAGTATGGTGGAAGGAAACCTTAATAGAGCTTACTGCAACTGTGAGCCCTCTTATCAAGAAATCAAAACTTGGTGTGGCGACTTGCAAAGGGTCACCAGCTCACCATGCCTGTCAACATGGAAGTGGACCCCTACTTACAGCAATCCACTATGAAGTTTGCAAGGGACAAGCTACGAACCCAGGCAATGAGAAGTGGGGGAACATGGTGACTTTTCTGTCTCTTTCCAGCATGGACCAACCGGGAAACATCCCCAGCCCCCGTTATTGGCTCCTCTGGCCAGGGGTGATGATCAGGATTTGCTACTCGTTTGCAGAGATGCTTGGTCATCGGAGGGTGATTTGGATTGGTGTACGATACATTTGGGTAAATGTGAAGGTATTTGGTGAGATAGTTCAGAGTTGTTGGGACACATATTCGAGTGTGCATCACCGGCCGGCGAAAGTATCCACAGTCCGGACTATTCGGAGAAAGAAAAATTACTCGGATCTCGGCGAGCAGACAAGCACATGGATTTGGGGCACAGGATGCCTCTTTATTCTACGTGAGCTGCGTAATTTTTGAACTTCAATTCGAAATCAGCTGGGGTGAGTGACGTGAGAAGGTCCCACCTCCAAGAAAGTGACTAATTCATCATAGGCCTCGCGATTTTGTCGTCCTTCTTAGGAATACTGTTCTCCTGTCTATGCAGTGCATCCATAGCAACGGCATGACTGATATCAAACCCACGACTGCTGCCGCCAAAGCTTCTCAACTGGTCTCTGGCGGCGTCACCTCAGCCCAGGGACTTCCAGCCAACAGCGCCTTGTCTGCTAATATCATCACCGGAGCTATGGCTGCAGGCGCTTTATACATTTCCAATACGATCATCAGTAACTATAGTATAGGGTTCCTGCTTAAAACTCCACTCAAGCCTCAGTTCTAGGCTTAGGCGGCTAGCGCTATCGTGTTTGTTTTCCTGGTCCCATGTATATTCATGCTCTTTATGTAAGCCTACCTAGGTAGGTAACTAGAAATGTACCCACCTAAATAAGCACTGGATGATAGTGCGGGTCTGGAAAACGCTTGTTGATGGATGAGTCTGGAACAATTCACTCTCAACTGGCACACACTTGAATCGGACATGCCTGTCGAACAGATTTGGACAGTAAGGCAAAACCGCAACGCAAACGGTGATTTTATCACGTGGATCCTGTACTTTGGATCAAGAACGCCAATAGTTCTCCCGCCGATATCATGACACGTACCCTGCGTTCAAAATTCCCAGGCTAAATCCCAACCGTCACTCCAAAAGCCCTTTTAAATACATCAGAAGCTATTCCTCCTTTTGGGCGGCTCCGAAACAAACACGTGCCGCCCGTCCCGAAGTGCGGCACGCAAATCAGCTTCCAACTGCCGCAGCGCCCCGCGTACATCAGATCCGGCGTACGAGAACTCCGCCTGGCCGTTATATGAGTTGTCCCCGACGATCTTGAGCACCTTGAAGTGCACCGAGTCCGGCGTCGCGTCGATCTCATCGGCAAACTTGTTCAGGTGCCAGGCGCCGAGGCCGCCGAAGCCGACGAAGGTGACCTCGCGCAGCTCGTCGATCGGCATGGCCGCGATCCTGCCCACGAGCTCGATCCACCGGTTCACCTCGGCCACGACCCGGTCGACCTCGTCTTCGCTGTCGTCCATCCTTACGGCCCGGTAGCGCAGGTTCAGGTCGCATAGGTTTAGCCTTACCAGGGTGGGGGACACCTTGTTGAGGAGGCGCGTCAGGTTTGCGGGGAGGATGTCTTGGCTGTCGAGGTACAGTTCCTGTAGGTGTGGGAGGGAGATTGGAGGCGGCGATAGCAGGGTGTTTGCGGCGTTTGTGGGTGTCCTTTCCCACTGCGGCTGCCGGTTCTCTTCATCATCGCTTTCGCTTTCGTCGTCGTTGGGGAGCGCGTTGCCCTTCCCTTTGGGGCTCCAACCCAGCCACTGCCAGAACTGACCCCTTTCCTCCGGGCTGTCAAACGACGTCATATGACCCGTGAGATGGGCGATCCGCAGTCTCTTTAGTTTCTTAGGCAGGCCAAGGAATCGGCGGAGGTGGCACGTCCTGCATGTTGCAGGGTCACTGGGGTTGGGATAGAGAATCCTGTTGTTCACCTCGAGAATAAGCTCCTCCAGTTCCTCGATGACCGGCACCAAGGTCTGTTCCAGGAATGTGGGGATAACAAAGGCGTCGTCATCCACGCCCCAGGTGTGACCCCCCATGTAAGACCCGTTCGCGCTCCCTGTTACGCTGAACCCCTTGGGGCGAGCACCCGACTTTGCCACGGCGCCCAGCAGCGTCTGCACGGCCGTGACACATTGTGATTCCGACGATGGCTGGCGTGGCGGCCTTCCGTCCTCGTATCCTAGGCTCCTAAGGACGGTTTTCAGGCCGTAGCCTCCATCTATGATCGACTGGTGCCCGTCTTCAGGATCCCAGATCTCGCTGTCGTCAAAAGACTCGACGCCGACGGACTTGAGGTTGGGAAGATTCCGAAATGCGTCGATGAGTGTGTCGCGGTCCCACCCGCAGGCTAGCATGCTCGACTGTTCGGCGTATGCCCTGTAGCACGCCTCCATGGAGACATTCGGGGCGTCCGTCGGCGGGCTGGACTCTAACAGCTCAGTGCTGAGGATGACGGTTTCCAGAAAGGGGCCCAGGCGGGACTCGGAAATGGAGAGTAATGTTCTGAGGCTCAGGTGGCCGCGGTAGAATTTCCGGCGGTCGAAGAACTTCTTCGCGAAGTATGGGAATGTGTAATCGTGCACCTGTCTGTTGGCCAGGCGGAGGTTGCCGTAGTCCTCGATGTCCAGGTCATCGGCGATGCACGCCAGGATCTCCGCCGGGACCTCGAGTAGCTTGGACGTCATGTTTGCCGACTTCGTATGGGCTTTTGGGGACTTCAACTTACGCCGGAGCTTCTTGCACCACTTCATTTGATGGAGGGCCTCTTGATATATCCAGCGAGGGGTCGCAGGATCCTGGTTAAGAGGCCCTGCGGGTCTGGCTGAGGTGACGTTGTCCGAAAAATCGGTCGGGGTCTGGCCGGGGGGTGGCTCGCTGATGGTTCTCATAGGACAAAGCCACATTCTGCCTGCATGAGGCAGCCCGCCAACCGACCGCAGCCCGCCTCGGTGCCTATAAGCCGCAGGGCGATGCGCCCACCTGCAGATCTGACCAACATCCAACGTCCAGTCAGCGAAAGAGGTGTGAGAACCCTGTGACTCGGCCACAATGAACGGATGTTCCGATGGCGCTGAGGCCAACAATTCATGCGATAAGCTTTCTATTTTCTTCGAGGCACACCACAGCGTCAACGTTATGTGTGATACACAAAACCCAGTTGGCCATCCGTAATCCGGCCAGAGCTTAGGCACGGGGGCCGTTGTAATGGCCGGCCCCGCTTTCGCCAAGGTGCTGGCGGTGGAATAACTGGCCACGGCCGTCAACATGTGCCAGGATAGCCTTCTGAGTTCTGACTAAGGACAGCTTCCCACTAGCTCACCTACAACAGTCACCGGTGGTACATCTTCTGATGACATCCTCTCCTGTGGCATACCAGTCTGTCCTGCGGGAAACAGTACCACGAGGCATCGTCTTTTCACCGACCAGATGGTTCCAACCCCACGATCATTCGCCCGAAGCATTCCGGGTCGTTCAACCTGTTGTAGTGGAGGTCGTCCACATGAGGGCTGTCCTGCTTGACTGGTTTGGCTTCTATTCCGCATACGTCCGTGGACATACACGACGCGTTCATACAGTGGTAAACGCTCAAGACCCAGCGTTTACAAATGATACAATGCAATGCCAATGACGCTCCGTCACTCGTGCAGAGCAGCCAATCGATCCGCAACATTGTTGTTCGGTAATGGACATCGTTGGCCTTTGCACGACAGGCACTTGCAGGCATACCTAGGTATGCTTGATATTTCGACCAACCTCGGGATGGGGCTAGCCTCAGCAAAAAGTTCCACCTTAATAGAGGAACCTAATGGGTGTGAATACTAATGGTCCATATTCTTCAAATTCAACTCGCTCAATAATTTATTTTACTTTCGAGGTATGCTCATCCATTTGTCGCTTGTTCTGCCACCCCGTAATTTTTCAGTGCTTTCCTTTGATTGCGTGCTTGGAGTATTTGGAGCATACGCAAGATTAAGCATCAAAAGGGCGGATGATGACCTTCTCCCCCGAGACTCCCTTCTTGTTCTTGGAGAGCGCCTCCTCGATGTTGGCCAAGCCACCGCTGATGACAAGAGGCCTATTTGGCACAAAACGGCCCTTAGCAATGTACCCATCCTCACCGCCGAGGTGCTTGCACATCGGCTCAGACAGATGGCGCAGGTGGGGCGCGCTCCCGAGGCCCATGACCTGCTTGACGGCGGCCTTTGGCTCCAGCGACTGGCCCAGCTCCGAAGCCTCGGCGTTGACGCCCTGCACGGTGACGACGTGGCTGCCCTCCGTCTTGGTGGCGGCGAGGATCTTGACGCCCAGGACCTGGGTGTCCTTCTCGGAGATGGCGTCGAACACGAACGCGAGGGGCACGCCGCCCAGCGCGGCCTTGAAGTCCTCCTCGCTGTTCTGGGCCGAGCGGTCGAGCACGACGTCGGCGCCCAGGGCCTTGACGTGGTCCAGGTGCCTGGCGCTGGCGTTGGTCACGACCCTGTCGAACCCGGAGATCTTGGCCAGCTGCACCGCGTACTGGCCGACCGAGGAGCTGCCGCCCAGGATCACGACGCCCTTGCCCTTGCCGGCCTGCTCGCCGCCCTCGGCCCAGGGGGCGGTCAGCCCGTGGCCGCTCTTGTCGTAGAAGCCGGTCACGACGGCGACGGTGGCGAGCGAGACGCCGCCGGCCTGGTCGTCCGAGATGCTCTTGGGCGTCTTGGCGACGAGCTCGGCGGGCATCTTGACGTACTGCTGGAAGGTGGCGGAGTCATATCTGCCGATAATACCCTGGAAGAAGACGCGGTCGCCCTCCTTGAAGTCGGTCACGCCCGAGCCCACGGCGGCGATCTCGCCTGCTGCGTCGCTGCCCAGGACGGCGGGGTAGTCCTTGATGAAGACCTTATAGTCGCGGATCTTCCAGTCAACGGGGTTGATCGCGGTGGCTGTGACCTTGATGGCGACCTCGCCGGCCTCCAGTGCGGGCAGGGAGCGGTCCGCGACGACGTGCTGGGCGCCGGGCTCCGGCACGACGGCAGCTTTGAAGGTTTCAGGGACACCCATTGTGTTGAGTAGTGAGTAAAGACTTGTCAGAGGAGGTAAATTATCTAGAATCTATGGTGTGGTGGTTTGGCTGTCATGTATAAGGGGGGCGCTATAGTAGGTGGCTGAACTAGCCGGTGAAGGTTTTATACTCGACTCATGCGACGATTTGTCATCTTGGAGACCTTACAAATTAGAGTTTCTGCCATTGCCCACTAAGAACATGACGTCAGAGAGGCCTGACGATGTGCAATCCCGAGGTCTGCGCTGCCAGCGTGTTGTCGCACAACTGCACGACTATCGTGAGGCTCAATGTTTTGCACGTGCGTAAGCCTTGGGTGAGTTTTGGGCTGCATTGAACCAGAAGCCAACCGCCAAAATAAGCGTATGACAGACACGGCCTTATCCGGCCACTAAAACAGCCGTTGACTGAGCGCTAAGCTTCTGACCAACGCCCACTCCTGCACAGCACGAAAAACACCGGAAACCTCCGGACTGAGACCGGCCATGAAGGTGTGAAAGCCCACAGCCATGATCCTTCTAGAACGCCCGCATAAGTTTGACTAGACCATGTTGGGTAAAGCAAATAGCAAGCATGGATCATATCCAGGTGGGTTCTCTGCTCCACTGTTGACGTTCCAAGGTTGTTGCCCTTCTCAGCATCAAAGTGTAGAGCAGCCTCTCACACCCAATTCAAATGGAATTCGCAGCGAGTGTGGCGATTATGCTTGGAATAACCCAGTTGGAGGCATTGCACGGAGTAAAAAAACACCGAAATAGAAACAAGCGTCTTGGCTGGCTGCCGGCCCGTTACTATTAGTAGCTGGCCACTGACACTTCAGGTTTAGACCACAGCGGGAGATCAGAATTTTCAGCTGACACCCGCAGAGTCCTTCATCATATCATGCTACAGAAGACAAGGGTCAGCGGAGATACCGAGCAGAACGCAAGATTGGGTCAACTGTAATAGGAGCACTCCTCATGGTAACAACTGTGTGCGAACAAAGTGACGATGTGCAGGCGACGGGCGAATACGCTTGAATCGGCCCGACCAATACAGTAACAGGCCCAGATATTCCATCTTAGGTATGCCATGCAGCAGGGCCCGGCAGTGTCAAGAAGTGCCCTCAAAGCCGAGCTTTTCTCTCTCCCTGCACTCACTAGTGATCGGAGAAGACGCCATACGTACTGTTGGTCTTTTCCGGTACACCCTCTTCAGCGACTTTGTTCTCTAGCTGACACAAATATACAGACGAGAAGATCATAACGCCAATGTGTTCAGCAACTCGAGCGCTCAAAGAAGTTACATCGGCCTTGTCCTGCAGAGACGGATCCGCTAATTAATGCCTCGTGTAGCTCAGTTATACCCATTGCAGCACATCATCGTCAGAAGCCAGGTGTCGCACTGGTCCACAAGACAGACGCCCTGAAAGATCTCCATGACATCGGGACTCTTTTGCAGCAATATTAAATAATAGCTCATCCCGGCTGCCGAGGCACAGCTAGCTGCCAACATGATGCTTTACATGTATGATATGAGTTAGAGATCTGTCATGGAAGCAGTGGACCTCATTGAAGAGCTTGCTAGGTTTTTGATGAACAAGGACCTGTTCACTTATGATCACACCTGACCGGTGCAAAGGCCATTTTGAGCAATATGAGCCGGGTTCAGTGAGAGTATCCGGTGTCCCAACTTCTGATTGCGTGGCTGCTGTTTATTACGTTCTTTCGCAAACCTTTCTTGAGCTACACACGATGAACCGGATGTAAGAGGGCGCTCAAACCCGTCGACGACTTTCGTGAGTGGGGCACAATCGCACATGAGAGCCCAAGTTGCTAACATATAGAAAACATCGTAAGCCTTCTTAGCTGCTCCGCAAATGTTTTGAGAAGACCTGTTCCATAAAGAAAATACGTACAAAGATTCCTGACGCAAATCCTGAGGAAAAAATACTCGATGAGAATTTCGAACAACGCAGCAATGACTTGCCTTGGAACAGAAGTTGCAAAATGCACAGCAGCAGCTGAGGCCTGATGAAGTCGCTATGTCTCCAGGCGAGCAAGTTAGAACCGTACAAGTGAATGAAGAACCGTATCGTTTGAAGAGCCTTTTGAATTTCCAGCGGGCTGTCCCGGATACCCGTGATGAGGTGCGCAGGGCTACCTGCGCTAGGCATTTGCGACGTTGCATGAGGTCCCACTTGAGTGGCTACGGGGCCATGGCCGGTCTTCATGGTCACTTGTGAGTCACTTGCGGATGAGGAGCGCCTTTATATCCTCGCAACTCTCGACCGGATGGAAAAGGTCCGAAATGCGGGCAATTTCCGCGTCATGCCCACCATTTTGGAGACAACTTGGGAGCAGCGGGATCTGCAGAAAACTTCCGACAGGATCGAGAAGTGGCAGTGGTGGGCTTGCACCGAGAGCGGCATTGTGGTCCCTTGGCTTGTGTGACGCGAAGACGCGTGAGTGAGTCACTGGAGAAGCACATGATAGTCGATCGCGCCCTCTTGTCGTTGACCGAGGCCGTGTGCGGCCAAGAAACCGGCACCGGCCGGTGTTGCGGGTGAATGGGAACACAGATGACAGATCCAACCTCTGCCAACGATGAATACCGGCATTGTCCTCCATAAAAAATGTGGAGGTACTGCAGTATAAGTAGTGCCCAAGGGCGCCGAGCATGATCATGGCCCCAGATTATCACTCTTCTCATTCAAACCAAAGTCAGCCGTCGCCTCAACAGTTTGGAATATCCAAGGCCGCACAATGTCTTCTCCCTCACCCATCAATGATGTCCCACAGCACATCCAGAAGCTTCTCTCAGAGCTTCACGCCAAGTCCATAGAGCAGGAGGCCGCCATCTCCAAGACCGGAAAGGTGTTCTCCTCCGATGTCCTCGACTACCTGGAGGACCAGCACCAATCCGTGGCCGACCCGGCGGGCGAGTTCGACAAGCTCATGCTGGATAAATTCATCGCCCTTGACGAGGACAAGTGTCACTTCGTGTACCAGCTCATCACCGCCATGGGCGCCACCAACGTCGTCGAGGCCGGCACGAGCTTCGGCGTCAGCACTATCTACCTTGCCCTCGCCGTTGGAAAGGCCAAGGCCGTCAGCGGTAAGTCTGGAGTCGTCATTGCGACCGAGAAGGAGGCCCAGAAGGCGGAGGTTGCGCGCGGGTACTGGAGGCAGTGTGGGGCGGCTGTCGAGGGCGAGATTGATTTGCGTGTTGGGGACCTGCTCGAGACGCTGAAGGAGGGACTGCCGCAGGTTGACCTGCTGCTGCTCGACAGTGAGTGTTGCATTTCCTATCGAGATTCTAGACTGGTGCCCATTCTCTAATATGTGAACAAGTCTGGGCTCCCCTGGCCTTGCCGACACTCAAAGTTGTTCTTCCTCGTCTGCGGAAGGGCGCGGTCATCCTGGCCGACAACACCATATCTGGTGCCGAGGGGTACAAGGACCTGCTCGCCTTCTTGAGGGAACCACAGAACGGATTTCAGAACATGACTCTCCCGTTCACGAATGGACTGGAGATGTGCGTTTACTTGCCAGGATCAGGATAAACACAAGTCACATCTTACTCTATAAGATAACATCCCTAGCCTACATTCTAACAGTCCCCTAAATCCAACTATCTCCTCCTTTAACTACCTCTTTATCTTAACTCTATCTATATTACTATTATAATTTTATCCTCTTTAATAATTAAAGTCTTTAATTAATTATTTTTATTACTTTTTTTAAATATTTATTTAATTTTAATTTAAATTTATTAAATTATTTTAATATTTATAAATAATTTATTTAAATTAAATAAAACCTTTTTTAAATTATTTCATTAATTTTTAATTAATATTTTAGTTTTTAAATTTCTTTTATAAATATTATTAACCTTTTTAAGTATAAGGTTAAAAACTTATAATTATAATTTTCTAATTAATTTTTATTTAACTATTTTATTATATTATAACTTAATTTAGTTTTTAACTTTATTTAAGCTTTTTTAAGCTTTATAAAAGTTTTTATTTTTATAAGTATAAATTTTAGTTTAGAATTTTTAAGTTTAAGTTTAAGATTCTTATAGATTTTAATATATTTTAAATTAAACTTATAATCTCTTAGTTTTTCTAAAAATATATTAATTATTTTAGATAATAATAACTTTTTTTTAAAGTAGAGGTTTACTTTTATATAGTTATAGACTTAATTATTAATAGTTATTTCTTTTTCTATTTATAGTAGAGTTATTAGAATTATAAACTTAAAGTAGTAATGGAGTATAGTTACCTTATCTAGTTGTCTTTTAGTTTAGTTAAGTGACTACTTTTAAGTAGTTTTACTTATAATATAGTAGAGCTAATAGATAGATATTTACTTAAATAGAGTTAGAACCTTAATTAAAAGAATGATAGTTTTTATCTTTATCTATTTTAACCAACTTATATTTATACCTAAATTATATAGTAACCTTATATATAGTGCTTAATAGTATTAAGACTAGCCTATAGTTTATAATAACTTTAACTTTTAATAGGCTAATAGCGCTAGTTTAAACTAATTAAATATAGTTTAATATATTAATATAAGAAGGTATCTTTTAATAATAAATAGTATTATAAATAATTATAAAATTATTATAAAAGTTCTATATAATAAATTTAATTAAGTTAATTTTTAAAAGATATATTATATCTTATCCGTTTAAAATCCTAATTATTTACTTTTAGTTTAGTAATAGAATTAAAAAAATATAAATAGTCTATAAATATTATTAAATTAATATTTTTTAATTTTAACTTTTAAAATTTTATAGAAAAAGTTATTATATAAGATTTAAATACTTATTATAAATATATTTAATTATTATATTATATAATTTTTATAATTATTTAAAGGTTTTAAAATAATTTTTAAGGTTAATAAAATATTATTTAATATAAAAATATATATTATTTTATTTAATAATAGTTTTTTATTTTTTTATTTTAATAATTTATTAATTTTTAATAAAGTATATATTAAAAACTTTATATTTAAAAGTAATTATAAATCAATTATTTATTATTTAAATTAAATATTTAATTTTATAAAAGTTTTAATATATATTTTATAATAATAATAAAAACCTTTTATAATTATTAATGAAGAATTATAATTATTTTAATATTATAAATATTTTTAAAAATAGTTTTAAATAAATTAAAAATTAATATATTAAATAATTAAAATATATATAAATTAATAATTAATAAAAAATAATATAAATATTATTTAAAAATATTTTTATATAAAGTTAATTATAATATATATATAATATTTATTAATTATAAAAGATATTATTTAAATAAATTTTTAATATAATTTAAAAAAGATTTTTTTAATTATTTAATTATAATAAATTCTTTTATTTAAGTTTTTATTATTATAAATTATTAATTTATATAATTTTTAAAGATTATAAAAACTATTATTATTATATATTTAATTTTTAAAAATAATAAAAGGGTTTAAAATTTATTTATAATAAATATATATTTTATAAAAAGGTTTATATATATAAATTAAAGTTTTTAAAATAATTTATTATTTTTAAATAATTAATTATAAATATTATTTTAAATTTTTCTTTTATTAATCTTTTTATTAATATTTTTATAATTATTTAATTTAATAACCTTTATAATAAATAATTATATTAAATTAAATTATATAAATATATTCTTTTATTATTATTTTTAATTGTTTTATTTTAATTTATTAATATTTATAACTTTTAAAAATAAAGTAATAAATTAGAAAGCTTTTAACTACTTTTTCTTAATAGAGGAATATTAAAAGGAGGCTATTTAGTTTATTAAAGTTTATATTTTTAATAAATTAAAATATAATTTGAATTATTTTAATTAATTAAAAATAATATTAATTAATCCTTTTAAATATTAAAAAGTTAATAGAATTTATAAATAATAAATTTACTTTATATATTAAAAAAATAATTTTATAATATAATATATAAAATATATTAAATTTTAAAGATTTTCTATATATTTTTTTTTAATTATTATAAATAAATTATAGATCTTTTTTTTTATACTTTTTTATAATAATTAAGATAATATTTAAAGAAAGTTTAATAATTAAAAAAAATTCCTTATAAAGTTATAAAGGGGTATAAATAGAATAGAGATAGATATATATATATATAAATATAAGTATAGGGTAGTTGGATTTAGGGGACTATTGGAATGTGGGCTGGGGATGTTATATAGAGGCTGTGGGAAAAGTACTAGATTATTTAGCTGTCCCCCTATAGAAAGATCGAGTGGGGGTTAAGATCTGGAACAAGCAAATCTTCACCCCCACACACATTCTCTCCTCACACCCTCTCATGCTTTGGCCAACGCCGCCTCCACCCTCGCCTTGCTGCGTTCCTCGGCGCTAACAAAGAACTCCAATGCGTCCTTCAGCCGCGTAACACTGATCGGGTCCCGCCTGATGGCCTCCTCCAGCTCCTTTCCCCCGTTCGCGAGGTAGTCGACGTCAGTGCTGGCCAGCTTCCCGTCCCAGTCAGCCGCCGCGAGCGGGTCGACGGTGGACAGCTTGCGCAGCCGCTCGGGGGTGGGGCCCGCCTGTGCGTAGTACGACACGGGCTTGGGTGTGGAGCCCTCGCCGGGCTGCTCGGCGCGGTCGTACCTGAGCTTTGCGAGCTGGTCCAGCACGGTGTGGGAGATGGTGGCCGAGTGGCAGCCCAGCTCGCCGGCTGCCATGGCCTCCTTGGCGGTGAGGAAGCTGCGTTGTTCTCTCGTTAGCCTTTCGTGGGGGACGACACGCTGCTTCACCGAGGGCGTGCTCTAAAGGGGCTCCCCTTTTGCATTGCCTCCTAGAAGACAAACCAGTGCGTATGGAAAGTCTGTTCGGTATTTCAAGCCCATACTAGGGCTTATGTTTTCCTTACCTTGCGTTCTTAAGGAGAGGTTGCTGCTTGCCCGTCTCCTTGTAGAGTCTCTTGTACGTCTCCAGAATCTGCACGATACGCGCGCTCATGGGATGTTGCGTCGCGGGATCTTCGACGTCGGGCACTAGGCTCAAATCACTGTGCGCTCGTATTTCTGCCATGAAGAATGAGTTCAGACCTCTTTACAAACATTCCAATAATTTGGGAAACCACTTATTCGGGAGTGAAAGAAGATCGAACTCTCATCACCCAGTAGAAACCAGTCGAAGCCCCCTCATGAGATTCATGTGATTTATAGGTCTTTTACTCACCATTAAAGTATGGGCTGATATAAAGCATCCCAGCCTGACTGCACGCAATAGCCTGCGCAAGACCAAACACAGCCGTCCCCAGCGTAGGGATGCCCTCGGCCGAGAGCACCTTTGCCGCGCTCAGCGCTGGGCCCGTCGCGGGGATCTTGATACAGTAGCGGTCCCGACCGATGCCGGCGCGTGCAAACTCGGCGTCGTACAGCCGCGCGTGGGCAATGGTGGCGGCCGTGTCGTAGGCATCAGACGGGAGCGTCTGGAGGAGCACGCGGCCACGGATGTGTGGGATATTCTCCTTGCACATCAGGACGGCCGCGCGCGTGTAGATGGCCAGCCAGCCCTCGTCCTTGAGCTCCCTGGCCGTCTGCTCCAGCAGCTCAGCGTTCGACTCGCGCCCGAGCTGTATGTCGACCAGGTGCTGGTTGCTGGTCTGGTCGTGTGGCTTGAAGGGCATGTTTTTCACGTACTCTGGGTCCATCCAGTCCACGTCGACATTGACTTGACTCCGAGAGGCGGGCCATTTGTTAGTTATAGGTGTCAGGTAAAGGGCTGCTGGGACTGGCTTTGCTGAGATCTTGATGCAACTCACGCTGTTCTTCCAGCTTCTCCAGCCATGTGATCTCAGAACGGCTGCCCATTGTGGAGCTTTTGTGTGTTTTGCCTGGTTATGCGCGGACTGTGCAACAACTGTACAGACTTTCGTTCCTCGCTCAATAAATTGTAGTGTGGTGATTTAGTATTTTTGAGTAGAGAATGGGCAAACTCCCCCATTTAAACCATATACAAATCATGTTGGTCTCAGTCACATGCATTGAAATAATGCAGAGTGGAGCCGGCTAGCCAATGAGTCAATGAAGCGCCAAACACCACCGCAAAGCGGCTGCTGCAACGCATGACACGTGCTTTTGTTGGGAGCCATACCGTCGTCTAACAGGCTGGCCCACTCAGGGCAGAACCAACAAGGAAACACCCCGACCCTTCCCCGCAAACATCGTGGGTCAGGAAAGAGGGGAACCCCTCACCGTCGACACTGGTTCCCATATCTGTGCAGTGGGGCGCGAGGCAAAGTTCTTGATGAAGATCGCATTGCATTTGTCGAAAACAGAGGACGGCGTCTCAGACAGCCGGGGGTAAGCTTGGGTGGTGTAAGAGATATGCCAGATGTCACGGCCCACACGATGGGATGCTTGGCGGCAAAATGCTGGGCTTCAAATTTGAAGTAAAAGAAAGCTGCTGATGACGCACTTCAACTTTTAGCTTGAGAATGAGCACATGAGTATTTCATCGTCTCCGGTTTCGGGCGATCCATCTACAGTGGCATGCCTTTACCACGGGATGGTCTCCCCGTTCCACTTGAGAAACGAACCCAACATGTCCGGCGTCATACGTTCGACAATGTCCACCATGCCATTGCAAGACTCCACAATGTCTTGGTGGCCTTTCCACCTCGTCAGCCGAGTCTTGATGAATCCTGGCTCGAAGGCCAGAGTGCTGATTGGGATTTCAGCCTTTTTGAAGTCGATAGACAGTGTTCTCATCTGCTGATTCTCAGCCGACTTTGTCATCCGGTAGCCAATCGCATCTCCATCGTTGGCGCCAACACTGGCGTCCGAAGAAGTCATGTATGCAATTTTGCCGGTTCCGTCTTTGTTTATGAGAGGCAGGAAGTGCTTGACAGTCAACAGTGGACCCTGGACAGGATTAGTCTTCTGGCAATTGTCTCCCGGTGGATCAGGACGCACCACCACCATGACCTCGAACCGTTCCATGAGATCTTCCTTCTCGTGCGCCTGCCATTCCAGTGGATAGACCCCGATTCCTGAAAATTTCAAGTATTAACATTGATGAATCTCGTACTTTGTTCAGGATTGGACAGGTTCAAGCCTACCGGCACTGAGGAACAACACGTCGATCGTCACGTTCTTTTCCACCAGTGATTGTGCAGTTTCCTTGATGGTCTGTTCAGACTTCAGATCAAGCTCAACGACATCAGAGCCTGTAGCTTTGAGCTTGTTTTCGGAATTTTCTTGATTTAGTTGAGTGTTTGCCAAATGAAGTCATCTTGGGTTTGCTTACGTCTTCAATGGACGGATCATTTGATGCCAAAGTATCGGGTCTCACGGATCCGATCGTGTGCCAGCCGCGCTCTTTGAAGGTCTTGATGAGCTGGAGACCGATGCCACGGTTTGCGCCTGCAAGGTGGATCAGAAATGTCGTACTTCGAGACAGGTGCGATTTGCTTACCGATCACCAAAGCCGTCTTGCCTGAAGCCATCAAACTCATCATGCAATCTTGTGTGCGTGAGACACAACCAACAAAGAGTATCAGAGCGACCAGTGGATTCGAAAACATGAACGGAGAAGACTTGGGGAGCCAACCTGAACAGTTCGCTTGAGTTGGCTTTGGGCCAACCGGGGAGGGGAGTTGAACGACGATTGCAAGTCCACGTGACTCACATGGCGTTCATTCCAGGCGTGTAACTTGGTAGGTACCTAGGTACGAAGTATTTTCGAGGTAAAGCCCTGTACGGAGGTACATGTAAAAAAGACATCACCAAAGAGCAGGGGCTACATACTGGTATGGCAACGGGGTGGGAGCATAACCCTTAGAATCCCCCATCTAGGAGGGTGACACAGGGGGGGTGCTCAAGGGCTAGACCCTGAACACCCCCTCTGCCACCCTACCTAAGGAGGGTACCATGGTAATAACCCTGCTCTTCACATTTGAGAAGCAGTTTCCCAACTTTCAAGATTGATAGATCTCCTGGTCACAAGGAAGCTCGTGTCTTGCGGGACATGGCCGACTTCTCCATCTCTAATCTCACTCATTCACGGGAGTTGCTCAACTCATGCCCAACATCCAGACGAAAAACTTCCATTCCTGCGGAAACTGGAGCACATGAAATGACCATGCGACCGTTCCAAATAGCACCAGATTAGGCGAAACTACAGGAGCCTCCTGTGACTCAGCAATAGAAGACTTTGCGGTGCTATTGTACTCATGCTGACCTTTTTTTACCAAATCTCTGGAAGCCGTCAGCCTCTTGACGTACGACGCCATGCTTTCCGAGGCCCAAAAACCAATGCAGCAGGGCGCCGGAGACGAAAACGTTGATCTTGTTAGCACTTTTGTAACAGCCACTATCTCTGACAACATCATCCTTCGGGATGAACTTCAAAGAGTTTGGTCAAGGGCCTTTAACTGTTTGGATGGACAGGAGGCTTGGCGAGTATACCCGAAAATGCTATAATATCAGAGATAATATGCTGGTTTTGCGCTGCTTTTTACTACACCGTCACCGTATGAAGGCGCCGTGTATGGCTTCGGACCTATGCCGAAAGGAAGCAAAACCATTTATTTACTCACTGTATTGGCCAAGGAAGGCAAAGACTTATGTCCCCTCGGTTTCCCATCCTCGGGGACCGCTGACTGGAATGCATCCATGGATGCCACCATCGCCCCCAGGACCAGAGCGTATGGCGGCCTTACCCCCAATATTCTGGGGCGATATAACTATAGCAGGGGAAGGCAACAGGGTCCCTTGACGGCCGGGATGACCCTGGCCAACCTTGCGGGCTCTGATTTGCAGAGGTCTCAAGGCCGGCAATAAGCTTGCCCAAGGGTGCCTCTCGCCAATGCTACAACGGGTATAGACCTAGGTAAGAAAATAGTTCAAAAAGCGACCTGATAATCCTAATCCTTCCCGGGGGCTTCATGGCAGGCAGCCTTTCCTGACTCTTTTAATCGGCTCGTCATCACGCTGGATCTCGTCCGGCCACGTTCAGGTTACGTCCAGACCTACGAGCAGCTAGCAATCCCCATTTCCAGCGATACCGTCGTCCCACAAACGGCCCACTACCTCTGTCACCAAGATGGTCAAGCCAAGCGACCTCTACACCGCAATGGCGGCCACCATCAACACCTTCTTCGCCGACTACAACCGGGCGCCAGACGACGGGCCCTCGATGCTCTCCAACACGCTCACGCCGGACTGCCGGCGCTACCTGCGCCCCTACACCTTCACCGACGCGCTCGGGTTCCCGCGGGATTTCTACTTCAACAACACGGCGTACGAGACCGGGATAGCCAGCGAGCTGACCGTCACGCAGACGGCCAACTGGACCGTGCTCTTCACGTCGATCGACGTGCATGCCCTCAAGGCGTCTGCGTTCTCGGAGTACCGGGTCAGCCTGTGCGGGACGGACGAGTACCTGATTGAGGCGTCGTGGTTCTGGGACTTAACGGAGGATGGGACCAAGATTCGGAATATTATTGAGGTGCTTGAGCCGATCACTACCCTCAACTATTCCGCTAAGGCTGTGGAGATAGCAGCGACGGGGGAGACTTGTTAGACCTGCCCGTGACATATGGAAGGATGACCAGTGATGCACTGATGTTGTGCGACACATCACAGCAGACTTAGAGAGGCTTTGAGGCCTTTAATTGTTAATATGTGTTAACTTTCATCTCCTGTAACCCTGCTGTGGCGAAATTCCCTGCGAATGCAACACATCAATTCCGAGCCGTTCATGGAATTTGTCTTAATACAGCCACACGGATGAATCAGGGTGATCAACTTTTGAAGGATAGGAGCCATGGATGTCTTAAGAGGTATCATATTAATGCAATAAACTACGCTTTTGTTAAATAGTAAGGAAAAATAGTGCTAGAAAAGCCGTCATCACTGTCCATCTCCCCCCTCAACCGCCGACCCCCTAAGCAATCATGCCCCAATCATTGGCGCAACAACCAGCACACTGTCCTTCTTCCCATCCTGAGCCGGACCACGGGTCACCGCAGCACTCTTCCGCGCCTCGTGGTGCTCCTTGGCCTTGTCGATGAGGTTGCTGACGCGCTGGCCCAGCGCCTTGCGGGCGTGGGTGAGCCCGCCGTGCGCAAAGTCCGACGAGGGGATCGCGACCGCCGCGCCGACCGCGGTGGCGGAAGTCGCCGCTGCGCCGGGGATGTATGTCATCTTCGAGTATGAAGAGGATGAGGAGTGGCCCTTGGGCGACTGGCTCCGCCTCGGCGGTGGGGGGAAGGCGCCCGGCATCATCTGGGCGGCTGTGTCTGGCTGGGGGCTTGTGGAGGCGGATGCTGCTGGGCGAGGGGGCAGGGGTGGCGGTGAGTCTGTGTCGGCTGGGCTGGCGGGCTGACTTTCTTGCTGGGGCTGCTGTGCTGGCGTGGCCTCCGATTCCTCGGTCTTTTCCTCGGTGTCTGGCTTCGCCTCCTCCACCGTGTCCTTGGCCGCGGCCTCGTCGGTGTCGACACCCGCAACCGAGCCACCGACCTTCGTGGCGGACATGGCAGCACTGCCAGCGAGGGTAGGACTTCTTGCGGCCTCCTCAGACTCGGACTCCTGAGACTCGGACTCCTGGGTCCCTGTGGCAGTTGGCTTCTCTGGTGGTGCCTGCACGCACTCGGACTCGTCGTATGCAGGAGGCTGGTCCGAGTCAGACTCATCGTCTTGCACGTTTGCCTCAGGCTCAGACAGTGAAGAGAGCTCGGCAGGAGGAGAGAGCTGCTGTGGCTCCTCGAGCTTGACCTTCGGTGGGAGCGGTGGGGAGGCGCATCGCTGGATATCTGGTGATGCTCTTCCGGAGCCGGTGGTGGATGGGCTGGAGATGGTGTCCTGCTTCTTGATCTGGAGGGGCTGGATGTCGAGCGCCGTGAAGAAGTCCTCAATTTCACCTGCTACTACCGAGGCACGAGGGTCCTGTGGTGTTGCTGGGGGCGAATATGCTTTGTATGTGGGCTGTGGCGTTGCGGAAGGACTCCTCTGGTGGTGCTGGGCTGGTGTATTTGGCGTCTCCGAGCTTGATTTGCGGGCATGGTTCTTGCCAGCGCCGGGCCTGAGTACGGTTGGGTGTCGTAAGGGCGATGCATGCCCACCGGGAATCAATGTCGAGGGGTGGCGTTCGGGCACTTTGTGAGTAGAGGATACGGTGCAGAAGAGTTCCGAGTCAGGGTTTGCGGTGGTGGAAACCATGATGGCGGAATTAAGGAACACGATGAGAGAATGCGGTGATGTTTTGGTATCCCTTGTAGTAACTTGTATAAGTCGATCTTGAAAGTATCAGGTGGTGATGTGTGAGAGTTACAAAGTCAAAGTCGGATATCATGCAGCAACTCGTGGGTGGCTAAATAATGCGGATGAGCAACACAGAAGATGTGTTCAATCCCAGCTGAAGGACCACTGAAGATCCACTATGATAGGACCGGCTCCAGGGATCGTCAAACGGATGCTGGTTGCCTCAATGTAACGCTGTTGAGAGGCCACAGAAGCCCCTGGGATTTGACGGTGAGCGGAAAAGAGAGGGGCGCCCAGGGGTAAAGTGGGTCGAGTCCGGGGTGACGAGAAGCAACACAGCCACGAGAGGCGCAGCCACCTCTCGAAAACGACTGCAGGAGACCTCCCAATTGCACGTGATAGCGCGTAATGACGATTGCTTCATTGCTTCGATCACACGGTCTATCAGATACATGAAAATTTGATATTGAGTCCATGATCTCGGCCGTTGTGAGTTCAACTACAAAGCCGCCAGTGGCATCTTCGGAAGAGCTGCGGGACATTCGGGGCTTGCAACCACACCGCCAAGTTGTTCGTCTCCAAAACGAGGTGCTCAAATCCGCAACACTGGCTGGCAGTGGTGGCCTCTCAATCCTGACCTCAATAGGTCCCCGTCAATACATACATCAAGACGAACGACCCACACTTCACGGGCTTCGCTGATAATAATAGCACATCATTGACGTGCTGGCATGTATCTGCCACACTATTGGAGGCCCAGATATGAGCTAATCACTCATGACTTGTTCGCCTGTAGGGACGCGGCAAATTTCTACTTTTGTTCTCGAAACAATATATTGACGCCCTAGCTTTCTTCTCTCCCTCTGCTGTTTCTGTTTCTGCGCCTATGACTTCTCCAGGTGATACAACGAACAAAAGAAATCCTTTTTCCTATTCAATCCAGCCAACATCTTCAGGGCCGTTGCATTCTAGCTGCAAATCTACTAGAAAAGCTTGGAGTCAGGCAGGGTGCCCACCAGACGTGCTGCAGCTGCGATAATTTTGGCTACAACACGAATTTCTTCCCCGCTTAGAGGCGTATAGACGATGGCCGATGCCCACGACACAGGCGTGCTTCTCCTAAGGATCTTGTGATAGACAAATCGCCCAACAGAGCTCTTATCTATCGCACTGAGAGGATGCCTCTGCCCCCACCCGCACCTGATAACCTCACGAACATCGGCTGGATGCAGGGTAACAACCGTAGCTCCACATAGGCGAACGTGTGCAATCTCGTCATCCCACTCCCGTATTGTGCCAATTTTCTCTGTGCGAGCCAGCTCTGGCAGCTTTCTCTTGAGGCAAGGGAGGGTAGTATTAGGAATAGTACCAACCTGGAAGTCGCCTGATAATTTGACGGCCATTTTAAAACCCACCAATATCTCTGCCGCGGCCCAGGGGTGATTCCCGCTGTCTTGGTTTATGGAATCGACTCCGATGATTTTCGGACGTGGGCGCTTGCGCTTAGGCAAGGGTTCTCGTAGGTGTCCGTTGTATGGCTGGTCCCAACGGTGACTGGACGGGTCCGACAGGACATCGAACCGCATGACGTGAAGGATGAAGAATTTCAGGAATGCGTGTCTAAGGAAGCCTAGAATGGTTGGATCTTGGCGACCCCTGTCGAGTATCAAGAACTTTTCAAAAGCCTTCAGGAAGCGGTGGGCGGCATAACACAGAAAGAGATAACAGGCCGCCCAGAAAAGTGGAGAGACAAAGGGATAGTCCTCTACAAACCACTCGAGAAGGATTTGGCAGTCTTCCATAAACCACAGCGGATGATACCAAGGGTTGGCGATCTCAAAGTTCTCCACAAGCCACTGCTTTGTGTGCGTTAGTACATCTGTAGCTATGGGGGGTAGAAATTTAAACACCTTTAACTCGACGACTTTATCGAGCATGTTGATGTTGGTCGCTGAAAGATCCGGCGAGAGAGTTTTTGAGTTTTGATGCTGTGCTTCCTGGAGAGTTTGCGTGCAATTCTTGCAATGCCTAGAAGTGTTTGCGATTGATGCAGAAGGATTCAATTTCGAAGTTTCACAATCCAAGGAGCACTTGAGTCTACTTTTATAACAAACCGCTTCCTTTCAGTCTCGCAAAGATACACGGCAGCCTGAGGCGTATCCTGTGCCTCTATCTGTCGATTCACACGCCTTACAGTACTGTACGGTGCTGATCCCCATGGTTGACTGGTACAGCCACATTCTGTTCTTTCCGACTGTGTCTCAGTCAGTGCAGCAGACTTGACGATAAGCTAAAAGTCTATCATTTACACCGCGCTCAATGTATAACGCTTCTTCTAACCACTGAAGCTCGATCTCAGTAGCGGCTTTGACACTGTCAATTTCTGTTTGCTCAGATTATCTTTGAGTATTACAGACCTGGACTCATACTCCTGAAATTCAAAATGTCATCAAATGCAAAGGATATCTTCGCCCGGCAGCCCCCATTCCTGCTACCATTATCTGGGGCTGTCTCATAAGACGATTCGTTGTCTCGCATTGCGTGCTTAACATCAAATTAAGTTGTAATTGTCGATCCTGCTAATGCACTATGCACAAAGCATCAAGGTCTATATACAATGGGTAATGAACGGGATTACAAAGTGATTTGCAATGTCTTGGCTACACTGGGAACACCGCTGGCAGACAAAGCAAACAGGTAGTAAAACCCAGGGAGCAGCACCCCATAGTCATCCGGCAAGACAGCCGTGTACTCGGTGCCGACTGGCCTTGCGTTAACCAGGCTTCCGTCCGCGGCGACCTCTCCGGCCATCTGTGTCCCCGTGACAGTCACGTCGACGAGCGGCACGCGGCGCTGGTCGGTGTTGACGGAGTGGGTCACGGACCCGAGGCGGACGAGGACCAGCGACGAGTTGCCCGCGGCCTCCTCGTTCTGCACGACGACCTTGATCGTGGCGCCAGCGGTGGCATTGGTCGCGGACAGCGTGTCGATGGTCGGCCGGGTGGCCGCGGACCCGTCCTCGTTGAACAGGTACGGCGGGCTGAAGATCTGGCCGTCCGGGTGGTCCACGGTGCGGTCACACGCGGAGTCGTCGGCGGTCATGGACTTGACATAGCAGAGACCGCCGCCGCCGCTGAAGACGGTGGCGTCGGGCAGCAGGATGGAGATGGAGTGGTAGTTGCGGGGCACGGCCTCCGGCGCCATCTGGGCCCAGGTCTGCGTCGCTGGGTCGAAGAGCTCGGGGTACACGATGCCGTCTGTGTCCGTGAAGACGACGGACCGCTTCTGGCCCCCTGTCACGAGGATGGTGCCGTCGGGCAGCACGGCGGCGTTGGCGAATCCGCGAGGGTAGGCCGGGTCCGGCATCCTCTCGACCGTGGATGGCTCCCACGGCTCGCCGATGGTGGTGATGTGTGCGCGGTTGTTGGCGTCGCTGTCGGTGTAGTCAGGCGCGCCGACCGCCGAGAATATCTTCCCGGCGACGGCGTCGTACATGGCCCACACACCACACATGGCATCGTCATCGTCACGGACACCAGCATCGAGTACGGAGCCATTGCCTTCTGTGCCGTACCAGTGCTGCGCCTTGGAGGGGCCAGCTTGGAAGACAGTCCCGTTCTTCCAGCCAAGCAGCCATCCGTGGTTGTCGGTCCTCCAGATACCGCCCACGTCGTTGGTCAGCATGTCCTCGACGGCCGCGTCGGGCAGGTAGGTCCACTCGTTGCTGTCTGCGTCGTAGACCTCGCCGTTCTTGCCGCCCCTGGCGCCCGAGTATGACCCGCCGATGGTGAAGATGCGGCCGTCGGAGAGCGTGCAGGATGATTGATAGCCACGTGCAACGGTCATGTTGGGCCCGCGGATGAACTCGTTGGTCTCTGGGTTGTAGATGCTGACGGCCTCGGCATCTGAACCGCCCTGAATCACTATTCGGCCGTCCTCGAGCGACGAGATGGCAGGGCAGAACATGTCATGGCGGGTGTTGGCGACCTCACGCTTGGACACCTCGCCTGTGCCGAGGTTGAGGTCCCCGAACTGCGTCTTGCCTGTTGCTCCCGTGAAGTCGAACTCCCTGAAAGACGAGAAGAAGAGCATGCGCTCGGGGGCTGGGAATGCGGGCACGATGTAGGCGGCGACTGGAATGAGGGGAAGGCGGATCAGGTCGGACCACTTGCCCTGAATAGCAGGGTTGTAGACTGTCTTGCGCTTGATGGTGGTGTATCTCTTGTTGGTATGCCATATTAATGTGTTCTGATTCTGGTCATCGGGCCCCTTGATGTGGCAGACATTGTCAACCGTATCAAAGACAGCTTTGGCACAAGTCTCGATGGCCGAGCATTGCCTGGCGCAGTCGGTTGCATTGTCAACGTCTTCGATTTCCCGCAGGCTGTTACCACGGAGGTCGGTCCCCGGGCAGATGAAGTAGTCGATCCCCGACTCTGGTGCGAAAGCTGTTTGGTTGTAGGGGCATGTGGCAATGTCCGTCAACTCAGGCAATTCGTTGTTGATGTAGATGACATCGAGATTCTTGTCGTCCGTCCAGGTCAGGTCGTCATTGTTCGATTTGATGTGACATACTTTCCCGGCGGAGTCGTAGACTGCCTTCAAGCATCGGCCATTTCCTGCACACAATGAAGCACACTCCTCTAGCGTGTTGATCTTTTTTATTTGTTGCGATGATCGCCCGACGTAGTCCGTGCCGCGGCAGATGTTATAGTTGATACCGCTGGTGGCGCTGAAGTTGGTTTCAGTAGTCGGACACGCCTCGAGGGCCGCTATTCCCGCGGCAAGGGACAGCCGTAGTTGGCATGCTATGGCGAGTGCCACGGCACCTGTGAGATATGTCATGGTTGTTCAAAGCCTGGTTGTCTTCAGTGTTTGTGCACAATGTTGATTTCGAGTGAGCGATGGAGCGAATAGTCGGCCAGTGGGAATTGGTTACGCTGGAGACTTTGAAAGGAAAGTATTATTGCATCGACATGCGGATTGGTATAGATCTAAGGAGGGAAGGTGTACTAGCGGAGCTAGGAAAAGAGTGGCAAGACCAAAGTCAAGATCAGCAGCGAGTGTTGGCCGGACAGAGAGAAAAGGCTGTGGGATGACGATAAAAGAAGAGCCAGCGGACAATACGTCAAGGAGCTTGTCACTCTTATCCCTTCCATGTCTAGAGCCAAGAAAGAACACGGGCGCCGGGAGCGGGACGGGGGAAATTGTGGACTTGGCTTGAATCGACCCCCGGGGACCTCAGGAGATGGAATGAACCGGATCACCTGGGCAGTGTTCGGGATACGGTGGCCCTGCTGTCAGCCGGGCTCACACCTGCCGACCCGGCCGAGTGCGACGCATGATACGCATTTACAATGATTTCCTATTCTCGTCACTATTATCCACGAAAAACACAGAGTTTAGCACTGGACGATAGAGATACGCGAAGGCGCATTGACTATGCTAGTGGAGTGTTGACGATCATCATCATCGACAGTCGATGCCGTATAGTTATGCACCTCCATAAAAGATGTTCTTGCGGTTACGCTACAAAGGTTTTTCAACTTGTTCGCCGAGAATAGGGTTCATAAGCCAAGGATTGACCTAGTGCATTTTGCAGCCAGTGACTTATTTTAAGTATCACAGATCGCTTCAGGGATTCAGGTTTGGGTCCTTCATACACACGTTGTGATAAGGCTGAGTCATTATGTACCGAGATTGCCAGGGATTAGAGCCTCTCTGGAGATTTGAGGCTCGGGGAATTGTGGGCACAGCCCACTCCAACCAACTCTTGACGACGAAGACCAGTGCCATAGCGCGAACAACATCCTTTTGAGCGACTCAAGCGGGAGCCTTGGCACACTGAAGCGAATGACATTCGAGCACCAACGCTAGACAGAACAAAGCATTGGTCTCATAGTGCACCTCACTTCGGCAGGACCCGGAGCGCGTGTTGTTGACCGCAGCGCCGCTTGTGCCCGCTAGCTACCAGTACTCGCACAAGAAGTCGCCCATTGAAAATAGACTATATTGGGGTCGGACATCAAGTCTGCTTGGCGCTACTCCCATATGTTCCTTGACGATTGCACCACCCCGAGCACGCGGAAGATGATATGGCCGAACATGCCCAACCGGTGAGAGACAAAATCGCCCGAAACAGGAATTATCTAAAGCGCCCAGCAGCTGAGGGTGTTTCCTTGCTACGGTCGATGGGGGAAGCAGATCGAGAGACGTGGGTGAACCAGCCATGGATATTCCATTTCCTTCCGAAAAGGTCTGAAAAAAGCATAGCAAATACTGAAATAATACAAAGCTGAAGATTTGCCAAGTTTTATTTCATGCAACAAGAGGTATCATCGAAATATAAGTGTATGAAATGTTGTTCCTCTCTGCTTGCTCTTCCTAACAACTAAGTTAGAAAGACATCAGGGCAGCTTTATTTCGACCATCATATCCATCCGTGAAGCAGGACTTGTGCAATAATATTTGGGTGTAATGAGAAGGAATGGTATGTATTCCGGCGTCAGATGTGGGAACAACAGTGATCCAGGTCCCACAGGAACTTGATCATCAACCACCAGGATGGTCTGGCATTATCGACAGCAACGACAGCGGCAACGAGTGGTGCACCCATACAAACTCTTTGTGTTCGAGATCTCTCTGAAGTCACTGGCTTTTCAACTGGGTCTAAGATCCTGACAGATAGCCTTGGAATGCGGCCACTGAGAGCAACCATGAGAAATCTTGTAGGTTGACTTTGCCTCGTCAGCTCAGCCACAATGTCTCCTTCAATATCGATGCCGGAAGACGTCTAAATAACGGAGACAAGATACAATGATGCAGTTTGATGTAATGGGAGTTTGAAAAAAAGAATAGTACATTTCACACACAAATCACACTTCCACAAGCGGAGAACAGATGCTCCTCTGTCACCGCTGTACACAGACGAGTCCCAGAGGCACACTGCCTGTTCATTAATGGTACACAGAGGGGCAAAAAACAAAAAGACCCCAGGAGTTGAACTCGGAACCTGCGCCAGTCCGTTCCAGCCGACCCCTCTGCACAACCTTACAGCGGGCCTCCGACTAGCGGTACGCGGTCTATGGAACCTTGAAATGTTCAACTACACCAGGCGGCGTTAGGAAAGTTACTGTGGCTCAGTCCTATGTGGAAAGTCATCGCATGTTGTGGCTCGTTTGCAAGTTTGCCGTTGTCCAAGTAGTTACTTTACAGCCGAAGCTCCCAGTCCAACCCCCCCCCTGCCACTCTCCCCAAGCCCACCTGGGCACCTGGGCAAGTAGCAGCAGGCAGTGGTCGAGGGCTGTCAGTGAGGCTATGCAACTCGTCTGATCCCCTCCAATTTGCCAGAAGATACAGGTTTCTGATGATGTCATGTTCCCTTGAAGAACCATCGTGACAACCCTTTACAACGCCCTGACCTCCAATGACTCCCGTCGACTTGCTGCTGCCCACGCACTCGTACCCGTGGACGCACTTTAATACGAGGTTTTTAGCTCAAACTGAGAGATTAGGATGCAATCCCCGTAGGCGCCTGAGACACATTTCAGGAATCTGAAGTTCATCAATCGACCCCATGATGATCGACTCGACAGTCCGAGTCGCCTAACCTTGATTCGTAATGCCACCTCGAGGCTCCTGCTGCATCCACTGCTGCAGATCTGCTCTACCTAGGTATTCTACCCTACCGAGTTTCAATGACTGCAATACGTCCCTAGGAAGTCAAGTTCTCATTCTGTGTCAGAAGCATCGACGAACCCAAACCCAACCCTCCCCCCCCAAAACCCCCTGCCCCGCGCTTTAGCCACCTCTAGCAACGTCCAAACATCGCCTTCAATTTAAATACCTAGGTAGGTTAGTTTCTCAGGTTTAGTCTGCCAAACGAAGCCATTTCTCATTTACGTGTGTATTTCACCTTTCGTCCACCCCTAATGATGCTGCCATCACATCCCTGCGCCCCCCGAACTTGCTGCCTCTTTGGCGGACGTTGGAAGGACCCAGGCAACAGTTAAATCGGGAACACAGGATCTAGTCCTTTACCTGCCCGGAGGTGACTCGAGAGGAATCTCATTCTTTCCACGCATCTGGTTTCGCCCTGGCGTCTCCGCCCGGCATGTCCCAGCCTGGCTGGAAGACCTTCATCTGGGGGTCCATTCCACCCAGACCTGGCATCGCGCAGGCGTGTTGTTGTGTTCCCTTCAGAGTGTCTAAGCCGGTCTCACCCGCGGTGTTGTTGATCGCCTCCTCTTTCATGTTCGATATCTTGGCCCTCTTCATCGGCCTCTTGGAATCTTCATCCTCTTCGACCTTGCCCTTCACGGCGTCAACGGTGGCAGGCCCACGAGACGAGACGAGGTGGCTGCTCTAGTGCTGTTCATCGCTGGTGTGTCGAGGTTGTTGCCTCGCTTCTTCGTAGGAGGGGGAGCCGCGGGCAAGGGCACACACTTGGGCGTGAGCGTTGGCACCTGGGAGCCGTCTGCGGAGGAGGCGGTCGCCACGCCCTCCGCAGCCAGCCGCCGGGCTTTCCGCCTCTCCCGTCTCATCGACTTCTTGCTCATCGGCGTGGATCCCGCTGGGGGTGCCCTAAATCTGTCGCTCGTCGTTGGGGGATCGTCAGCAGTAGAGTGTTCTGAAACCAGCATCTCAATCTCAAGCACCATGTCCGACTTGATCGTCTCGCTCCAGAGCTCCCCATCGGCGTTGGAGTAGCCGAGGCGGTTGCGCCTCGCTTGGTAGGCAATTTCGTCGGCGGCCTGCAGCCGTGGGACCTCGTTGCGAGGGCACCAGTGAAGCTCGACCGTGACCCTGATCCCATGGCCGTGAAGCATCTGTGTGGTTTCGCTTTTAATCCCCATACCTATAAAATGTACGTGGCGCCTCCATACAGTGGCAAACGCTCAGTGAAGCATCTGTATCTCATCTTTGATCCTGTCGATCAGTCTTGTTGGTACCACCGCCACGGCCGTGTGATTTCGGTCCGCGATTTGGCGCAGGATCTCGCGGCTGTCAGTTGTGCTCTTGACCGCTGTCATGCTCCTTCAGCACCAGAAGATCACGCGCAATCGTCCTGTTTGCTGCGTGAAGGCTCTCCAGCGTGCCGACGCCCTCCATCACGTTGTTGCCGATAGCGCTCGTTCATGACCAAGCTTGCTTGAGAAAGTCGCCGTTCGGATGAGTGCCCGTTTGGTCTGAAGTCCACCCATTGGGAAGCCACTGCCTTCTGTTCACCACAGCTACGCCGCCTCGCGCACTTCTGTGACAGTGGCTAGCGTCGCTGAAAGGGCAGAATTGGACATCGTTGGTGCTCGAGATGTCGAACGCAGCGTTTGTTGCTGCCTGGATTGCTGTGGCGGCTCCTGGGTGGAAGATCACCATCGCGACCTCGAGCCCGTCGACGAGGACCGGGACTTCCTCCGCATGCATCTTGTCTAACTCGAGCGGTCGCGTTGATGTTTGAGTTCGACTGAATTGCCGTGGACACGGGGCCGACGCATCGGTTGGTGAGGTGGTCGACGTTTGAGGGTGGTAGATGTTGGACTTGGTTTCGATGTTTGTGCGATGTTCCCAGGACGCGGGGTGGTGTGCAGACTGCTTGTTTTCAGATGCAGGACAGTACCACTTTTCCGGATTCACCTTGACGTGTTCACCTTTTCGTTTGTTCACCACCTGTGGCCTGATAAAATCTGAAGGTGTGGCGTTTGCATGCTGCGAGCCCGCGCGATGCTTTCGATGAGACCCCTGCCGTCCACCCCAACAACCTAGCCAGCAAGCATGTGGTTCCCTGAAGGAGGCCCTGAGTTTCCACTAGAATGTTTGAAGCTTGAGGTGGCCTTGTTCTCGAATCGACGGCATGCCCGATCATCGCGACCGCTCACATCATCACACAGCTGGCGGTCCCTTCGGTAGTTTTGTTTCGAGCTTCTTGACATGAAAGAGGCAGGTAGCTCTCTGCTTGCGGCCGTGTGATGCCTTCTGAGAATTCCTGTTCATGCTGTGCAAAGTTGGATGAAGAAAGCGTCAGCGATTAGGTTTGAATCAAAAGGAAACTCAGTGTTAGATGTTAGTTGACCCTATGTCGAAGTCCACGCTGCCGAATGCCATGGATATGTGTGTAAAAATAATAGTATTTCAAAGAAATGGCAAATTCAAGCGTGTGTTCTCTTCAAATCGCGGGGGCGTAGATGATTGGCGAGCGCCAGTCAGTCTTGAGCATGGTCAAGTTGGCGATGCTCTCGAGGCCAAACGGGGACCAGCGGGGGCACTGGGCCCGACGCAAGGCCCTGTACAGAGAAGGCCAGAAAGGAAGAGAAACAAAAAACGAAGCACCACGCCAGGGAGACGACACTATAGTGGCTCGAACCTGAAGCTCCTGCAACCTGTATCTAAGACGCTAGTACGGTGGAATTTGTCCGTGCTTCACGTTTCGTAGAAATGCAGCCGTGTTTACTTACACTACATGGGCTTTTGGCTTTTGGTTTGCTTGCCTTTGGTTTTTCGAAACCTACAAGGGGGGAACACGGTGTTCAGGGCCTTGGGTTCGAGCCCGCCCTTGGGTAAAGGTGCCGATGCAGTGAATGGTGCCCAACAGCAGGAAGTCCCCTCCCCTCCTCCTCCCCTGCCTCCCCTGCCTAGCCCACCCAGCACCGTCGACAAACCCAAAATGGGGACCAGCGGGTCTGTGGCCGACGCAATACACAGCAGAGAGAATGGCAAAAGAAAGGAAAAAGAAGACAAAAAAAAAGAAGAAGCACGCTGCCAGGGAGACGACACTACAGTGGCTCGAACCTGAAGTGTCCGCAACTCTGTTCCTTACGCTAGTTCGGTGGCATTTTGTCCGAGCTCGACGCCTCGCAGAGTGCGGCCGTGTTTACTTACACCACTTGTGCTTGAAATTCCCCTTTCTTTTCATTCCTATAAGGAGGCATGGGTTCGAGGCATGGTCTTCGAGGCCTTGGGTTCGATCCCAGTCTCTGGCAGCAAAGGTGCCGCTGTAGTGAAGGATGCCCAGCAGTAACTGGAAGCCCCCCAGGCGCCCCCCTGCCTCTTCCACCCACCTAGCTCTGCCGACCACCCCTCTGCCTGTATTTCTCCTTGCCATCGTACCCAGGTACTGTTTGGCTCTCTCGCTCCCCATCGTGTCGACCTGTTGCCTGCCAGCCCTCCGTTTGCATATCTCCCACCCTCTCTTTTCCTACCCTCTCTTTTCCTACCCTCTCTTTTCCTACCCTCTCTTTTCCTACCCTCCCACTTCCCACCCCCCCAACCTCCCACCCCCCAACCTCTCACCTTCCACCCTCTCACCTTCCACCCTCTCACCTTCCACCCTCTCACCTCCCCCACCAAACCCAATCCATCGTTCCAGCAGTACCAATGCGATAATGAGATGGCGGGTGAAAAGGTTGACGACTGCCAAATCATGGCGAATGGTTGCGCCGTGGCCAGGGCGATCACCAATCACAATCGCAGTGAAGCGGTGAAGGCTGCGTGGGCAGCGGCATCGCATGGTCCGTACAATCCTCTTTCCTCCTGCGGGAATTCCCTAACGCAGCAACAGTGTCTACCCCCAACAACATCCAAATCTGCACCTTCAGCGACGGAAGTCATAGTCGAGACAAACACCACGGTGGTGTTGGAATGACGTACAGACGGCGATGGCTGCCACCGGGGTGGACAACTGACACCGATGACCCCGCCAAAGGCTGCGGGGACATGGTCGAGCTGGCCTGGTCGTATGGGTTCACGAGTGGCTCCCAGGTGATGGAGGCTGTCGGCGTCCTGGAATCCCTCTGCGCCGTCGACAAAGAGATCAACCAGCATCTCGCCATACTAAAGAAACACGACAGTACCGTCCAAGTGAGGATCACAACCGATTGCCAAACAATTCTGGAACAGATTACAAGAAAAACGAAAATGTCAAAGAATAAGGCGATGTCCATGCCGCCAGAGCTCATCAAACGAATGAAAGAGATGATTGTAACACTACAAGGCCACGGGATCAAGGTGGTCGTAGAGGTGCACTGGTGCCCACGCAACGTAGTGCCGCAGATGGAGAAAGCCGACGAGCTGGCAGGCAGGGCAATGAGAAGCGGCCTGGGATACTGCGCAGAGAACTCGTGGTCCGAGCCCAAGGAGTCTGCGATCATGCAGGAGCTGACGCCGGCTCTCTTGGGGGCTGTTGTCTTCGCTCGAAGCGCCACAGTCCCCACCGACGAAGTCGCAAGGGCGCCGAGGGAGGGGAGGCGGAGGAAGAGGAACCGCGAGCGAAATGCAAATGCAGACGACGACGAGACGGAAGACCGCAGACCCACCAAGAAAGCGAAGACGTCGCATCAACCGCAGGCGATGCCGGTCTCGTGGGGCCTGGATCCGGAGACCAAGGTGTACGTCTGGGATCCCAACCGAGAGGAAATGGAGGAGAAACCGGTTGTAAGCTGTCCCTTTGTCCGGACGGTAGAGGTATCTACGATGGAGACAGGCGAGAAGAATGTCTTTGTCAACGATGGAGTGAGTGGCTTCTCCATGGCTTGGCCAACGGAACTGGTAAACACAAGACGGGCGTTGACTTTCTGATTCGCCGTGTCGAAAGAGGGTGTACATATGGGTCATGTGCGATGGGACATCATCTCACTGGTGATGATGGCACTGGGAGGGCCGCGTAGCTGTCACAGCGAGCTTGCGCACGCGATATAGGAGAGAGGAAGGATGTCCACTGTCTATTTGAAGAGAGAAGGTGCCAGAAAAGAAACCAGAGGGTTTCTGTGGCCGTATTTGTCCAACGATGTATAGAAAAATCAATGCTAATGCCGATGATGAACAAGAGGCATTCGATGAATTGGGATGTTGTGATGGCATGAAGTTGAAAAGCGGCACTGCGCCACATAACGCCCCGCTGTGGCGCTGCCCCACATGCTTATCGGAGATAAAGCTCCGCGTAGGGGGGCCAGGATCACAATGCCGTCACTGCGACGCTGAACCCTGCAAAGCAAGGCGGACCGAGGCTAGACGTCATCAGCCTGGCTGGCAGGCTGGTCAGGCAGGCACATGCAGTCAGTCAGTCAGTCACTTGCATGTTCGCGGGCCAACCAAGGCATAAAAGAAAACCTTAAATCTCACTCACATGAACCTCAACCCGAACGCACGCACAGACAAGACCCCCCACGCAAAGAAACAGCACCAGAAACAAGAAAGAGAAAACCATGGATCTTGGCCGATAGCACGATGCCCTCAACAACGTCTCTCCTTCTCATCCTCCTCGTCTGCCTGGTCCTCGCCAGCCCGGCCGCAGCGTTTGGCGCCGGCGAGGTGCCCCCGGGCAGCGAGTTCAAGGGCTATGTCTGGCGGCACGGCGACCTGGCCGAGGTGCTCAAGTTCCTGCCGACGAGCTTCGTCACGGGCTACAGGTTCACCAAGCTGCAGCGCAAGCAGATATACTTTGGCAACTGGCTGCGCGACTTCTCCCAGGTCATCGACACCACCTGCCTCGAGAACGTGCCCGAGCCCATCCTTCGCGCCATCGTCAGTGTGATGGCCTTTATGGAGTTTGGCTTCGCCACAGACGAGTTCGACGTCACCCGCGAGCGCCTCGGCTGCTACACCCATGTCGAGCACATCGACAACCCCTGTGGCTACGCCGAGGACGCCAAGAAGATCGACGCGCGCCTGCGCGGGCCCGTCGACCCCCGCGAGCTGGAGATCGACCCCGAGACGGGCATGAAGAACTACATCGCCAACTCGGGCAACGGGTACGCCACGTCGGCTGACTACCTCCGTGAGCAGCTTCTCGAGTGCATCGAGCTCGGGCGGAAGGGGCGCGCTCCGCATGAGACGGATGCGAGGAAGGACTCGTTCCGCCGGCTCGGCGCTGCGTTGCACACGCTGGAGGACTTCGCTGCGCATAGCAACTTTGTCGAGCTGTGCCTGCATGAGCTTGGCGAGAAGGACATCTTCGCCTTTGTCGGGGACGAGTGCCGGGTCACAGTGCCCGATGGCGCCAGGGCAGGAAAGGTGGTTGCGCCTCTCACCACGGGCACTTTCGGCATGCTGGACATTTTCCACTCATTGCTTGGAGAGGCCGATGACAAGGCAGTTCTGCAGTCCAAGGGCTCCCTAGGAGAGCTGGCAAGCGTGAGTAGACCCCAGCCAGTTTGCCCCACCAGACAATTTGTACACATTGCTTACGATGACGACGTAGAAACTCAACCGAGGAGGTCTGGCATTCGACCAGCTGTTCCAGCTTATTAAGACTGGCATTGGAAGACTGAGCAAGATCCGCCCAGAGATCGACCCACTATTACGGCAGCTGCAGACCGTGCAGGAGATCTTCAAGAGGTATGCACCAAATGACAAGTCGCCATCATTAGTGAGCGACCTGCCCGACGCCAACCTCCTATGGAAGACGATCGAGCCAGTCATCTATCTCCACGACGCCATCTCCAAGTACCTACAGGCCGGCCAGGAAGACGAGGAGGAGTCAACACAGGACTACTCTCACGGCCAGCTGGGCGAGTACACCAACCAGCTAGTCTTCCGCTACCTCTCGGTGATGATAGAATCCTCGGTCATGGAACTGCGCAATGCAGTGAGGGCTGCAAGGGACCGAGTAGACGAGGAGGCCGCCAAGTGCGAGTCCGCAAAGGTCTTCAACGACGGCAGCGCCGCCTCGGACCCGAGCCACTCGGACCTGTCCAAGGACCACTTCGGCAACATCCTGAACCAGCCGGCCGGCCTCGTGGCGACGGTCACGACGAACTGGGCCACGCAGCAGGTCGTGAAGTGCTGGGACGACCCGGACATCGACGCCGAGCTCGTCATCGACAAGATCCTGTCCATCCTGCACCACCCGTCCTTCCCCGACAGCAAGACCCCGATCCAGCAGTACATGTTCGACACGATCAAGGCCTGGTGGGAGACGACGCCGGCGGGGGAGCAGGCCCGCATCCGGGGGAAGCTCACAAAGGAGAGCGTGCGCGAGCGCCAGCACGAGGACCACACGCTGACCCTGGTCGACTTTGAGGGCAAGCACAAGGGCCCCGCCGACTTCCCCGGCGCATGGCCCGAGGTGAGGCAGCCGCCCCGCAAGGCGTCGCTCATCCAGGCGGGCGTCAACGACGCCATCGCCGACTTCAACTGGGCGCTGGCCGTCACCCAGAAGGCGCGCACTGACCCCCGGGGCGCGGGGCGGGACGTCTGGAACGCGTCGGGTTATTTCGTTCATAATGTCGTTCTTCTTTGGCTGGCTGTCATCTATCGGATCCTGGGTGTGTTTATGTGGGTGTTTGGCAAGCTCATGTGGCCCTTTGGGTGGGGCCGGGAATCGAACTCGGAATCAGGATCGGACTCGTAGAAAGACTACACAACTTCCATCGTTTATACAGAGGTAGAGACTCGGAGATGGGCGTACGGGTATGGTCTGCATTGGACAAGGCACGGCGCGGTGCTTGGATTCAGAAGGTCTGATTACACATTAGATCTATTTACAGGAACTGCTTTTGATAGCCACCACATAAATCATATACCCCCACCTAAACCCCCTCGTCACCACCACCTCCACCCTGCCACGCCCTCGCCTCAAAACAGAGAGACACCCCGCCGCTCCCCAGTCGTCATCAACAACGAAACGCTCCTCCGCTTCCGCGCGGCCGCATAGCAGTTGTCATAGATAGGGATGCACCGCGCCGCCCCGCCCGCGGCGCACGCCGTGCCCACGAGGCACGCCTCGCCCGCGGCGCACTGCGCGTCGGACGTGCACGTCGCGGTGCTGGTGCCGCACCGCCCGCAGGAGCTGCAGACCGCCGTGCCGTTGACGTCCTTGTGGCACGCGCTCCAGCGCGTCGCCGAGTCCGGGTTGCACCCGTTGAAGGCGTCGGCGGACTGCGGGACCGCGACGTCGTAGGGCTTTAGGTCGACGCCGCAGACGTGGCCTGGGGTGGTTGGGGTCTGGGTTGGGAGGGTGGTTGGGAGGGTGGAGAGGGTGCTGGACGAGAGGGAGGAGATTGTGCTGGAGGAGAGGGGGGAGATCGTGCTGGAGGATAGGGTGCTTGAGGGGGGGGCTGTGGAGGTGGAGAGGACGGCCGATGATAGGCTGGACTGGGTGGATGACAGGCTTGGGGCACTCGAGGCGGAGCTGGACACGACGGATGAAGACAGGGAGGATGAAAGGCCGGACTGTGTGGACGACAGGCTGGGAACACTCGAGGACAGGCTTGGAACACTCGAGGACAGGCTAGGAACGCTGGACGACAGGCTGGAAACGACGGAGGAGGCCAACGAGCTCACGCTGCTGGCTGACGACAGCGCCGACGAGGTGATGCTGGCGGCCGAGAGAGATGACGAGGACACGCCGCTGCTGGACACCTGAGACGAGCTGACCACAGCCGAGCTCGCAGCCCCGGATGACGAGATCAGAGCAGTGCCCGAGCTGGAAACGGCAACGGACGGGGCGGCAGAGGAGCTGATGGCCGAGGAGATGCTGGACATGATGGACGACATGACGGAGCTGATGCTGGACAGCTCCGCGCTGTTGGTGAGGGTGGTGACGGGCACGAACGACGAGCTCACGCTGTGGACCGACGTGATGACGGACGACGAGGCCGGGGCCGTGGGCTGTGTGGTGCCCGGCGTGGTGGCGGCGGCAGGCGGCGTGCTCGTCGAGGAGCTGGTCGGGGTGGTGGTAGTGGCGACCACGAGCCCCCTGCTGGTCGACGTCACGGTGGCCCCCCTCACGGTCACGATGGTGGGCAGCGTGGCCCTGGCCGAGGACACGGTCACCGTCGTCTTGCCCTGGACGGTGGCCGTCACCGTGGGCGCCGTCCACGACGACGAGAAGCACGAGCACGCGGCCGACACGGCCGGGACGGCGAGGCCGACCCGGGCCGCCTGGGCGAAGACCGCGAAGTCGACGAGGGCCCGGTCCTCGAGGGTGGCGCGCCCGTCCAGCAGCTCGCGCCTGACGTGTTCGCTGCGGTAGTGGAGGACCTCGCGCTTCCCCGGGACGAAGACGGTGGTTGTCTGGGCCTTGTCTGTGACGTAGACTGTGGAATATGCGGTTGCTGCGACGGTGCTGTGATAAAAGGTTGTCAGTTTGTGGTTCGGGTATCATCAGCCGAGCAAGCTGGGTACTTACACGGTAGGCGCGACTGTGATGGTGGCAGTTGGGGTCTTGGGCGAGATGTTGACCGCAGCCTTGCAGAATGGGGCGCCGTAGGCCGGCAGGGCCAGCATGAGCCGGTAGAGGAGATCATTTGCGCAGGTCACTGCCCGGGTGTCCACTCCGGCGGCGGCTGAGTTGCCCAGCCCTGCGAGGACGGAGGCAACGAGTGCCAGGGTCGCCTTGGTATGCATTGTTGCTGGAAGAAGGGTTTTTTTTTTCTTCCTTTTTTTTCTTTCTTTCTCTTTTTCTTCTTATGTTTAGAAGCTTGTCTGGTGGTAGCGAGGGACCGGGTGCTCAAAGCGAGTGGAGCACGAAACGAAAGACGCAGAGCAAACAACGAATGGAATTGCTGGCCGTGGCAGCGCGTGGTGCATGTGGTTGAGTGCCCAGAAAAGCACGACGATAGTAATGATCGACAGCGGCCATGTTCTTTATACCCACCCATCCTGTCGGGATGGTCCGCATCTTCTCCGCTCAAGCACGACCGTCAATGATCACATTACGGAAATGTGGGCGTAGCTGAAGCGCAGCTAGTTGGCAGAGAGCAGCCCTGGAGCGCATGAAGCTGAATTCAGGACCAGGCTATGATGACCCGAGTGTGTGGATGAGACTGGCCGACTATCGTGTTCCTGCATTAGCCCCAACAAGGTTAACAAGCCACCCCTATACAATCAAGGCCCGTGGGCACAGCTTCCTCGACAAAAATAGGATGCCCCTCTCGTATCTAATCTTTAGCCGCGTCCGAGCTGAAGGTCATTTTCCCCCATGGGGACGGGCTAGCTGGCGCCTCGGTCCTCGTGGGCCTGGATGCTCGGATGACATGGCAACGCGCTAGAACAGAGCTTGAAACGCCACTAGGTCGGTCATCGCTGAGTGGCTACGGAGTATTGCTGCTGTCCAGCCGCGGCTAGCCCTCTGCCAAGACCATTGTTATATGAATTGCTGAAAAGCTCTGCAGCGGAACTGGGCTGGTTTACTGGGCTGTGTCGGTATCCGATGCTTATTCGATGAGTTCCGACGACGGCCGTGCACAACTAGCTACCAGCCCAGTAGTTAAGACTCGGAATTTCCACAATGTGTAATCAACTAGATCCAGGGGCTGAATGGCCATTGGCAATTGCACATTCAAACACGGTCCTGTATTGACACCTCGCACCATTGTTACTGCGTCCAGGTGCTATACCGGTTGATCGTTGTTCCATTTTTGATCCATGTACATGCGCAGGCCTATGTGTTCCCTCCGTACAATAGGAAGTGCTCAAAGATCTGTAATCGAGGGTCGATGGATATAGAACTATCATTAGAAGGTACCCAGGTAAGAGGCTTTGGTTGCCTGTCTGCTGGAATTGCTAGGGGCGCCTTCCATTTGTACTGTTTTCCGGTACGTGGTTATAGCAGGGTGAGACACATCCCTGCGCAAATTTTGAGAATTTTTGTGGCGGCTGGGCCTCACACAGTTCCTCTGGTTGACAGGCCACCTTAACATCTTGTCTGACAACCGCATGGTTCGATGGATACAACACAAAGCAAGCAAGATTGCATGCCATGATTAAGTGGTTATGGTCCTCGCGTTCTTTGAATATAGTGCCATGATTATACACCCGGTCCTTCGATATTTCAGTCGAACACCTCTCCCATTCTCCAGTAAGCCGCGACTCGTCGCTCAGGACCGTCTCGTAATGGCATCATCCCCGGTATAGGATCCAAATCATCCGGGGTGGGTCGCCCCCTTTCCCGGCTTCATCATTGTCGTAAATCCATGCCAATACTTGCCCTTAGGATCCTCAAGCCGACTTAGACTCGGGACGGCCTCTCCGGTCTTCCTCACCATCGCCGTGTTCACAAAAACTGAGACGGTCTCGATCCTGAAGTTATGCCTCATCCCAAGGTCTCCGAAGTGGAATTTCCATTCAGTTCGGAGCAATAGATGGTAATGATAAAACGGAAAACGAATGTGCCAACAACTTGGCTGGCGCTATTATGACGGGATGGGACCTCAAAGTGCGAGGCGGTGGGGAACAGTGCATCCCACTGACAAATGAATCTAGAACGCTGCCAACAAAGTCTGTCACAAACAAGGCCGACCTAAACAACCACAAAGATAGCCCGATTAGTTCGAGTTATAGCCTCTAAGGTATGCGTTCTCCAGGCAGAACATAGAGTTAATGGAGGAGTCTCTTATACGTGGGGACTTTGTTCCCTGTCCACTGCTTATGTATGATGCTGGAGTTGAGGACCTGCACAAAGTCACCCTGCCGGAGGCCTTATCGAAACAGATGAACCGAAAAAGGACCCGCTATCTCAGGCGTAGTATTAGCCATCTCGCCAAGACAACCACCGCCCACGGGGTCTCAACTGTTCTGGCTGCATGTGGCCGTGCGCTAATGAAGCCTCCTTGCGCAGAAGATCAAGTTGAATTGGTGTTCATTGAGGGGGGCCGTCCCGTTTGCTTGATGTCTCCCCGCAACAGGTGGCAGTACCTAGGTACCTAGGTACTGTAGCAATCCATCGGGTCCGTGCACTGAACTTACACACCTTATCTTATCAGGACAACTGCCCACGACTTTAAACACGGTCAACGGAGCTGCTCCTTCCATTCTCTTCCTCAGGCAAGCCACCTTGTGCTTTCGTTTGCCAGTGCAGATCCAGACGCTGTGAGATCGTCCCAGCTGGTTGGTGGCGGCGGATTGAAACGACCTCCCGACACATCCGCATCAACTTTGGCTGACAAGCCTCGCTCAACAAACCCCTCCCTTCTTGTCTCATCTGAAACGCCAACAACAAACCCAAAAGCCAAAACTCCCAACACACCACAGTCGGCCACGATGCCTCGCGGCTACTATCTTGCCCAGGGACTGATCCCGCTCGGCTACCACAGCAGCGACGACGAGGAGGGCCCCTGCGAGCTGCCCAATGGCCGCCTCGTCTGTGGCCCGCACGGCCTGGTCGTCTGCGGCAGGTGCTGCACCGACTACAGCTTCATGGAGGACGTCCTGAGGGACGACGACGACGAAGACGACGACGAAGACGACTATGAGTCCGATTTCGAGTCCTCGGATGGGGAGGAACTGACGCCCGAGGACATTCTGCGCCATCTTCTCGAGGGGGCCCCCGAGATGGTGAGGGGCACCGGCAAGGTGTTCCCGACAAAGTTTGTCCCGTCCGACGGCAACAAGGCGCCGCTGGATGAGTTCCCCAACCACCGCATACACAGGATGATGCTTCGGTGAGCGGCGTCGCTCGCTAACCTCTCTCTGCCCTCGCGCCCTATACTAACCCCATCGCCGCAGACGTACCCACTCCAATGACAAGACCAAGCTCCTCATCATGACCGACGGGGCGTGCCTCAACAACGGCCAGCCCAACCCGAGGGCGGGATGGGCATTCTACGAGGGCGACAAGACCACCCGCGGCGGCGGGGGGCCGTCGGTGGTCACCGGCCGCCTCGAGAACCAAGGGCCCTGGGGCGACCAGGCCGGCCAGACGAGCAACCGCGCCGAGCTGCGCGCCGTGGCCGCGGCCCTGCGGTTCAGCTGCTGGGGCGGCGCGGGCTTCAGGACGCTCGTCGTCGCCACCGACTCGGCGTACGTCGTCGACGGCGCGACGCGGTGGGCCAGGACCTGGGTCCGGAACGGGTGGAGGACCAAGGGCGCGAGCGGCGGCGGGGACGTCAAGAACAGGGACCTGTGGGAGCTGCTGCTGGGCGAGTGCGAGAGGGTCCGCGAGGACGGCCTCGCCGTGCAGTTCTGGCTCATCCCGCGCGCGTGGAACACCCTGGCCGACGAGGGCGCCCGGAAGGGTGCTGCTGGGGGGGAGGCTGCTGATAAGTTCCAGGACCGGTTCTGAAAAGCCTGAGACTCGTGCTTTCGACCAGCCTGAGGTGGGACATATCCAGGATTGGGGCATTCCCAAGTGGCTAATGCCGGATTCTTTTTGGACGTCTTGAGACCGAATACGGTGCTTCTACGTGTCTCTCTTTTGGCGCTCCTCTCCGGGGCAACCTTGGAAGCTTGTACGAGCTGTTAGATAAGCGATCACTTTGTTTACGAATGGTTGACGGACAGAAAGCCAGACAGACAGATAGGTATGCAGAGTGGGGAAAATGCATCAGTAGGGCTGCTGGTGTTGCCGCAAGACCGAGTGGTTGACACCAGCGATGTGCGTGTAGCTCGGCTTGTTTATTATTAACAAGCTCGACATCAAATCATCAATTGCGTGGGTATCTGCACGGTGAGTTCTTTTAAGGTCAACGCTAATGAGTATATCAACATACGATAGGAACAGACAGAGCAAGGTCGAGTCAAGTGGTGCCGCGCCCCTGATATGCCCGTCGGGAACCCGGCTTTAAGAGGGTAGCATTCTTGGCGAAGCGAGGCTGAATACGGCAACTCGACAACTCAATCACACGGGGGAGCTCGTATTGACCCTGACAAGTGGGACTGCCGGAACGGTATCCACTCTGGCACTTTGCGCCCATGATATGACGATCGGTTCATATAAATAAATCCAACCGTCGCAGCCACAAGGGAAAGCCGTCGAAGATGATGCATGTCATTTTCTCAGGCTCTGCGAAGAAGAACCGGCCGACAGGATGCTCCCACGACTGGCTGGATGTGCCCTGGGTGCGCTGCTTCTCGGCGCATCCACCGCCAAGCCCACTCCTGTGAAGACCGAGGACGCGGTGGTCCCGGGCGCGTACATGATCGAGTTTACGGACGACCATGCAAGTCTACCAGCCCCGTCCGCAGACACTAGATGCTGAACCGTCTCATCGGGACACTGCAAAAGATATTCAAATGCTGACCGGCCCGCACACAGGATGCAGAAAGCTTCTACGCCGGCCTGGCCGAGCGGGAGCTGTCGGTCACGGGGAGGATGAACATGTCCTTCTCCCTGTTCCGGGGCGCCTCGTTCCATCTAAAGGACGTGCCCGACGAGCTGGCACAGGGCCGCCTCATGAAGATTCCCGGGGTCAAGAACCTCTGGCCGATCCAGTCGATCCCGCCACCCGACGACGAGGTGCTCTGGACAGGCGACAACAACAGCCACAGCACCGCGCCGCCCGTCCTGAAGCGACGCCAGGCATCATCACCCGCAGCAGCAGAAGCAGCCGACACGTACGTCCCCCACGTCATGACGCAGGTCGACCAGCTGCGCGCCGAGGGCTTCACGGGCAAGGGCGTGCGGATCGGCATCATCGACGACGGCGTCGACTACACGCACCCGGCGCTGGGCGGGTGCTTCGGGGAAGGGTGCCTGGTGGCGTACGGCTACGACCTGGTCGGCGACGCCTACGCCGGCGCGGGCGACACGCCGCGGCCGGACGGGGACCCGATGACCTCGTGCGGCGGGCACGGCACGCACGTCGCGGGCATCATCGCGGCGCGGGACGCGGGGATGGGCTTCACGGGCGCGGCGCCGGGCGCCTCCCTCGGCATGTACAGGGTGTTTGGGTGCGGCGGCGGCAGCGACACGGACGTGGCGGTGGCGGCGCTGAACCGCGCGTTCGAGGACGGCAGCCACGTCATCTCGATGAGCATCTCGCGGACGTCCGGGTGGAGCGAGGACCCCGTCGCCGTCGCGGCGCAGCGCATCGTCGAGGCCGGGGTCCCCTGCGTCCTCAGCGGCGGCAACAGCGGGTCCGGCGGGCTGTTCCTCGCCGGCACCGGGGCCACGGGCAAGGGCGTCACGTCGGTCGGGTCGGTCGACTCGGCCGAGCTGGGGCTCGTGCTGCTGCGCGCGTCCTTCTCCACTACTGCTGCTGCGCAGGAATCGAGCAGCAATGCGTCCGGGCCTGCTGCTGCGCCCGAGCCGTTTGGGTGGCAGCCTGGCACGCCGGCGTTTGGGAACGTGTCGCTGCCGCTGTACGCCGTCAGCAACAGCACGGGCGTCGAGGATGATGCCTGCAGCCCGCTCCCTGACGGTACCCCTGACCTTTCTGGCTATGTCGCGCTCGTCCGCCAGGGGTATTGCAGCGACTTTGTCAAGGCGCAGAACGTTGCTGCCAAGGGGGCGCGGTACATGTTGGAGTATTCGTATTACGAGGACGCGTGAGTAGAAGAATTCTCTGGTTGGGGTTGGAACTGCTGGTTCCGTAACACTGCATCTGTGGCAGTGGCTGATGTTGCATTTCTAGGGAGTCTCTGAGCGGACCGTGGGTGGACGATGAAGAGCCCCGGATCGTTGGGACTGGAACAGTCACCGCGGCCCAAGGGGCAGAGTGGGTTGACTCCCTCAACCAGGGCAGCGTCGTGACGGTTGATATCGTGGCCTCGGCCCAGGCGGGCAGCCTCGTCGAGTGGAGCCCCAACACCAGGAGCGGGGGCGCCATGAGCCTCTTCTCGTCGTGGGGCCCAACGTGGGAGATGGACCTGAAGCCGACCTTCTCCGCGCCCGGCGGCTTCATCGTGTCTACCTGGCCGCTCGCCCTCGGCGGCTACGCGATCCAGTCCGGCACGTCCATGTCCACGCCCCTGATCTCGGCCATCTTCGCCCTCATCGGCCAGGCCCGCCAGGACTTTGACCCCAGGACCCTCAACAGCCTGGTCTCGGCGACAGCAGCGCGGGTCGGCTGGTACGACGGCAACGCCATATCGAGCGACGTGCTGGCCCCGCCGACGCAGCAGGGTGGCGGCATGGCGCAGGCACACCGCGCCGCGCACGCGACGACGCTGCTCAGCGCCTCGGGCATCTCCTTCAACGACACGGCCAACTTCATCCCCGGCGTCAGCTTCACCATCACCAACCGGGGCGCCGGGCCCGCGACGTACAGCCTCGGGACACTCGAGGCAGAGACCATGTACACCTTCAACCCGGGGAACGACTACCCAGCCTACTTCCCCAACCCCACCGCGAACAGAACCGCCAGGCTGAGCTTCTCGGCGCCGCAGGTCACCGTCCCCGCCGGGGGGTCCGCCGAGGTCACCGTGTCGTGCGAGCCGCCCGCCGGCGCGGACGGGGCCCGGCTGGCCGTGTACAGCGGCTACGTCACGGTCACCACGGCGGCGGGAGACGGGGGCGAGGATGAGAATGAGGTATTCTCGATCCCCTACGTCGGCGCCGTCGGCAGCCTGCGCGCCGCCAAGGTCCTCGACGACGACTACGTGTACCTCACGCGCTGGGACGACGGGTCCCTGACGCCGTCCGCGGGCAACGAGACGTTCGTGGTGCCGCGGCCCAACGCCACGACGCCCGCCTCGGGCGGCGGCCCCGCGGTCGGATACCCCGCCACCGTCATCCAGCTCAACGTCGGCTCGGCGCTGCTGCGGTGCGATCTGGTGCCTGCCTCCGGCCCCGGTGGCGGCGGCAACGCGACGGCGGCAGGGGGAGTAGAGCCGCTGGGCACGTTTGGGATCTTCCCCATGGAGTATGTGCCGCGGGCGTATTTTATCAATGCCTTCACTGGGATGCTGACCGACGGGACCGTCGTCCCTGAGGGCACGTATGCTTTTGTTGTGCGGGCGCTTAAGATCTTTGGGGATCGGGAGGTCGCTGAGGATAGCGAGGTGGTTCGGACGGTGCCTTTCACTCTGAAATATGAGTCTTGATCTTTTTTATGAGGTGTGTATATGAGTGATTTTATTCTTGGTGTAGATAATGAATCAGATATTGGATATTCTTCTTCAATTTGTTCCGTTAAAGCATACCTAGGTAGGACACCTGCACTGTACATGATTCCGAGGCATGGTGCTCTGGAATTATGAATACTAGGGAACCATCAAGTTGAAGGACTGCTGGGCTGAGGTCACTGCCAACTCCAAGGCAATGCTCATTCGACGAGAGATCCCGTTCGGCCCCGCCATCGCCACGGAACGGGATGGATGTCAACGGCTGAACCGCCCTTAATTTCTGTGATCCGCCAGTAAAAGGCCTGCCGTGGAATCTCACCAAGTCAGAGGCGGGAGGTTCGATCCAGAACCCGTCTTCACACCCGGACCGGGTCTTGGCAGCCGGGTCACGGTCAAGGTGAAAGGAGGATGTGACGAGCCGCGTCGGGCGGGCGAGCGTCGAGCCTTTTGGCTTTCTTTGACAGCCCATCTGTCTTATTTCTTGAACTTGCCCATCCAAGGCAGCCCTCCGTCCACACAAACTTGGAAGCTGCCCTCCAAGCCCCTATAATATCATCACACTCGCTTCACCGACTTGGACCATCAGACCTTGTCTGTTCACACAGAGACACCAACGACGCCGCGGGAAAACAAAAACCATCAGCAACGATGCCGCACCCAACCCCCAAGCTCACCCGCACCTGCACCATCCTCGCCCTCCTCGCCCTCCTCTCGCCCCTCCCCGCCCTCGCGAGGACAGACCTCGCCGGCTGCGCCTCCTTCACCAGCATGGTGACGGTCGACCCCACGGCCCACGGCTACGGCAACGTCTACCCCTCCGTCGTGTACTACGTCCCCGACACCCTCGAGATCTGCGCCGCCCCGGACTGCGGCGGCGGCCGCGCGCCCCCCAAGACCGGCGTGCCGGGGTGCCCGCTGTACTCGGGCACCGCGGCGCCGGGGACCAGCTTCCTCGCGGCCGACCCGCTGGCCCCGGCGCCGACCCTGGGCGCTGCTGAGGCCCAGGCCCCTTCGCATGCAGACGGGGTCAGCCCTGGGACTGTGACTGCTGCTGCTGCTGCTGAGACGACGGGTGGCGTCCACGCTGCCGGCGCTACGGGGTCGGGGGAGGAGGAGGAGGCGCATGTGGCGGTGCCCGAGGTGTCCGAGTCTGAGTCCGAGGCCGAGGCTGGCTCGAGCACGGTCACGGTGCGTGTGGCGACGGTCACGTCTACCCTGGGGCCGGTGAGCGTCAGCCCTGTTGGGACCCCCGCCGGGCCAGGACTCGGAGGAGTCCCGCATACAAATGGGACGGGGTCGACGGGTGTGAAGGGGAACGGGACTGGGGGTGTGGCTGGGAATGGAACGGGGCCGCCTGGCAAGCCGCTTGATACTACTGCGTCTGGGAATGTGTTGGGGGTTACCATGGCTGGGCTGTCTTTGGCCCTCGCTGCGGCTGCTTTTGTTTTGTGAGATTGGGACGGGATCCATGGATGTTTGGTGTGTATTTGTGTTTGTGTGATGAGTTAGTGAGTGACTAAGTCGATATTCTGTTCTATCTACTTCAGTACATATGCATGACTTCCATGGTCTTGGCTGTCACATTTGAATAACTACTACCAGCCTATGGCCAGTTTAGTGTCACGTTTTGCACGTATAGTGCGGTGCTATTATTCGTGACACCAGCCAACTTATAGAAGCAATTAATGCTGTACCACGCCTATTGCGGAGTACTAGTGCTGACTCCGAGATGCTCGCAACGCGAATGTCTCCTAACATGTGAACAATATATTGGTCATATGTCGGTCAAAGCCGCCATCGAATTATCAAAACCCCAGCACCACGCCACCACGCAACATCACCTGGCAGATACTCATTCAGGAATTCTATCGACTGGGGAACAATGTATTCTCCATACCTTCTTGGGTATCTCCCAGATACTACATGGTCCAAGGCACTCTCCACCGCGGCACTCGTGCTAGCCACCTACCTCCTCGCCGTCCTGCTCCACGCCCAGCTGCTCCACCCGCTGCGCAAGTACCCAGGCCCCCTGTACGCGCGCTTCACGCGCATCCCCTTCTGGACCGCCAGCCTCCGCGGCCACGGCCACACCTTCCTCCACGCCCTCCACGAGAGACACGGGCTCGTGGTGCGCTACAGCCCCAGCGCCGTCTCCTACACCGAGCCACAGGCGTGGAGGGACATATGCGGCCACGCTGACAAGAGCGGCCGGCCGGCGCGAGAACCCCAAGGCATCCTGGTTCCAGCTGCCAGCGTACAATGGCGTCCCCAGCATCTTTGCGGTCCCCGACGGCGGCGGGCACGCCAGGGTGCGCCGGGCGTTCGCGCCTGCGTTCTCGGAGCGCAGCCTCAAGGCGCAGGAGGGCCTCTTCCGGCGGTATGCCGACCTCCTCGTCGCCAGGGTGCGGGAGCAGGCCGGCGAGGATGAGCGGGTCGAGATGGTCAGGATGCTGAACTACACGGCCTTCGACATCATGGCCGAGCTGTGCTTCGGCGAGCCCCTCGGGCTCCTGGGGATGATGGACTACAGCCCCTGGGTGGCGTCTGTCTTTGCCGCGGTCAGGATGCTGCCGTTCCTGCAGATCTGTGCGTATTACCCCGTGCTGGGGCGTCTGTTGCACTGGCTCGAGCCGGGCTGGGCGAGGGAGATGAGGGGCGCCCACTTCAGGCACTCGGCGGACCGCGTGGACCGCCGGCTTGCGGACGGGAGCGACAAACCTGACATTTGGAACCTGCTGTTGTCGGAGGACGGCAAGGGGCACCGGCTCACGCTGGACGAGATGCACTCGAACGCCGAGGGCTTCATGCTGGCGGGCACGGAAACGACGGGTAAGATATTGATATTCCTACCCTTCCAGTGGCATGATTTAGCCTCAGACATGTGTTAAAAACTAACTAACTGGCCTCAAACCGCAGCCACGCTGATGAGCGGCCTCCTGTACCACCTCCTCACGAACCCGGACAAGCTCGCCCTCCTCCGCGCCGAGGTCCGCACCTCCTTCACCTCGAGCGACGAGATCACCATGGAGCGTCCACCAGGTGGCGGCGTACCGCTCGCCGGCCAACTTCATGCGCCCGGGCCGCTTCGCGCCCGAGAAGTGGCTGGGCGATGCCGAGTACGCCGCGGACAGGAGGGACGCCCTCCAGCCCTTCTCGTTTGGGCCCCGCAACTGCGTCGGGGTGAGCTTTGCCTGGCACGAGGTGAGGCTTGTCGTCGGCAGGCTCGTCTTCAGCTTTGACTTTGAGCTTTGTGAGGAGAGTCGTGATTGGGCGAGGCAGAGGGTCTTTGTCCTCTGGGAGAAGAATCCTTTGTATCTACGTGTCAAACCTTTTGGTGAGGTGAGGGCCCAGTAGAGCGATGCTCCTTACCGACTTCCTAGGTAGCCTTTTGGGTCTGGCCTGCATTCTTCTTAAGGATCTGCTCGCTATATGTACCCTTGGCCATGGTTATCTATTTGAACAGGCCTGCCAGCAGTCTTGGAGTGTATGTGGCTGTGCTTTAATATTCACTATGATGGCCATTGAATGAGATTACAGACCGAATCTTGTGAAAGGTAAGGGAAAAAGCAAACTCAATACTGGGCCACCCATAATGGCTGCTGATATGAACACCGACAGTAAGCGTGGTTTTGTTTTTAATCCCCATACATATAAAATGTACCTGGCGCCTTCATACAGTGGTAAACGCTCAAGACCTAGCGTTTTTTTTTTTTTAAAAAAAAAGCACAGTGCCAGTAACAGTGGAAAGAGAATACAGTACGTGTTACGGAACCCAACCATGGGATTTGTGAGACGTCCAACACCGCATCGAACATCGTGACGGCATTTTCAGAAGTATCCGAGGCGACATTCGAGACGCCAGTCGAAGTGCCGATCAATACAACTCGCGTCGCAAATCCAGACATGGAAGATATCGGAAATCAGGGGACAAGTACAAGGAGAAGGACAATTCGAGGAACAACTACAAGTCAGCGAGCAAGCCGGATCGCAAGCGTTTGATCTCCTCGGACTTGGACATGCTGTCCCCGCCAAAGCGACAGCACCGGCAGGCCGAAGTATTTCCGGATGACCAAGCCGGAGTCCCATTCGAGTGGCAAAGTTCCATGTTTTGTGGAAAAAGAATAGGTCCCCAAGGGCTCGCAGGCGGACCGAAATACAATATCTGGTCAAAGGGTACTGGTTCCGCGGTGCCTGGATATTGCTTGTATTGCTTGTTGACAGGGAATGGTCAAGCCGCAATGATTGCCACAATGGAAATTCCAGTCCGGTCTTTGAATTGTGTTTGTCGCGGTTGAGTTGAAATCCGCAACATACTGGTAGTGCTGTTTGACGGCTTTCATGCCAGGTTAGGCATGTCCGTCAGACCTTCGGGCTATTTAAGCCGACTTCGGCTTCGATGACATCAAAGCATTCCAGCCAAAGCTCTCAGGCCTTGTATAGAACGAGCTGTGCCTGAAAATTCTGGCATTTACATATCGCAAACAGTTGGTATCACTCACAAGCATGCCCGGCCAGGCAAGGTACTTAGCTTAGTAGGCCCCCCTATACCGGCGTTAGGTCTGTTCCAAAGAATTAGACCATGCTTGCCCAAAGGATCGGTGGTGACATCCTCTGCATACGCCTCTGGCGTGGCAAACTTTACGGCGCCGTTTCATGAACGCGCGATCCAACACTTGAGCCCTGCACTGGCAGGGCGGGTACATGCTGCCGGGTGGCATCTTGTTGCCCCTCGATATGTTTGACGATACAGCCCCTATTCTAGTATGAACGATCGTATTATTAACGCCGAATGGAACAATAAGCTCGGTTCGAATCCTCTTAGAGGAAGACTCCAATGGCCGCCTTGCTAGTGTTTTAGGACACCTGGTGTCAAGCAGCACGAGGCTGAGGCCACGTGCCCACACACTGTATTCTCTCCATACTGTTATTACATATCTAGCATTGTACTTTTTTAAACGCTGGTCTAGCGCGTTTACCACCATATGAAGGCGTTATATGTTCTATATATATGGGGGTTAGAAATAAAACCATATTTTCATGGACACGTAATTCTCGACTTGAGCCCTGCATGGCGAGTGCTATTACATGTTTCCGGGTGGCATCTTGTCGCCTGGGTGCTCCGCCCTCGATATGTTTGACGATACAGCCCCTGTTCTAGTGTGAACGACCGTATCAGCATCAGCGAATGGGGTAACAAGCTCGGTTCGAACCTTCTCCGAGAAAGCCCCAACGGCCGCCTTGCTGGCATTGTAGGACGCCTGGAATGGAGGCAAAAAAGGCCTCATTCACAGATCCCGTGGCCGCGAGTGTTCCACTTGTCCTGGAAGAGGAGCGGCAAAGGCGCCTGGGTCACAAAATGCCGCCGACATTCCCGAGGTGGCCTCGAAGACACGGCGGAGGCCGTCAACGGCGCAGTCCGCGGGCTGACGACATTGGACGCAGGCGTTGTCGCCGAGTATCTCCAGACCGCAACCGTCGGTGGCCTCTCGGCGCTCGGATGGTTCGGCCGCCCATGGCCATAGCACTTGGCCAGGGCACTCCGAGTCAGTGGCGTCCAGGGTGAAGCCGCGGGTGGCGTCGATGTCGTGCATAGGGAGAGACGGGTCTTGACTCGGCGCCTCGCGCACCCCGTCCCCCCCCCCCCCCCACCCCGTTCGAGCCGTTGTGCGCTAGACCGGGCTTTTAAGAATAGCGAAACCTAATTCGACCCGGCCCCTTGTCTGCTGCGGCAAGGGGCAGGGGGAGGCTGGGCTGCCGGATTTAGAGTTCATCTGAATCGTCATCCGCCTCGCGCGGCGATAAAGTTTCGGGAACTTCCGGCCTGGCGCATGGGGGAGGGTAGTCGTGGGTGCGTGGCTCGGTAGTGAATCGATACGCGAGAGGTTCTTGTTTCGACGACATTCTGGGGAGGTGATGTGGGTCTTTGGGGGAGGGGGGGGGCGGGGGATGACCAAGTGAGGTCAAGCACCCGCGGGCGTGTGACGCGGCTCTTCTCTGGGCTTGACGAGGTGCGTATTGTGGATATCACGCGTGAACACCACGTTAAAGAGGAAAGTGGTTCTGGACACATGACGCCTGATCGTCTTGGCATGATAATGAGGAAAACTACATCGCCAAACAGAATGGTAGGTGTTGCCGGAATTCAACTCAGTGCCATTCGATCTTGTCACGTCAACAAGCGCAAATGGAGGGGTAACAGGGGAATAAATGCTCCCAACGAAATGAAGACAATCAATACTACTGCAAAGGCACATAGAAAACTTCAATAGAACTCGAAATATCTCAAAAAGTTAAAAATCCAATTCCGCTGAATGCACATGCTACCTAGGTATCTTTTATCTACAATCTGTTTTACACCCGACAGGAACACCAAGACCTCAGTCAAAGTGGATACGCCACAGCTCCCGATCACAGCCGGCAGTGAAGTCGCTCCGGGTGTGCATCATCAGGATGTTGTCCGAGATGACCAGGTCCCCCTTCTCCCACGAGTGCCAGTACGCCACGCGGCGGTCGTGCAGCAGGCTGTCGATGGCGGCGCACAGGGCGTCGTTGTTCTCGACGGGCCCGTTCTCGTCCTCGATGGTCACGTAGGTCGGGTCGAAGGCCGTCTTGGTCTGCGGCCACGGCTCGTGGTACCGCAGGCACGGCTTGCCCGTCGTCGGGTGGTCGATGACCAGCGGCAGGCCGCGCAGCTTGGTCGCGTCGAAGGACGAGGTGCTCACGCCCCAGGTCAGCTTGCGCAGGTAGTCGAGGTCGACGTCCTCCGGGAGGTACTTGAAGACCAGGGTGGAGCTGGAGAAGAGGGTGTAGCCGGTCGTCTTGGGGGAGCTTGTCACGCCCGTGAAGAATTGGAATCTGGTGGGGTCGTTGTTAGCATTTGCCAGATGTAATGAGACGTCGGGGCAGTAGTAGGCTTACTGAGGTGGGACAGAAACCAACTCCTCTGTTCCGTCCTCCTTGGTTCGCTTCTCAGTCTTGAACAGGCCGTCGTAGTGGAAGGGCATCCACTCGGCAGAGAGGACATTGTTGAGACCCCTCGTGTCTGCGCCGCGGTCCTTCACCTCCAGCACGAGACCGAACTTCCACGGCAGAGGCGTGCCAAGCTCTTGTGATTTCGCAACAAACAGGTCTCGGTCTGTGGTCTGGGAGAAGCCGCGCATGACTATGGGGGAGTTAATCTCTGAAAGCGCCCGGACCTTTGCTGAGTCGACGTCGTGGATGGACAGCTTCCCGTGGCCGAGAGCAGGCCGGATCATGAAACCAGATGGGTAGATTGGCTCGCAGGTGATGCCGCCCTTCTCCTCCGCCCAAGAGAGCAGCTCTGACTTCTCGCGGAAGTAGCTCGGTCGACCATTCTCGTAGACCAGCTCCATCTTCGGGTCGTTCTCAAAGTCGGCTCGGAGGCCGCTGGTAACGGTACCGTCGAGCCTGAAAGCTACCGTGCTGTGCCATGGTGTGGTGTAGAATGTATCGGTTGGCAGTGGGCTGACCGAGATCTTTGTTTCACCGGTGGAGGGGTGAATTGAAAGTCGGATGTGGTCGGAGAAGGTTTCTCTGACGGCACGTGCGAAAGCCTAATTTGTGGTCAGCCCCGGGGATCGAGCGCCAAGAAGTAATCCAGGGGTCACTTACATCTCCACGGAACAGCATTTGCTTGGCAATGTACCCAAGTCCCTTCTTGTACTTCTTCCTTGACCTCTCCTCGTTGATTGGGTAAACAGTCTGCAGATCGGTCTCCAGGAACTTCAGATATCCTCGATAAGTCAGGCAAGTGTCCTCGTGGTCGGCGATCTTCAGGTCGACGTCGTAGTCACGCTTGCTGAATGAGTTCAGCAGGGCCAGACGAAAGTTCGTAGCGTTTGTGACATATGTGATGTCGTCCATCTCATCTGGCACATCGACGTGCACCAGGTCCTTGAGGCGGTTGAACTTGATGTTGTTGAACTCCTTGGCTACGCTCATGGCACGGAGTGCCTCACCATACGCCCAGACATTTCGATCTGGGACGCCGAGAAGATCTGGATGCAACACTGTCAGTATGCGCAAGCTAAGCAGTAAAGACCACGGGTTTCTTACCATTATATACAAGGCCATCGGAGATGATGGTGAGCTCGGCGCCGGGAGGGTAGATGTTCTTGATGCCGTTGCACAAGCCGTTGAGGTGAGCGAGGGCAACCTCTTCTGCCTTGTCCGGAAGGTGACCAAGAACCTTTGTAGTTGAGTTGGGCGACTTGAAAGGGAATGCGGGCAGGCACATGTTAATCACCCGACCCGCCCTAACCTTGCTGTAAATCTGGGCCAGGAACTTCAAGTCTCCCTCGTTGGATTTTGGGGTCTGCTTGTGGCTCAGTCGATAGCGAGAGATAATGTCAAGTATCTTAGAGGCGGTCTCCAAAGCTTGCTCATCCAGCTTGGTGGGCTGGAGAAGGAGGGGCGGCGTCATCTTGCCTGTAGGGGCCGGTGAGGGCACCTCGACTGCGATTGCTGAAGGCATGGCTGAGTTATGATTAAGTTTGACGTTAACAAAAGTAAAAGATGGGCTAAGCCCGCTCTGATCTCAGAGACTAAGTAGTGGTGGTGTAGGTTGGTGTGAACCAGTCTGCAGACTAACAGAACCCACGTGACCGTAATGGCAATGCTGTTTGCCTATGTGCAGAAAGAAACTTCCGGGGAAGATGTCCGGGAAGAGAAATGGCAGGCTACCCAGAAGATAGAGATAGACCTGTTAGGTGACCCGAGTTGTAACGAGGGCGAGGTAGACTGGATCACTTGAAGTGTGTGAGAGAGGAAATGTAGGCTGACAACATCAAGTGCCGTGGAGGACAAGATTAACCGTATATTTAATCTCGACCGATCAATCAGACCCTGGCGTGGCTGCTCAGGCGACCTTGATTTTGGTAGCCCCCCGAGTCGGGTTCTTTACTAATGGAGCTGTTGCCAGATCTGATGAGCGACATTAGCCGATATCACCATACCTCCCGAACCCAGGCCCGGGTATCCCCATCAGGAAGCAGAAAAATGTTTCCAGTTTGTTGGTCTCGGACTCGAGCATGCTACGCCCCAGTGGCGCCCGCATGGTTTCTGACCATGTGGGACAATCATCAGCGAACATGTCTCAATCTCAACGGCCCAGACTTCCAATCGGCGATCGCGTCCCCACAATATCGCAGTGTTTGCCATATTGCAGTCCAAATTCAGGTGTCAGAGTGGAGATTGCTTGGCAGGTTGACGCAGCCTGCATAGTCCATGTGCTGCCATCTTTGGCCGCTGCGGCCGAGGTACTCAACTCAGCCTTGCAAAGGGGAAGCAGATCCTTGCCCTGGATATTGCATGTACAGACTACATTGTGCGGTACTGTGGTACATGGCACAAGGATCTGCAGAGCACGGGCGAGATGGACCCATCTTGTCATGAACCCGCATAGACGCGCGCGGATGTTGTCGGCGCCTTACTCGAAATTGATGCAGGGCCGTGGCTAGTCAACGTCGTATCAACCTTGACTGCCAAGACAGTCCCCCATCCAGTGCCAGGCCTATGCTGGCGGCATGTTTCCGAGGTGGTACCACAACTGGCAACATTTGAAATGTAACATACAAGACGGAGTACCCTAGGGTAGGAAAAACATTCTGGCACATAAACCAGGTTTTTTTAAGATCTTACGATATTCAGGTGAACCAGATGCCTAAGCTCCCTGTATCAGGGGCCCGCAAGCATCCAGCCACTTCCCTGCCCCCATAAGGCTCCTCCCCCTCGGGCGATCTTTGAAAATAACATTGTGGAGCCCCTGGACGATCGCCACATATCCACCGGATCACGGCTCACACAGCAACCGTTCGTTGTATTTTCATCACAGCAGCCGGCGACATCCGGATCTTAGCCAGAAACTGAGTCGCCGACACAGTCCCGTCCTCTGAATATTCACACTTAAGCCACTTGACACGGCGCCGATCAGGGTTCAAACGGGAAAGCAATCAGGTCTCGCCGTCTACTACGCCAAACAGCAAGCAACTTCACAGGCTTCATATCATTCCTTTCAGTTCTTATCACCTACACAATGGGAGAATATCTTGCAACATCCCAGATGGAAGAACACGTTGACCTCGTGGTCGTTGGTGGCGGGCCAACTGGCCTCTTATCAGCTCTCTTGGCCCGCCGTCTTGGTCTCACTGTCAGCATAGTCGGTGAGTGAACAGTTGTGATACCAATCATTTCGCGTGCATGGTTGGCGGCTGACGGTCTCATATCCAGACGCAAAATCTGGCCCGCTGGACTTGGGAAGGGCAGATGCCCTCAACGCTCGGACCCAACAATATTTCGAGGTTGTCGGCATCCTGGATGAGCTTATCCCCGATGGCCTGAAGTGCAACAGTGAGTCTGAAACCCCTGCCGCGGCAATGCAAGTTTTCAAATGCTCAACGAGATCACAGCCAGCTCAACGTACGGCCAGGGAGAGTGGAAGTCGCGCCAGAACAAGTGGTGGGTAGGCCTCGAGCACTGCCTGCACAAGAACTTCCTCATGATCGGCCAGCCCGTGATCGAGAGCATCTTGACGCAGCGGCTGAAGGAGGTCGGCACGAGCGTGCACTACAGCGAGAACGTGAGCGGCATCGAGGAGTCGGACGACAGCGTCTCAGTGTCAACCGACCTCGGCCGCAAGATCTACGCAAAGTACGCCGTCGCAGCCGATGGGGCCCGCTCCACCATCCGCAGCGCCCTCGGCATCAGCTTCACCGGCACCAAGCCCGAGATGCTGTGGGCGGTCCTCGACACCTTTATCGAGACCGACTTCCCGGTCTCTCCCGAGATCGTGACGTTCGAGCTGAACGGTGAGGCACGCGTCTCCTGGATCCCCAGGGAGCGCGGCATGGCCCGGTTCTATGTTCTCCTGAAGGGCGGCGAGGTCACCCAGGAGAGGGCGGAAGCCAGCATCCGGGAGCATCTCGCGCCGCACAAGGTGGAGTTCAAGAAGACGGAGTGGTTTAGCACATTTGACGGTAAGTTCCTATTAGTCAGTCACATTTCCTCATAAGGATGGTGGGTCTAACGGCGGCTCAAAACAGTCAAGGAGAGGATAGCGGGCACCTTCGTCACAAAAGAGGGCAGGGGCCGCATCCTTCTGGCGGGAGACGCCGCGCATGTGCATTCTGTCAACGGCGGACAGGGGTTGAATACCGGCGTCGCAGATGCATTCGCCCTCAGCTGGCGGGTCGCCACGGCGGTCAAAAATCAGAGGCTGACACCGGATGGCGCGCTTAAGCTCATCCGCAGCTACGACACGGAGAGGAGGACGGTTGCGCAGAACGTCATTGACGTGGCAGCCGCCCTGGTCAGGGACACCGTCAGGACTGCTACAAAGTATGTCTCGACGATTGAGAAGAACGCGGGTTACATTACGGGTATGTCTTACCTCGGGGTCCGAACCGTGCGGGGATCTCACTGATTAACTTTTGCTAGGGATGGGAGTCTCCTACGACGAGGTCGGGTCAGAGCTTATCCAGAACTCCAGCAGCGGGCTCTGGATAGCCGGCAAGCGGTGCCCTGACATTGAGCTCACGCCGGTGGCCTCCGAGTCGAAACAGGCCACTCGGCTTTACTCGATCGTTGAGTACGGAAAGTTTCTTGTTCTGTCAATCGGCGGATCCCCTGAAGAGGGAAGTACATCCAGCTTCGAGGACGTCGCCAGGGTCCTGACTTTGCTCCCCGAAGGCGCCGCTGCGTCACCGTCGACCGGGGAGGCCTTCAGCTCGGGCCTGATCGGGTCGGGCGAGTCATTCACTGTCGTCATCCGTCCCGACATGTATATCGGGTATGTGGGGACTGGAAGCGGCTGGAGGGACTACTTGGGCACGGTCTTTGCATAATTCTGGGAACAGGATGGAATAGAAATTGTATCATCATTAGACTACCATGTTTTGTAATTCGCAACTCACGATTTGTGTAAATAAATGTGTACCCGCGTGTGTATACGGATAAGCGCTTAGATACCCCTGCCTAGGTGCCAGATGACCATGCGGAATTCTGTACAAGATAGGCAGGTAGCTGTATGCTTGGGTGGAATATTGAATCCTTTCTGAGGTCTTCCAGGGGCACTACTACTAGGTGCTTGGGGTCGTGTTCATCCCATCTGGCCAGAAGGTCAACTGGTCTGGTTCTGACGTGGGTGCCCAGGCGATAAGATCTTGTTAACATACTTAGTGTTTCCCCACAAAAGCCGCTCTGGGATGCCCTGACCCTGTTTGCAGGTGTCAGAAGGTGTCATCTCTGAGGGCATTGCCCCTTTTGGCAGTGAAACAGAGAATGCCACCCTGCCATTCTATACTGTAGTACCTAGGTAGCCTGGTAGCTCGCCGGGCCCTACCACGGTACTGTGCCCCCCACATGGCTCATTCGGCCCCAGATCTGCACTGCCGGGGGCTAAGCCGTGGCAGCCAAACTGCCACAATACCAAGGTGTTCGAGAGCCGACGGTTTTAGCAAACATGCATAATAATTTAAACAGCGCACCGGGAATTCCGATGTCACGTATTTGCACAACGATTCAGGGACCTTGGACCAACTGACTGACGCCGTCATCCATGACAGACTCCTCTCTGTGGGTATTTCGAGTCTGCTCACGTTTGCCAACAAAAATATTATTAGCACATCACAAGAGGCCCAGCATGAGCTCAGCCGCCTTAACATCCTTCCTCTCTGGGCTGGCGATATCTATGGCAGGGGTTCGTGGCCCTGGGGGTGCGGCCCGGATCAGATTCCCATGTTTGTTCCGAGGAACCAGAAAATCGGAACCCGCCAATGCAGGATTTTTCACTTGTACCTGGTACACCTGGTACATGCCCAGGTGCCAACAAGCTACTATAGTATCCCAGAGGATTAAGTAAAATGGACCAGCAAGGAATAATCCCCATCAGCAGATGCCTGTAACCCGCCCAGATCGTGCCACGACTATAGTTAGGGTATTATCAAGCATTGGAAATCATGGCCAGACTCAGAAAACTAGGACTGTGGGTGGTGTAAGTGCCTGCTCAGCTAATAGCGAACGGGCCGTCGTGGATATCTGATCCGCAAGGGGGGCCTCGGGAGTCGGGTCTTCGATGCCGCGGTCGGGTGGACCCGCCGTACGAGAATTGAAAGATGACAAGTTGACCTGGGCAGGTTGTGATCTTGGGTGTTGTGGCACATGGGCGTGAGGTGGGACTGTGGAGGCGTGGCTTGCGTGGCAGCTGTGGGGATGGGCTGGAAGATGCCCCATCCACCCCATCTACAACTGAACTTGGCGCTCGCAACGCGGGCGGGCGCGAGCGAGATCCATGCGGTGAATCTTGGACCCGGTTTTACGACAAGCTGCGGTGCACGCTGGGGTCCCGCATGGGATAATCGACAGATCAAAACTTACCATACCACGGGGAATTCCATGTGATATCTGCAACGCCTGGGCCTGCTGGGCCTGCTAGGCAGGGGGCAGAATCCGAGTCTGGCATTGCCACCGATAGGAAAGACTCTTTTGGGTCTATGATACTATCACACGGCCACGGTGCTACACGATCAAACATTCTCCACTATACCCATCACTTGTCTCAAGTTCGCAGCGTGGCATTCTCACCAACTCAATTTTGGCAGCCGTATTAGCAACTTTTGCCTCGCATGGCGCACGTCATCTTCTAGTGCCGAGGAACATAGGCGCGGCGCCGACGCCCAGCCACCATGGATCGATAGGGTACTTACATAGGGCGAGTGGGGCGTCGAATGATGGGCGATGCTACCCGGCGCGGGTTTGCTACGTTGGTACGCCGCAGATCAAAGAGGAAGAAAAGAGCCTACGGATCATTGCCAGATTGCCTTCCTCGGCGTTTATCTGACACGTCGTATTTCTGGTACCTCCTTCCAGAAAAGGAGACTACCTTACTGGTGTGGTATGACAGGGAATTATTCCGCGTCCTGGGGGCTACCTGGGCCCGGTGAATATACCCAGATTGATCAATGTGTGGAGCCGGCGCTGCGGCGGGTCCGCATCTGCCCAGGTGCCGGACAAACTGCGGACAAAAGCGGCCCAGGAAATAGGGGACCAGAACATAACCTTGGAACATCATGATCTGATAGGTGAAATCTTTTCTTCCTAGTCTGGTACGATAATACTGTAGCATTTGCTCACTGTCTACCACGCACGCATGCATGCAGGATTCTGCATTCCACAGTACTCGTCATATTCGATAGTTCGGTTCGCCTGCACGCCCCTTGCCACATGATCAATAGACAGCTTAAGACAAGCGCGTTTACCAAGGTCCGATACCTTACCGTCGGTCCGGTGGATTACCCTCAAGTGGGTGCCGCAACGACTGCAGAAACCAGACAACAAAATTGGCGAGTTGCGAGATAGGCAAATCGTTGCGGGTCTAACCATTTGTTGTTATCACAAGCTGCTGTCATGTCTGCCTCAACAGAGCGAGATGCCGAGAGCCTGGCGTCGCCGGTCTCAACCACATACGATGCCATGGAGAAGCACTGGCAGACGCCAGACAAGATCATCGAGTCGTCGTCCCCAGCACCACCCGAGGTCAAGCCGCCGCGCACGATACCCAATGGCGGACTGCAAGCATGGCTTCAGGTCGTCGGGGCCTTCTTTCTGTACTTCAACACATGGGGTGAGTGAGCCCCAGGTGCATTAGCCGCAGCCAGACCCGACCGGTGGCCCACGCCGGCCGGGGAGGATCACGAACGCACGCTGACGAGCCCAACCAAACCCGACCAGGCCTCCTCTCCAGCTACGGCACCTTCCAGGCGTACTACGAGACGGACCTGCTGAGGGACTACACCGCCTTCGAGATCTCGACCATCGGCTCCGTGCAGAGCTTCCTGCTCGTCTTCCTCGGCTTCGTGACGGGGCCCATCTACGATGCGGGCTACTACCGCTACCTGCTGGCCGCGGGCTCGCTGCTCGTCGTCTTCGGCACCCTGATGCAGAGCATCTGCTCCGAGTTCTGGCAGCTCCTCCTCGCGCAGGGCTTCTGCATCGGCATCGGCTGCGGGTGCCTCTCCATCATGTCGGTCGCCATCACGGCGTACTGGTTTAGCACCAGGCTCCCCATCGCGAACGGCATTGCTGCCTGCGGGAGCGGCGTCGGAGGGTCAGTGAAACCACCTTGTGCAACGCACATGTCTCTCTCTCTCTCTCTCACCGCCGATCTACCTATCTGCGGATTCGTTCCAAAAAAATGCTCTAACTCGAATGTGTACTTACAGTGTCGTCTTCCCAATCGTCGTCAAGAACCTCCTACCGACCATCGGCTTCGGGTGGACCGTCCGCGCCGTCGCCCTGATCGTCCTGGTCACGCTGGTCATCTGCAACGCCGTCCTGCGCGGGCCGGGCGCGTCGGCCAAGCGCCGGGCCTTTGTGCACCGGGAGTCGCTCACCGACTGGCCCTACGTGGCGCTCATCTTTGCGTACCTAACCGTCTTCCTGGGCCTGTACACGCCCTTCTTCTACGTCGAGAGCTTCGCGGCGGGCACGGGCATCGCGTCCGAGACCACGGCGTTCTACCTGCTGGCGGTCGTGAACCTGGCCTCCATATTCGGCCGCATCATCCCCAACATCCACCTGGCCGGCATGATGGGGCCGATGAACATGATCATCCTGACCACCGCGATCCTCTGCGTGACGGCCCTGGGCTTCATCGGCGTCAAGGACGTGGCTGGCGTCTTTGTCGTGGCGATCGTGTACGGTTTCTTTACTGGGACGTTCTTTGCCCTGCAGCCCACGATCTTTGTGCGGCTGACGGAAGATATGAGCGTTATGGGGACGCGGTTCGGCATGGCCTTCTCGATCATGTCGTTTGGGCTGCTGATTGGCAGTCCGATCAGTGGGGTGCTGCAGCGATCGTTTGGGTCGTACAATGCCAGTTGGGTCTGGGCGGCAATTACTGTGGCTTGCGGGTCAGTCCTGCTCACCTTCTCGAGGACGCTCAAGGTTGGACCACGGTTGGCCATTAAGATATGATATGATGCCCAAGTGCCTTAGCATAGATTGTAAATTTGGAGTTTGGTTGCACAGAATTTATTTATGACTATACCTCTGCACTGCAGGCTTCAAAGTGATCAGTGCTATTAGATCTCAACATTCAAAGTCATTCTCTCGCCCTGACACTCGGCCCGGCTCTCACCCACACGTGCACCTCAATTAAGTACCCTTAATGTATAGTCACACTAACGTATGCTGTGATCACTGATGGGTGTCACAAGAGGCAGCAGTGCCCTGCAACTTATTACTTCTCGGTACATCTGCATTAGTGGAGCTTCCAATCAATTGATGTCTTGGCTCGGCTCAAGGAAGAACAATAGCCTGAAATCCTGAGTGCCTATGTGTGCGTCCACACTAGTAATCAAGCTGGATTGAACAACGCCTCGACTAGTAGGACGGACTATGCAGCTGAGACGGTCTCCGCCTGACGTCGTTCAACATACTTGGACTCTAAAAGTGAAGTTGCTATGGTTCCTTTGAAATATGTAGGTACGTTGTGATCGCACAAACTACGTGGCCTCAATATTGGCAACATCAAAGATCCAGTACGGTACCGTCTGATAATGGCAGAAGCAGCTGGGTCGGACCCGGGAATCTAGTCGTTCACCCGTGATGATTTGTTTTTCTACATAGATTCCGCGCGGAAATCCCGCCGTCCTTGTAAGATCGTAGAAACCAAGCTCGACGCTAAGAAACCCCTACAGGAGCAGGTTCGGATGGTCAGCCGGGATGGCGTCTGGGTCACGATCCGCAATTGGACGACCGTATGGCCTTCCAGACCATCCTTCGGGTTCTAAGAAATATGAACCAGCTTCGAGCACTCCAGCATCCTAAACTCCCGCTACGCACTTGAGACTGTTGAGATGCCAGCACGTTCCGACAACGTACGACATGTGCCGGGTGACTCGGAAGACGGCGGACCAGACCGTTTACAACACGTTCTCAATAATATCAAGGCATCTATCAGCGGTGCTAGCCGCCAAGGATCCATCATACGATGCGAAGCCTTTCTAAGGACGTCGCATCAACAAACTTGGACGATCTTGGCGAATCACTTCGACCTGGGCAGTGAATTTATTCAATTATGGGCTTGGGGGAAGGGGTGTGGTGTAAGGAAACACGTCTGAGCGCAGGACGAAACTAACGACCTTCTAAGACAATAGATAGGACACGTCATCCGTTCCACAAGGCAGACTTCTTTTGGGCTCTGGGATCGCAGTCACAGAAAAGCATGGAAGTCTTGTCAAGAGTCTTATTACACTCGATTATCGGATTGGATCCAGAGATGGTAGGGTGGTTTCGTTTCTAACCCCCCACAGGTGAAAAGTGTATACAGTACTTCCATGTAATAGTAAACACCTAAGACCTAATATTTCAAAAAAACTATCGAACTAATAATTGTAGAGAGATGACATAGCATGTAGGTATAAAGCCTTGGCCCAATATTGTATGGATAAGGTTAGCAGGTATTGCTCCGCATGGTACTGGTGACTCGAAAGCTAGCCAAGTAGTTGGGTTTCATTCGGGCTGGTCCCAATTAGGATGCCCGAGGTATTGCGCCGGACGGTACTGCTGACTCGAAAGCTGGTAAAGCAGTTGGATTTTGTTCGGGCTGGTCCCAATTAGGATGCCCGAGGTTTGCGGAACCGCTATAACTATAGTAAGACTATTATAGTCTTTTGGGATAGCCCCTATAAGAAGAAGAGTCCTATAAAGCGGACCTTAGCTAAGAAACTTGGCCCTTCCCTGTTGACATACTTACTAGCGACATCCTATGTTTCTCGTATGTTTTTCAAGCGGTGGGTCTTGAGCGTTTGCCACCGTATGAAGGCGCCATGTATGTCCTCGGACGTATACGGATTAGAAGCGAAACCAGATAGCTACCTAAATCTACCCTCGCTAGGTGAGCCAGGACTACCATGGTCATCTGGACCTCGAGTGTAATTACGTTCGAAACGTATGTCATACCTAGGCAGCTGGGGCTTGACGAGATTAGGATGTGACCAAACTACAGAGGCCGTACGTAATAGCAGTGATCATGCCGGTTGTCCTGTTACGCTATGAAGAGGTGTTGTGTGAGCCAGACGTCTCGTCCTCCTCGCACTCTGCAGCTTCACGTTCCTCTCTCCCCATCTCCTCCTCCAAGATCTGCATGCCCTTGTCGACAGGCACCGCGCCACCCGAGCAGCCCTCTGGACAGTCGAATAGCCCAGAGTCAGCAAACGCACGGGCTCTTGTGCACGTACAACCCCCCCCCCCCATGCGTTTACTCACCCAAGAAGGGGGGTGCTTCGCCAGATTTTCTACATGAGTCATGTTCTTTGCCCGTTTCGAATGCCTCCTTAAAGAGGGTTGCTGTGTCCTCCTCTGCACCGGGCGGGTTTCTGTGCTGTTGAAGGCTCCGCCACAGAAGGACTCTCGCGGGCGCCGTCGGAGGCCACTTTGGTCTTGACAGAATGCATATCGGTAGACAGAAAGGGCCAACCAGATGGCTTTCGGGTTTCAAGCGGTTGATGTGTGATGGGGACCTCTTTGACTTGGAGGGCGACGAGGGGAAGTAAATGGGACGCCTGGGGGAGATGTAGATTCTAGGAGGTGGACTTTTAGCGTATAGATTAATTGGTTAGCTGAGGCGCAGAACTACTAGGTTGCTGCCTGAGCCTGGCGGTCTGGTCCCATGGGATAATCTCCTATGTGGTAACATCTAACATCCTTTGGGGGGACTTCGGCTCGAACGGTCTCCCACAAGATAGCCTCAGACAGGACAGTCTCCCGTGGGGCAGTATTCTATATGATAAAAGGGTGAAGTGAGTCACCGTATATGGCGCACAAATTTATTCTGGCTTACCCTAACTGAATCACGACGCTGTTCCGCCAAAAGGCGATGTGTTACTGTCAGCCGGTACGAGGCTGAGCCACGTGCCCAGGTATTGTATTCTCTTTCCACTATTATTGGCACTGTATTTCTTTAAACGCTAGGTCTTGATCGTTTATTACTACTGCCCATAATATCTTCCCGTGCGGCATCAGACCAGCGCCAGATGTCGCCTTCTTCCTACTTGACACGAACGTCTTCTTGTTTCACCGTTCTACAGCCCCTCAAATGTTGGGAGTCGGTGGGAAATACTTGCTAACAAATTATCACTCGCTCAGAAGCTGGCCGAAGGGAACACAAGGTGACCCACTTGCGACGATAAAGCCGAGTTTTCGATTTTGCGGTGGGCCGGCCGGATTTTTCAGGCCAGTGAAATATCTTTGCGATGAACGTACGCGGCTTCTCTGACAGCATCTGTTTTTTCCCCGAATGACAGGGCCTGTTGGATCGTAGAAGCCTGGTAAATCGCAATGAGCACTGAATGAAGGCTTGCGAGCTGCGAGGAACGGCGCGTGATATGCACACCTGGGGGAGCATACATATATAGTGCAAGGCAACACCCCAATTATGTCTTCCAAAAGAACATCCAACGCTTGAATGTTGCCCAGGACAATTTTCCTGGAATTATCCTACCGGGGGGAGGGGGGGTCCCTAATATAGGCGTGTAATTATATCAAAATTTAACATTTAAACAAAATCTAGACATTACAACTAAATACTAATAAAAGGCTAACAAAATACTGTCACAAATAAAATCTATCAAGGGGTTAATTATATGTCAGATTTTGACATCATGTCAACGCATATTAAAAATCCCTAAAATCTATAAATCCGCCAGTATTAAATTTTATAAGTCAGCCTAGCAAATTAGAATTCGTATTTCCGTATTTCCATAGCTTCTAATAGATCATATATAGTTAAGCCGAATAATAGCCGATAAATAGTTGGGTTGGGGACGAGTTAAAAAAAGAAAAAAAAAACTTAATTCCAGCGAGAATCAAACCCCCTTTTTTGCCCGCATATCAGGCCCCTAACAGCATGTCAGGGCTTAACAGCATATCAAACTAAAAAGCGTCATACAATTTACACAGGACGAAATAATTTCAATACTATAAAATGCTTACAAAAGCCTTTTAATAGTATGTAGGTATTATGTTTTGCTTATGTCAGAAAACCCCCCTCCCCCTGGTAGGATTGTCTGCAGAGTGGCCCGAATGTTATGCTAGAGGAGGGAATCTCATGCGAGGTCATCACATCCATGGACTGGGGGTTATTACACTGGCATAGGACATGACCTCACATGAGGCTGGGCCTTGCTGAGTCGCCTGTTGCCTGGTTGCCCAGGTGTCCAACGCGTGGGTGGGTTGGTCGCGTCAACTGATACCACACCGTACCAGTTGTTTGTGAGCCAGATGCGGGAGGTGCTTACTTGTGATGTCGTCCCAGATCACACCTGCCCACATCTCAGCGAGCCTCGTCGACCGATGGAACACGCCTTGCTGCCACTGTTCATATGGATGTTGCAGCTGCAGACAAAGCTGATCCAACATTGAAGTGCACAATTGAACTGAGCACCGACATCCCCAACGCCCAGCGTGGCTGCAATCGACCATGGCGCAAACAAACCAACGAGGCGACAAACAGCTCAACGTGCTGGCCCAGCCCTGGTTCCCCAGCGTATGTCACCTCCCATCTCTGCACTTCCCACCACAATTTTTCCTCCATCGACACACACAAATCAATCAACATCGTCTTCTCACCCCCTTCAGGAAGACCACCCCCGAAGCTGTGCCCAAGATGATGTCCGATCGCGTTGCTTACGATGTCCTCCAGATGACCATGGCGCGCCAACGCGTCACGGTCTACGACCTCTACGGCCTGCTGGGCGTGTCGCCCAACGTCGACGAGGACGGGCTTCGTGCTGCATATGACGCCATCACCGAGAAGCACCAGCAAGTCCCCAGCGACGTGGTATGTTGCAGCACGTCTGAAACCCTCCAGATGTCTGCCCAAGACAGACACACAACACGTAGGACACACACTGACCGGCCATACCCAGATCAACGCCGCCTACTCGGTCCTCACCAACCCCTTCAAGCGCGCCCAGTACGACCGCGACCGCCTGGAGTACCTGTACAAGCAGTTCAGCAGCCACGAGGCCTTCCCCCCCACGACCAGCGTCCCAACCGCCAACATCAAGGGCCGCGACGACCAGATCCAGGTCTACGCGTCGACGCTGGCCGAGCGCGTCAGGGACCCCGCCGAGGACAAGAGGCGCGCCATCAGCCGCCGCATCGAGGCCGTCCGCGCCGAGCTCGACGAGTTCAACGAGCGGTCGGGCCGCCAGCGCCAGGACTGGGCCACCAGCGCCAACCGCGTGCTGCGCATGGCGGGCAACGCCCTGTGCGAGGTGGTCGTGTGCGCCGAGGAGGACCTGCGCATGCTCGAGGACGAGCTGGGCCGCGCCGACGGCAGGCTGCCGCCGCGCGACGGGCCCGACGGCCCCAGCGGGCGCGTCACCAGCGCCGGGTGCTACGGCAGCGACATCATGGCCATGCCCACGGGGACCATGGCCGCCGCCGCCCCCCACCCGCAGCCGCGCGTGCTCGCGGGCCAGGACCACGAGGCCACCCGCATCCCGCGCAGCCCCACCGTGCGCTTCCTGCCCCGGTCCGCCAGCAAGCTGGGCATCGGCGTCGACGGCGCCGCGGCCGCCGAGTACACGCCGTCCAGCGAGGGCAGCCAGGCGGCGCGCGAGGCGCAGGCCAACACCCGCGTCGCCGACTTCCTCCTGCTCGACAAGGGGCCGCCAGACCGCCGCCGCTGGCCCAGCGCCGCGAGCCTCACCGTCAAGGACGCCGCACAGCCCCTCGGCCCGACGCTGATCGAGACGCTGAGACACCCCGAGGGCCTCAACCTCGAGCGCGTCGGCGTGGACCACCCGGACAACGCCAGCAGGCAGCCGCGTGCCGGCGGGGCGATGGGCCTCGTCGCGTGGCAGCGCATCAACAACAACAACAACAACAACAACAAGCCGAGCACCCCAGAGCTGGAGCAGGCGCAGCAGAGCCCCGTCTCCCCGCCCGGGACCAACAGGCGCAGCAACAGCCACCCCGTCCCGACCGCGACGGCCACCGACCTCTCGGCCTACAACAGGCCCTACGACCCGGCCCGCAACCGCACGCGCTCCGCCGACGACCCGCCGACGAGCCAGCCCCGGGGGTACGAGGTTTCCACGAGGCGCCCCGACCACGAGGAGCGGATGGGCGACACGAGGGTGCCTCAGTACTGGCCCGCCTGGCGCCACAGCATGGGCGCCACTGCCGCGGCGGCGGGCGGCGGGCTGGTCGCCAGGGCGCGTGCTGCTGCTCTTGCGGGGGCGCCTGGGGGGCGGGCTGGGCGGTGGGTTGTTGGCGGTGAGGGGCTTACGAACCATGGTGGTGACCGTCGAGGTGATGGTGGGAAGGGGGGGCGTGCTGAGGATCCTTTTGCCTGAGTGGTGGGTGGATGGATGGATGGATGGATCAGCAGTTGTCTATCTGCTCGGCTTTTGGTGTTTTCTGTCGCCTGGATGGAAGATGTTGATGCTGGGTTTGACCGGACTGGACGGTCTCCTGGCGCCTGTCAGCGTCGTGCTCGGGCTGCCTGTGGCGGCTGGCTTGGTAATGGGCACATGGCTTGACTTGATGATGACGGCACTGGTACTGGAAATGAACCTGATGGGTTGGTTGATGGATTATGGACTCGGCAATATTGGACCTCTTCCAGCTCTAGAGTTGAGTCGATGCCTCCATGGGCGGACGAAGTCTCATGATACAGATGAATCAATGATTAGTATGACTAGACTTTGGAAGTTCTATGATTCTTCTAGTGTCAAAAGCCTCAGTGGCATCCTGTAGCCTGCGCCCAAGTGCTTGTTTGGTGCCCAGGCGAATGCTGGTGGGTTGTCAACCAGGTCACGCCGGCTTCGATCCGGCGCCCTCGAGTGCTCCTAGTACCCAGATCCCGCGCACAAGGTTGATTTCCAAAACCGTAAGCTGCCTCCAGAATCCTTACTCTGCGGACTAGAAAACTGCTAGCCACAATGTGTGCCAGCACATTCAGGTTTGCCCAGAAACACTGTCGACCCATCGCACACTAGCCACCGCCTAGGCAGCCTTGGGTGAATCGTTAAAGAAGCCGGGCCAGGATCAAGGAGAGTATCAGGGTAGACTATAATGGCGACAAAGATATTGACAGAAATTGTGCTCAAAAAATGGCCCGCCTCTTTGATGCGAACTTAGAATCGCATTATTCTTCCCTTTGGCCAACATACCCAAGTCGCCTTGAACGCATCTCATTGTCCCCTACACAGCGGCGTTGAGGACATTGTTCTATTGTTCAACACGCCGTCGACTCACCGACAAACTGCCCAGGTGTTTAATTAATTACCACCCAGCAGCCCGATATCCTATCCACCCCACGATGTCGACTTCCAATCCTCAGTCACCCGCCCCCAGCAAGACAGACCGGAAGTGGCAGTGGTCAAACGACCCGTTCTTCCCGCTGAAACTGATCCTGCTCCCCTTCATCCTGCCCCCGGTGCTGCTCGTCCTCATATGCCTGGAACTCGCACCGAGAGAAGGAAAACCCAAGTCCCACCGGGAGCCACGCCTCCCACCCGAGACTGAGACACCCCAAGAGTCGCGATCTGCACCACCACCAGCGGCGGCGGCCCACGACCCGACCACGCCTCCTGACCCAACAACCCGCTGCTGCCCCAGGCGCCACGGCCCAGCACCAGACGAGCCGACACCAAGGCCCCCGAGAGGAGCATCAGCGCCGCCGTCCCGCTCGTACAGGTCAAGAACAAACCCAGCAGGCGCCGGGCCCGCGCCACACCCGGCCGACACGTCTCCCTTGGGCGGCGCCGAGGGATCCCACCACGCGCCGGAAGAAGCCGAGGCCGGCCCAGCAAACACCAACAGCCCGAGCACCATGGGAGCAGCAGCAGCCACCACCACCCCCGCCGCCGGCTCGGACGTCGCCCCCCAGACGCGCCCTGCCACCCCCGGCCTGACGAGCGGGCAGACGCCCGACAGCAGCAGGGCCGAGGCCTGCACCCCCACCAGCAGCAGCGGCGAGGAAGAGAGGCGCGCCAGGCGCCGCGACGTCACGACGCGCGAGGACGGCCTCCGCATGCCCGTCGTGGGCGCCCCGGCGCGCATCCCCAGCACTCTCATCACCGATCCCATCGACGGCTCCTCGTCGCCCTCGGGCCCGCCCACGCCCTCCTCGTCGTCGTCGTCCGGCTCGCCCCTTCCCACCCCGACCCCGGGGCAGGAGGAGGTCCCCCCCGTCCTGCCGGCCAGCGGCGCCGGCGACGCCGCCGCGGGGCCGGCGCTCTCCCAGCTCCGCGAGAAGCTGCTCGCCGTCCCCGCCGACGCGGTCAGCCGGCGGTGTCTGGTCGACGGGCGGGCGATCCTGAGGAGGAGGGCGCGCACGCCGCGGAGTCATGCTTCTTCTTCGGGCGGTGGGGGGGTCAGCCGCCAGGGCCTGGGCCATGGCCAGGCTGGGTCTGCCGCCCGGAGTCGTGGTGGGGAGTCGAGCGATGGGTATCCTAGTGAGATGATGGAGTGATTGCTTTTCCTTACCTTTATCTCGGGGGTGTGATTGTGGGGAGGTTGCTTGGAGAGAATGGTTGGTTGATGTGGAACTTTTCTCTTTTGTTACTTGGAGAACGAGTGTGGCGTTCTGGCGTGGCTGGCCTTTGCATGGGGCATTGATCTTGTTGAAAGGGCTCTAGGGTTCGCTCAAGTTTACCTTCCTATGTTTCTGTGATCTGCTAGAGATTGGAGACTTGGGATATAAAAATAGGAAATGAAATATTGTCGATTTTCATCATGGTATAAATGTGTCTTCGTCTTCCCCGTGTCCCTTTTCCCGCTGGTATCTATGCCACATGAGAGTCAGTATCTGGCTTGGTCCAAGAGTACGTTTACCTACTTAGGTACTGATGGTTGTCGCTTCCTGAAGTCATTCATCTCATCCGGGGATATCTCCTATAACTGGCTGTGTGCGATCGGCCTGACTGCAAGGCATTCAAAGGTACGACCATCACCATGCACTTGAAAAATGTGGCGTGTCCCTTTGTCTCCAAGCAAGCAGTTCGTCGTCATGTAAGTGCCTAGGTGATGACAAAGAAAACCCCGACATCCTCCCGGGGCTGGCCGAGGCTTGCATCCGTCGTGCCGTCCCAGTTCCCGCTGAGCAAGTGCCCGGTGCAAGTGCCCACCCAGAATCATCCCATATGCCGCGGCTGGCGAGATGATCGCTGCAAGGTACCATGAACTCAACCCGTGGGGCCCATGCCAGGCGAGCAGGTGATTGGCGTCCCCGCATCATGAGCTCATCGTGCGGTGGTATCGCTTAGGAAACTAGCACAGATCGCCGGATCGTGGCTGCGGCTCGCCCTCGCTCCCCGCTGACGAGTGTGTCCAGGACTGCCGGTTACAACGTCACGACTTTTTGTGTTCCTTGCTGCATCCCACGGTGTATTAATAAGAATCTGTGATCGCTTGGGCCATGTTTATGTGATTTAAAGGCGGCTCTGCCCCCCGGGCTCGGCTCGGCTCCTTCAGTGAATCGTGGTATCCCACTTGGTTTAAGATTGATCAAGATGACTTACTTCAGGTTGGCAGCATTCACGGCCCTGGCCGGCCTCCAGCTGACCCGAGCCCAAGACCTCATCTCGGACCCGGGCCGGGCCGGTCCAGAACTAGAGGTGGTCCATCTCTACAACGACCAGTGGCCCACCGGAATAGCAGTCTCGTCCAAGGGCCGCAGGTTCTCCAACTACCCAGGCGGGCTCGACCCGAACAACACGAACGACGGCAGCAACGGAAAATACACGGTGGCCGAGCTCTTCGACGGGAGCACCGAGAGGCCGTACCCGAGCGCCGAGATGAACAGCCCCCCCGGCGGCGCCATCAACCGCACCACGGCGCCCCCGACGGGCGCCAACTACCACGACTACCTGATCGGCGTGCAGAGCGTGGTGGTCGACAGCGCGGACCGGCTGTGGATCCTCGACACGGGCCGCGCCCAGACGCGCGAGGGCGTGCTCGTGCCCGCCAGCCCCGGCGGCCCAAAGCTGGTCGGCGTGGACCTCGCGACCGACAGCGTCATAAAGACCATCACGTTCCCCGGCACGGTCGCCTACCCGGAGACGTACCTCAACGACGTGCGCCTCGACCTCGACCCGGCGCTGACGCCCAGCGGCGCGGGCGTCGCCTACATCACCGACTCGTCCAGCGAGGGCCGCACGGGGCTCATCGTCGTCGACCTCGGGTCCGGCGAGTCGTGGCGCCACCTGGACGGGAGCCCCTATGTGCAGGGGGACCGGCAGTTCCTCGCCTCCGTGTGGGGCCGCGCGCTCTACGCCGCGCAGCCGGGGGCGCGGCCCGCGTCGTTTCTTACCTTTGGCGCCGACGGTATTGCTCTTGGTGCCGACGGGAAGGACCTCTACTTTGGCGGTGTGGGAACCCGCTACCTGTACAGCATCCCCACGGAGCGCCTAAGGGACCGCGGCCCCACGTCCGAGATCATGGCGCAGGCGGCCGTCGTCACGCGCGGGCAAAAGGGGCTCGCCGATGGGTTCGAGACGGACAGCAATGGGCTGGTGTACCATGGGAACATGGAGGCCAACGCGGTCAACTTCTTCAGCCCCGAGAATGGGACGGACCAGGTCTTCCTGCGGGACCCGAGGATCAACTGGGCCGATACGGTGAGCTGCAGGCCGGATGAACCCCCTGGATTTCTCTCACTTGGTTGTTAAGATACTAACCCAATGGTGCGCGCAGTTCTCTGTGGCCACGGATGGCTACCTCTATTTCACCAACAACCAGCTGGCCTTTGGCCCTGCCATCTACCCCGGCCCGGACACAAGACAGCGGCCGTTCAGCCTTTTAAGGGCCAAGCTTCCAAATGGGGGCACCAAGGTTGGCGGGGGTTCATGATCTGGCCCTGAGTCTCGGAACACCCATAGTCGCTGGCATGTTTGAGCAGTTCATATATCTACTTCTCATGAGACACTTATTCCGTCGATAAAATTAATAGTCTGACCTATCATCCTTCAATATTCGATTCCAATGCGCTAATTCATTTTTATTGTGTATCTATTAACTGCCATTAGGTTCAAGGTTCGAGGTTAATCTTGAATTTTCTTTAAACTTATATACTAAAAGGGCGTGCTTCGCCGGCCCCCTTGGGCTACTTATATCCATGTGCATATTCAGTGGCGCCGTCAAGGGCAATGCCTCCTGGCCTTGTCTGTACGGTGCGAGGCCAAGGCCACTAATTACCTAGTCTTCTCCAGCATTATTGGCATTATGCTATTCCTTTTTCACATGCTGGGTCTGGAGCGTTTACGCCCGTATGAAGGCGCCATGTATGTCCTCAGATGTATACGGAACAGAAGCGAAACCAGGCAGTCACAAAGGTCTTTGCCTTATAGGCCGGATTGCCAGCCCCGACAATCACATGCGACCATATCTACAAGAAAATATGGGATCCCGTCCGCTCTCCCTTAATCAAGCTTGTAAGAGCTGGAGTAGTAGTTGGGTCGGTGACGACCAGCGAATGCCCGGTGTTGCATGTTTTCTTTTTGTCAATCTGATCTCCTCATCATTTTTCTACCGTGGAGCTCGGACTCGGTATACATCTTGCCATTCCGGTGGAATCGTACTGCTTGACGTCTCGAGAGTAACGTCGTCGGCCGACGGGCGCGGGAGTGCGTCTCAGCTCCCCGTGCGTCGCATGCATGCCGGCGCCAAGCTCTCGAGCTTCATGTGCAAACGCGATCTGGTCATTTGATAGCTGAAAGCGCAGAGTGCGAGAAGTGCGAGAGGCGGCAGTGAGGCTATTTCATAGTAGGCCGTTCTGCAGATGATTGCTCTCCAGGCATATGTGCTAATGTGTGTTGTTGACCATGAGAATCCCGAAAGATGGGAATTGAGCATTGCACATGTGGATCATTACTACTAGTTAAGTAGATTGGTGTGCCGGCCCAAAGTCTTCATAAAACCAAGAAAGCCTCCTTGAGGCTGTAATGTCATCGCATGCAGTTACCATGGTATGGCTCGCTCGTTTTCTTTCAATGAGGACTTGTCTGCAGGCACCGTTTTCATCAGTCGAGTCTGCATTGTCACTTCCTGTTCCTCGACAGGATTCAGTAAACGAAACTCGGTGTTGTGCGAGCTACCTACGCTGTGAAAAGCTTCAAAGGGCATGCTAGGATTGATGCATGTGAAGCGTTTCCCTTGAGCCTGCCAACATTGAAGAAATGCCTGTCAACATGCGCCGTCCCAGATTTGAGCACCTGGGTATTAGTACCTAGCTGGCGTGGACCGACGTGCAAGCCACCAGCAGCATTACCACCTTGTCAAAGTATTGACGAGAATTTGACATTGAATGGCATGTATAGCAACCTGTGATTGGAGGGAAGCATGCCACTGCCATGTGGACTAGGCGGTCGAGCCCCAGCCTAGGTCGCAATGCTTGCACCGCACGGTGGTGGCATCTCCGGCCAAGCGATGCGATATGGGCAATTCAACGCCACGGCACTACAAAGGGGGGGGACTAGTAAGACGCGAACTGGAAAGGCTGCAACTGCGATGAGAGGAGAAATGAGCCAGATAAATGTCGGGCTCGTGCGAATACAAACGGGAACCACATCCGACCAGGAGCACTTGAGGCTTGGCGATGCAACGAGGTTGGTTCGGGAACGGAGTATTACAATCCGTCTGGCCGTTCAGAGAAAATGGCGTTACAAACTCGGGGCAACGCCCCTTCGCAGTAGCAGGTTCTCGACGCGATCCATCAGCGGTAGTTCGACCCCACGAATAAATAAGGAGCAGCCATGGTCCCCTCCCAACATGGCCATTCCCCAGGTACGCACGCACACCCGCCCACCCAACCCACCATCCATAATAACCCACCATGACGAACCTGCTAACCCTCGCCAGCCTCTGGGCCCTGGCCCTCGTCTCCCTCGCCCGAGGCGCGGAGCCCGTGCCCCGCTCAACCTTCACCGAGGTGACAGACTACGGCTCCAACCCCACGGGGACGCGAATGTGGCTCTACGTGCCCAAGAGCCTCGCGCCCAGCCCGGCCGTCGTGGTCGGCGTCCACTGGTGCAGCGGGTCGGCGCAGGCGTTCTACCAGGGGAGCCAGTGGGCGCGGTACAGCGAGACCTACGGATACGTGGTCATCTACCCGCAGACGCCCTACACGCGGGACAACTGCTGGGATGTGGCGAGCAAGATGACGCTTACCCATGGGGGAGGGGGCGCGAGCAATTCCATTGCGAATATGGTGGACTTTGTGGCGAGGCAGTATGCGGCTGACCGGAAGAGAGTTTACGTTACTGGGGTCTCTTCTGGGGCCATGATGACGGTATGTTGCCCTCCGGGGCTGGTTTACTTTTCTTTCCCTTCCTATTGGCTATCTGTGCTATGAATGGTATTTTGTAGAATCTTCAATGCCATATGAGGCGCTTAGCAATATTGACAGTTTCCAGAACGTCTTAGCAGCGACATACCCAGACGTCTTCGCAGCAGGCATCGCCTACGCCGGCGTTCCGGCAGGCTGCTTCATGAGCGCTGATGATATCCCGGACTTTTGGAACTCGACCTGCTCCACGGGACAGTCTATCGCGACGCAGCAGCAGTGGACCAACGTCGTCAAGGACATGTACCCGGGTTATACTGGAGCTCGGCCCAAGATGCAGATTTATCACGGTAGTGTCGACGAGACGCTTAATGTTCAGAACTACTATGAGACGATCAAGCAGTGGACGGGCGTGTTTGGGTACTCGGAGAATGCTGTGTCGACCACGGCGAATTATCCGCGGAGCCCGTACACTAGGTATGTGTTTGGTGATAAGTTTCAGGTGAGTGTGGCTCGCTCCCAGTCTGTTTCCGTGACTTTCTTCGAGATGAGGGAATATCTTTGCTAACCATAGTGGCATAGGCTTTCCTGGGCTCTGGCGTCTCTCACTCCATTGACGTGTTCCCGGAGGAAGATCTCAAGTGGTTCGGCTTCACCGTAAGTTTCGCATTTCCTCCCACTATACATGCTGATGAAAATGTGTGAATGAATAGTACTGACCATGGGTACTCTCAACAGAGCGCGGTGAGCCCGACCTCGACTCCGGCTACATCCACGTCTACCATTCGGACGTCCACCACGACCTCCTCAGCCAGCGCGACGACGACTGCTGCCGGGGGCTCGGGGGCCGCTCCGCAGTGGGCTCAGTGTGGCGGTAATGGCTGGACGGGGGCGACAGCGGTATGCTATTTTTTGTCCCTTGAATATTTGGGCGGAACGTGATGACGATTTGTGCTGGGCGCTGACTTTGGGTTTGCTGCAGTGCGCGAGTCCGTATACCTGTGTTAAGGTGAACGACTGTAAGTCATTCCAGCCTTGAGCTGTCTACTTGTGATGCTGACTTCTGTTTCAAGGGTACTTCCAGTGCCAGTAGACGAAAGCATGGCTTGGGGTTGACAGGGCCGGGGCAGGGACGAAGAAGCGATGTCGTAGATAATAATTCTGGGTGTCATCTCAAGCCGTCAACTCGAGATCTCTCGATGTCACATGAACTAACTTTCACGGGGACTAAGAAATTGACAGCCCTTGTAATGAAGCCCTTTTTCTCTCATGCCGGCACAGCCCCGAGCGAGCCTGAACTCTCCTGAGGATCAGGCCTGTTGTTGGAAGGCCACGTATGCGATTCCCACCAACTCTTCAGCTCGACTCTAGTTTCCATTCCGGCTATGCTGCCTCCTACTGGCAACATTTTCACGCATCCCTCGGGAATCAGTCCGACGTCATCGGTCAAGAAGTTCTCCACGAGGGGCCAACCTGGACTACGTCCCATCTTCCATAAATATAGACCAGCTGCCCGCCCGGGCACTCCGAGTCGCTAGCTACGGCTGGAGCATGCCGCAAGCTGTGCGGGGCGGTTGGGTTGAGGGGCGGCCTCGGAGGCCGCTGGGGGTTCCCTACCGCGATATATGTCTGGGGTCTGTGAGGTTGTCGTGCCTCCTGACTTGCAATTGACCACCTCCTGCCTCTGTCCCTATCCGTTTGCGACATCGCGCCCTCGTCTGCTCCGTCTCCAGGTGGGCGGTCTGGACCCTGGTTATATCTGGCCGTGTCACTGGCATGTACTGGCCATCCCTCGGTTCGGTCCTCACCAGTTCGCGACGTGGATCCTTCGTCAATGTTTTGAAAAGTCCCCGTCGCCCTATTCCGCATCGTACTTGGCCCCATAATGTCCATGATACCACCACAACACCGCCGCCGTCGTCTGACAAACATCCTTTTCAGTGAACCCCACAATGAGGGTGATGCGCAACAAATGATCCCGGCCATGCAGCCCGAAGCGGAGAGCAGCGACAAATAGCTCTGAGAATAAGTAAAATCTGGGGACACAGCCTTCTGCAGAGAAGCCATACGGAGGCCGGTGACAACAAGCACGCTAATAAAGAAGCATCTTGTCAGTTTCCATTCTAGAGTGTCCTCTAATAGTCGCGAACCCCGAGCAAGCATTTCGACGCCTCTGTTCCAAGGCTCCCCTCGAAACACGACTTACACGGCACCAATGTTGAATACAAAAGCAAGCTGTATTCTCTTCTCCAGCGGCATTTGAAGACCACTTATCATGACAGTGGGGACCATGAGTATCCCGAGGTCAAGGACCAGTCCGGCAGCCTCCAGAGCCATGAACGATGCGACCTGGTCGCCGCAGGCGCCCAAGACGCGCGGATCCCACTGTGCGGCGAATGGCTTGCAGATCAGGAATATCTGTATGCTTGACGCGGCAGCGAGTCCGGCGCTCATTGCGATGATTGTGGAGGTAGTACGGCGTGCGAATTTTGAGACTGAGAAAATACGATAAGCCATCAGACAGGCGGCGATGCGGAGCAGCCCCGTCACCATTGTCCACAGGGCCTCGGCGACGAGCAGAGACTGTAATATCGCCCCCGGGAGTCAGCGTGGTCGAGCTGGCAGCGGAAACCAGTGTAGTATATGAAGGACATGGTTGATGCCGGACTTGGGGCTCACCTTGGCCGCACGTTCAAGGTGGGAATCAGAGACGTTCTGTTGATGTTCCGCCTGGCCTTCATCGAGTATTCCCCAGGTGGACAGCGAGACGAGCACTAGTCCGATGATGAAAGAAATAAGAAGAAGGATATCATCGGGCCGGACTGAGACGAACAGCCCTCCCGCAGGGAGCCGATGACAATACACGACAACGACGGCAATGGAGGCTATTAGGGTCAACGTCCAGTTGACGACCAACGTGCAAAGGGCAAGTGAGGTGTATATACGCATAGTCACTTATAGTGCCATGTGTAAAGGCGTAGTAGCAAGCACAGCAAGGGAACAGTGAACGGGATGCGATCCCTTTATCTTGGGGTGCACAAACCAATACATAAAATGCAAGGCCCCCTAAAACGAGGCGGTCTTCGTAAGCATACTCGCAGCGACTTGCCCGTGTAAGCGTGCGGGTGTCTGCTAAGCCCCGGGGCCAGGTGCATGCGGTTGTGGCTTTCGCATTGCATTAGCGAAGTGTCGCGGGTGAGGCTCTTTGGCGGTGCTTGGCAACATTGGTCAAGATCTGCCTGGGTGACAACGCATACTGCAGCGTCCGGTATTGGTATACAGATGTACATGTACTTGTACCGACAGCCGAGGTGGCAGCGCAGGGCCAATGATGTAGCGAGTATTTCATCATTCAAAGAACTCATACTTGCCGTATACATAATGCATCTCGGCATCTCAGCCTTGACGAGGAATGGTTGGGCGCCTAGCATGCGGCCACCGGGCACTGCCCGCTACCAGGGTGGTTTCGTTTCTAATCCCTATACATATAAAACGTCAACTGGTACACAGCGCCCTCAGAAAGTAGTGAACATCCAAGACCCAGAATTTAAAGGAAAATAGTGTCAATAACAGTCCAGACAGAATGCAGTACCGTCAATAGGCTCGTAACCTCAGCCTTATGCCGCACAAACTGCTCACTACCGATCGGTCAAGGCTGCTATAGCCGGTCGCCTTGGGGGGCTTATGGTAGGCCTTCTCCAGAACGCTATTCTACACATCCTCTTCCTCGCCACCTGCAAGTTGAGGTAGTACATCTTCATCATGAATAACGGCCGACGTGTCGTGCGCCGGCCGCCAACCATCCCCAACCACACCCATCTCTCCCCCCGATCCTTTCTCCACGTCCCGCTCGTCGTCCTCTGCCTCTCCCCTTTTTCGTCCTGGCTGGTGCTCCATACTAACAACAGTGCCTATGACAGCAGGTCTGGATATAACACGAGTCCCCGATTCCGCCCCTCGCGCGTTACGTTTCCGCCTGGTAGTGATAACCAGGCCGCCATCAGACACCCCCGTCGCGATCCTCGAGACAGCCGGCGACGCGCAGTAGATCACGCCGGCCATGCAGCCCGCCGACGACAGGAGGGCGAGGTAGCTCTGGGAGTAGGTGAAGTCGGGCGAGGCCGCGTCGCGCAGGGCCGCCATCCGGAGCCCGGTGACGACGAGGACACTACGTAGCAAAACACTCCGTTAGGACATACCGTTTCATGGATGCCTAGGGGTGTTGATTCCCCGCCAGTCAGGGCAGTTGCACCCAGGAACAAAAGCACCTAGGACTAAGTACCCCAGGCTCACTTACACGGCACCTATATTGGCAATCAAGGCCGATGCGACCCTCGTGCCGACCGGAAGCCGCAGCTTCACAATCACAACACACGGGACGGCCAACACCCCGATGTCGAGGAGCAGCCCCAGCGCCTCGAGCACAAGGAACGAGACCGCCTGGTCGCCGCACGCGCCCCGCACGCGCGGGTCCCACTGCGCCGCGAGCGGGCGGCAGATGGCGAAGACCTGCACGACGGAGGCGGCCGCCAGCGCGGCGCTGAGGACCATGACGGCCACGGTGAGGCGCCGGGCCAGGGGGGCGGCGGGGCGGAAGACGCGGCGTGTGAAGAGGCCTGCTGCGATGCGGAGGAGGGCTGTGGTGAGGGTCCACAGGGCCTCGGAGACGAGGACGGACTGTGTGGTGGGCATAACGAACATGATTAGTTGATGAGTTCCGGCGTATTCGGAGGTCTCTTGTCCGCGCCACCTGTGGAAAGTCCGTGAAGGGCACCACCTATGTACAGACACACACACACACACACGCACCTTCGCAGCAGCCTCAACCCGCGGCGCAGCCACATCCCGCTGGTGCCGGCCCAGGCCCTCGTCGACAAGCGCCCACGTCGACAGGGCCACGAGGACGAGGCCGACCAGGAACGCGGCGACGACAAGGATATCATCCAGCCCGGGCCTCCTGGGAGGGAGCTCGAACCCAACCCAGCAGATGGCGACCACGGCCAGGAGGGCCAGGAGGGCCAGGAGGGCCAGGGTCCAGTTGACCGCGAGGGTGCACACGGCGAGCGATGTGTACCCGTGCATCGTGTGTTGTTGGGGGGTCCCCGGTGGATCTCGACGAGTGAGTTCAGGCGCGATGCTAGGGGGGGACTTGCCACGGTAGCTAGCTAGCTGACCTTTTTTATCAATATAACTGGGAAGAGAACATCCTGCCCGAGTGGCCTACCCCGTTTGCAAGGGCGTACAGATAGCCACACCAGCAATCATCGTCCTCCGCGCGTAGAGATCGAGCATACCAAAGGATGGATCCGCTAACATGGAAGGCCACGGGGTAGGGACTAGGTGTTTGCGGCTGACATCAAGCCTCGATCTTGCATTGGCGGATCCTATAGTTCGGCGGGCTCGATGGACATTGGTAGTAATCTTGCAGCCAGCGAATCGAAACTTGCGCACGCTTACGGTTCCTTCGAAGCTGGACAGCCATATCGACTAGACTAGACTAGTACCTGTTCCTGGCCACAGCACACGACGTTACATTACCGTCTCCGAGAGGTGGTACGTCAAGAAAACCTCCCTCTAGCCAAACATGATTCTCGAGATTTAGGCATTACATGACAACGCGAAGTGCTCGCGCTCAAGCGGGAGCAGTATTAATCAGCATCTCTGTCACGACTCGTCGCCGTCTGTGTCGGCCGTCTCAAATCATTCGTCACAGGGTATCTCGATCCTTCCGTCATTTGGAGCAAGGCGGTCTCTACCTACAACGAAGGACCCTCCCAGTTCTCCCTCCTCAACCGCCCAAACCACGACTGCTTGTGGGGGAACGTGACCTCCTTCTCCTTGATGAAACCGCCGCCTTGGAGGAGCTGTATGAATCTGCAAACGATATATATGTGAGTGGGTTTCTTGGGCGTGGACGGACTCAATATAAATGAGATGGATGCATCCGAGACTCACCTCTCATTATCGACCCTCGGCTCAATACACACGCTCCGCGTCCTGTAGTCGGCGCAGAATATCCAGTGCACGAGGGAGCTAAGCCACGACTGGACGATGCCGCGCGCCCACTCCTCGCCGATAAAGACGTGGATGCCCCGGTCCCAGTCGTCGACGTCAACGTGCCGGCCCAGCGCGTCCTCCTTGACCCAGTAGATCTCAAAGTAGCCGAAGGGCACGCCGTCCCACATGCCGATGGCGGGGAAGCTGTGCCGGCTGGCGAGGGCGTTGGTCAGGAAGTTGGGGACGTACCCGCCCCAGAACTTTGACACGCGCGGGTTGTTGAGCCACATCTGGACCAGGACTATGTCGCACATGGTCTTGAGGTGGTGTTCCTCGCTGGGCGGGGAGGAGACGGGGCCGAGGTAGGGGACCGGCTTTGGCGAGGACGAGGCGACGCGCAGGGACAGGTACTTGCCCACGCTGGGGACAAAGCGGGTGTAAAAGACCTCGCCCATGCGTGGGGGCTTGGGGCGCACCGGGTGGCGGATGTTGTTGGTGAAGGTATAGTGGAGGGGCCCCGGTGGGTAGTAGGTGGGCAGGTGTGAGGACGAGAAGAAGGGGCCGATCGGGAAGCTGGGGACACTGACGATGGTCTGTGGCGGCGGCGCACCTGGGAGGTCGGCGTTGAGGTGGAAGCTGGGGGAGAGCGGCTGCTGTGGGCTCGTGGGCCTCTCGTTGCGGACGGGGCTGGTCGGCCTGGAGGGGATCGGCGACCCCGGGTGGGAGCTGGCGTGGCGATGCGTGGGCTGGAGGGTGAAGAGGAACAGGCGGCCGGGGATCTGCCAGAACATCCTCTGTGACACGAACATGTTGGCCCACTCCTGGCTGGTGTCGTCCATGGACGACCCCACCGCCGAGTCGAGGGTGGCGATCAGGCCCATCCTCTCGAGCTTGGGGATCAGGTTGCGGCCCCTCAGGACGCCATCCCTCTTGATGTTGATGCGCCAGTCCCCCCTGGGCCTCCCTTGTGCCGGAGTCTGTTTCGAATTCTCGTCTGGCGGGAGGGTCTTGCCCGGGGCGGGCTGGTGGAAGTACCAGTAGAGGGTGATCCACAGCATCATTGCGATCTGGCGGGTGGGCGAGGCGGCGGGCTTGAAGTCGGCCGAGGAGGGGTTCGATATGGACGAGATGTAGAGGCTGTCGTTCTGCAGGGTCGGGCTGGTAAAGGAGTGGATGTGGGATCGGCGGGCGACGCCGTTCTCGTGCTTGTCGCCGCGGTTAACCACCATGGCGTCGTCGTCGGCGTCGTTGTTGTCGTTGTTGTCATTGCTGGGCCTGCCATCGTCCTCGGTGTGGATGACAATGGTCCAGCCTATTGGGAAGGGAGACTGGTGGTTCTTGTTGAGCTCATGGCTCTTGAAGAAGAGCCCCGCAAAGACTGGCTGGACCGTGAATGTTTGGCCGTCGGGCAGTCGCACGGTCGAGGAGGGCATCCTGTCGATGGTCACCGTCGGACTGTTATTGCTGAAGCGACAGGAGCCCTGTTCTCCAACACGCCTGGTGTGGAGTGGGCGGTTTGGCGGGGTGGGCGGTTGCTCCCAGCTGTTGTGAGCAAAGGCGGGGTAGCTAAGTACCTAGGTGTGTACCCTGTCAACGACAGCTGACACAACCGGTTGTGGCCACTTGTGTGTGTGTGTGTGTGTATGACAAAAGTAGACAGGCCACAATGGGAATGAAGCGATCGTGAGCCTGAGCGTGGACGTGGGGCCTGGGGGAGCTCTGTCGTCAGGGACAGAGGGTTTGACCATGCGGCTCGGGAAGGTGGCTGACATGGGAAAGGGAGATGGGGTTTATACATACATGGGCAGTCACGCATCCTGCTTGCTGCACCTGCAGCCTGCAACCTGCGACCTGCGACCTGCGACCTGCAACCTGCAACCCGTGCAGGGAAGCAGCAGCTCTCCCCGCACGGCACCAGCATTCGGAGCCGCAGCAGGAGCAACCATCCAGCCATCCAGCCATCAAACAAGAGACCCAGCCCGCCAGCCCAGACGCGATGAGGGGCAGAATGCGCCGACCATGACGCAGAGGCCACCCCGCCTGCCCAATCTGAACCCAATCTGGGCTGCTCAGAGCTTGCATCCCTGCGGGCCACGGCCGAAGCTTGTAAGGCGGGTCCGCCCGCCTGCCCACCCCTGCGTGGATCTCCCAGCAGCCGGGACGAACCCAGTCACGGCCCCTCTAATGGTCAGCACATGCCACCGCCGCCGCCAACCTGCCCGTTGTGGTGTCTCATCACAATTGTGCCGCCTCGGATTGGTTCTCTGGGCCTTGGGAGGCTCCGTCAAAATCATACAGTGACATACTGCGGCAACAAGAAAAATAGTAGCTGGTGTTAATGGTCATATGCTTGATTTATTCGTGGGGGTCTTGATTTCCAAGTCACCCCCTCGGCAGTAATTACACACAAGAGGATGACTACAACCCATCAAGGCGAGGCATTCGGCTCCATTGCCCAAGAGATCTCGCATACGTTAATAAGACCAGTATCACGAGATAGAAAGAATAACTTGAACTGCATACTCTGGGACCACCCTTCGGAACCTGGCCGCCAAGGTACGTTGCCTTGTATGACACTATTGAGGCACCCCCCCCCCCCAATATGCTGCCGTCTTTTCTCCCTTTACTTCCATCCGTATTTGGTGTTTTCAAGACAGCCAACAATAAATCTCTGCCTAAGTCAGCCAGTGTTCTTTTTTGAATGGAATTCCCCTCCGGAATATGGCTACCCGGGAGCTCGCCTCCTTGTACCATGGCTCCAAGGTGGCGTCTCTCCCGTGCAATAGAATTGCGTAGTAACACCTGTGTGACATTTAGCCACTCAGGTCATAGTGGGGCAACTCGAACTTCCAGGGACAGACATCATCATATTGCCACGTTGTAGCCTTGTAGAGCTCCTCGGGAATAGGAAGAACGACAAATGTGCCTGCTGAGATCATCAGAGGCTTGTTGATGCTACGTTCACACGGTAATTCCACAGCAATGTCTCCCAAGTTCCAATCACAGTAGGACTTTCCAAGTGCCACTATGGCCGTTTTACAAGGCACCCACTCTTGACAACCTTGGAAGATAATGGGCCCCGATGGCAACACACAATCTCTATCTTTACATTCACACATCCCAGAACGATCATTCCTTAGCATGTGGTCAAATCAGATCGAAGATGATCTTGGGAGGTAGGGCGTGGCTTCCAGAAAAGCCTATTGTGACTTCGTCCCGAGGTCAGTGGCCCACATCCACCGTGAGTAGTACTGGCAGCTCAAACACCAGGTCACTCGAACCTCCCTGGAAGTGGTTCACCATTCGCTCCTCCCCTATGATCTCGTCCGATGTCCGCAGGACAGCCACCTGGGTGTCATTTCTGCCTTAATCTTCAACACCCAAAAAGCCAGACAAAGCACCCAAGCCCCAAGACAACATCGCATTAAAACCTCACAACACACCAGCCGTCACAACAGGCCCCCAAGAGCAGCAGGAGGACTCTCGCGGCCTCGGGGCTGCGTTTCACCATAACCACCACTTTAAATTCAAATATTGGCTTTCAATCATGTGTACCGAGAAATTTTTCGACGTCATGTGCTTCCAAGAAAACTGCAGCAACATCGTCGTGTACAACCTCAGATCGCTGGTACCCTGCGACGATGTCGAGGACTCAGAGGGGAAGCTAGCGTTCGGCGGCTGTGGGAAACGCGAGCACCTAAAGGCCCCCAAGATGAAAGCAGTCCAGGAAGGGATGAAATGCCCCGACTGCAGGCCCCAGCACGGGCAGGAGCTCGAGAGAGAGGCACGGAACCACGCACAGCAGCTCTACGAGCAAGTCGGGGAGCGGATCGCCGAGGAGAGGAGCCACCAGCAGATCCGCGACCATGTGCGGCGTCTCGGGAGGGAGGTGAATGAGATGCGGAGGTCGCTGGAGGAGACGAGACCCCTCGACTTCGGCCGCTCGACGCCTGCGCCCCCGGACCCCCCCTCGGGCTCGGGGGCTGGAAAGGGTAAATCTCCCGACCGTGGCGGTCGTGATAACCAGCGTCCAGTGCCTGGGGAGCAGGACCAGGTGGTGTCCGGCGCTGGGGACTGGTCTGATGGTCGCGGGGGTCATGATGGCCATGCTCGTGGGCCCTCTGCGGTGGACGAGCACTCATTTGAGAATTTCGATATGTTATTGGAGACGATCGATGTAGCCCAGGGACGGAAACGCCGGGAGGACAGCCCTGGTGAGGGATCCAGTCGTGGCTCTGGTCAGGGTTCCAGTTAAGGCTCTCGCGGAAGGGGGAGCCATCGTCAGGTGGCGATCGGAGGCAAAGATGGTGAGACGGTCACAATTTCGTCCTTTGTCTTGTATAAAATCAGCAGCAAGCATCATCAGGCCAGCAGCGTCGTCTTTAAAGGCCGATAGCGAGCGAGGTAGAATTCCATGCCAACGCAGAATCTCCGTCACTCCTTTACATCCTTTGTATATGGCTACTCTGGAGGGGAATGTTACACCGGATGATAGATGAGGAACGGCGACATGTCCACAACATGGTGTCACTTGGCTAGAGTCGATGGCCGACGACGTGTAGCATCCCCAATAGACCGTCACTCGAGCTGCTCTCCATGTGATTCACGGTTTGCTCCCGGCTTCCTCCCCTATAAAAATGGCCACCGAGACAACAGCTTAATTTATTGCTTGCCTTTCCGTTCCGCTATTCAAAGCAATCATACCGGCAGACCCGGAGAGACCATCGCGCGAGCATCGTACAAGATCATCAAGCATCTCCACGTGTTGCCAAGGGCAGTGTGAATTTTATCCAACCACGAGGAACCGCAGGGGACGCACATCTCCCTCCATGCGTACCAACAAAGTCTCCGCCAAGCCAGTGTATCCAACATGTGCCAGCAAGAGGTAGCAGACCTCCTCTGCTCCGAGCCGGAGTGCAACAACGTCCTCGCCTGCAAGAGGCTCGTCCCGGGGACCCAGGAGCGGTGCGAGGCGGTCAAGAACGCCGCCAGGGACGCGCCCCAGCCACCACAGCACGACCACCCGACGGACTACGACATACCGAGGTCCCAGCAGCCGGTGCCGGTGTACGCCCAGCCGCGCGACTGGTGCCGCGACATACGGAGCATCCCGGGCGCCGCCCGCAAGGCGAGGACGGAGATGTGCCGCGCCTGCCGGGTGAAGCCCGTGGAGGAGCAGAACGAGATGTACGCCGACTACGGCGAGGTCCTGGCCGAGAGCAGGGGGGAGCAGCTGGCGCGCGACGAGGAGCGGCGGGCCAGGTCGAGGGGGGAGGGCCCTGCGGCGGGCGGGTATTTCCAGGCGGGGGTCGGTGGGACTCCGCCGGGATCCGGTTCCGGTGCGCATCTGAAGACTGACCACGGCCGGGGCGGCCGTGGTGGGGGTTCTGGTCGTGGCCATCATAAGGGACAGGGCCGTGGCAGCTAGCCGGGACCGAGTAGGCAGCAGGCCTTTTTTGGCGGCTCACGATGTCAAGGAATGGCGAGGTTGGAGGGCGTTCTGGTCTAGTAGAAAAGAATCTTGTTTGATTTTGGGACTGGCATGCTCGGGGGAAGGTGGATGGCTTAATGTGTATGAGCGGAACTAGATGCCGAATTCCACAGATTCATCCAGCGCAGGTGAGCCATGCAAGGCAAGTTAGAGGAATGACAATGGTGCATCCGTGATTGCAACACTGGCAAGCCGTCGAACACTAGAACATCTCCCTGGAGGAGAGAAGGACAGTTCTGGCAAGGCAACGAACTCTTTTCTCTTTCGATCATACCAACAAAACCGAGGGACCTTTATCCAAACCAGTACGTCTCGGTGATTCATCTAATCTATATAGATGCGACGCTAGTCGTATAGTTGATTCGATCACCTTTGGACACATTTTCTACGGTTATCCCTCCCGTCCCGGATCCTAAAATTCGGGGTCTCGAACTACCATGCTACTCGCCAGCGGGACTCAACTGCCAAAGACGGCTCAAAAAGTTCCATATCTTCCCTCAGACTTTCCGGGGGGAGAACCCCATAACCCTCGGGATGGCGAAAATTTTCCGCCCTCACGGTGACGCCCGAGTCTCGTTCGCGGATGAGTGCTGTGATCTTTGTCGTGGTGCTGGGGCGTGGATACCACGGCGGCGGCCCAAAGAACTTTAGCGCCAGGCTCTTGTCGAACGACGCAGCTGGCGCACGTGGTGTGCGCCTGCAGAGGCAGACGCGCTCGCCTCTGAACACGCAGATCCAGGTCTTTTCCACCCCGCATGGGCACCAGGGCTCCGCTTTCTGCCTGAGTGTGACGTAGACATCGTGGAGGCTGTAACGACGTGCGCCGACTGCCAGCGCGCAGCGGATTCTGGGTATTGTTTAGGTTAGCTGAGGACTTTTGAAGTTTTTGATATGGTCGGTGTCATCCTGGGCCCCGAGGTCACTGACATATGCGGTGCCCGGCGAACCACCTCTTTGTACTCAAAGGTTGAGTCGACCGTGTGCATGGCCCGCTTTGACACACGACGGAATGTGGTCAGCGACGGGATGTCCAGGTGCTTGAGTATGATTTCCACCAGCTCGAATGGGAACTGCCCAAGCCAGCCTAGGTCTGGGCTGTCCGGCTGGATGCCGAAGTCATGCCTGCCGTTGTCAAGCCGGCAGTAGCCCTTTAGGATTTCCGGTGGGATATATCTCGCGTCCATGGAAGTTCGCAGCTGGAAGACGGGGTGAATATCTTCTGACATCTCCGGAATAGAGGCGAAACCAGTTACTTGCGGTCGATCAGTTGAAACTGTGAAGTTATGCGAGGTGTGGTGGGACGTGGGAAGTATTTTGGTGGATTTGTTCGAAAACTGATCATTCTTGGCCCACGGGGATGAAATTTGCACCCACTTCCTCGTCGGGAGACACTTGCTGGAGAAATAGTGCGGAATGAAAATTTGGTTTCAGTAGTCCGAGTCCTAGCCGGTCTTGAGACAAATCGTACCAACCAGTACTGGCAGCCTTAGGCAAATTGATACCAGACTTCAGTTCGTGACGTACCGGTACCTGGCCCAAAGACCCTAGAAGGCGGCCTGACAGGAACTTGAAGTACTTGAGATGTCGGGTAGTCAACATCACTATCAGCGCTGATTAAAAATATTTCAAGTTTCTGCTAACATTTCAACACAACGCTACCACTACCCTTGGGCAGTGTCCGGTGTTATTCGAGGCAGTAGTTCGTTGCAAAAGACCAACTAAGTATGTACAAGCTGCCGAGATTTTCCTGCCATAGAAATCAAGCGCCCCGAGCAACACCAGTGCGCGCTAAGAAATAAAGCAACACTAAGTAAACAAGACGACGCCACGCTTATTAGAAGGCCCTTCCGGTCTCATAAGACACCTCAATCTTAGTGGTAGTCCGGATCCCCTGGACCGTCCCGCCCATGACCGGCAGCTGACTCTCCATACTACCCGGCGTGCCCAGCGGCCTCCCGCCGTCGTCCCAGTCGTCGGCACGATCCCCAGCGACAACCGTCGCCCGCACCTCGCTCTTCTTCAGGCCGTCCTTCGCGGCCCCCCGCATGTTCTCCATGGCGTAGTCGTCGCTGCCGTAGCCGAATTTTGCGTAGCCGTCGCGGTGGCGGGACCGGCCTTTTGATGGGCTCGAGCCATACGTTACGAGACCCGACCGGCCCAGCGTCTTTGGGGTCATGCCGCTCTTGCTGCGGCCGTAGGTGCTTCCGTCGATGAGTCTTGGCGCGACCGAGAGGATGAATTTTCGGAGGGTCGGGAGCATGCCGCACACGATGATCAGGTTCGCCTCGATTACTCTGTCTTGGTGTCAGCTTGTGCGGGGCGGGTCCCGAGACCATTCGACGTACATGAGCAGACTCGCATACGCCACGTCCCACGTTGGGTCAGTTGACGTTAAAAGTGTTGGAAGTATAGCTGATCTTAGGACCGAAGTGACGATCGTTCTGTGACATCTTAGAATTCCCGCGTGTTCCTCGCCGTAGCTTGATATATCGACTTACATGGAACCAATACCAAAGATGAAGAAAAGACCGATCTTCTGCTTGAGGGGCACCTGGAGCTTCACAACCATCGGAATCGGCAGGATGAACAGTATCACATCAGAGATGATATTCGCGGACGCAGTTGCGATGTAGAGGGCTGCCGAGTTTATACACGACCCGGTCGTGATGGTGACATCGAAGCTTCTCTCAATCGGGTCGCACGCAAATATTAGACTGAAGAATATGCCGACGGTGTAGCCCACGATGAGAGCGAGCGTCGCAAAGACTGAATAGCGGAACCACCGCTGAGGTGAAAGTCGCAGGTAGAAGACGAGAAGTGCTATTTTAGCAAAGCTCCCGCTCAATATGTAGATCCATGACGCGATATATACGACCTGAATTCCGTCCGATTTAGTTGAATCCGTTGGCTGAGTGCCTTGCGCCCCGTCATGGCCTCGGATTGGTGAACTCACGAGCAGATACCGGTTGAACTTCACAAGTGATATTTCCCAAGCGTGTACTCCACCTATGCCCGAGGCGAACATGTCTGTGTAAGGGGGCTCATCAGGCCATGTTTCACACATGTGCATCGGGATAATGCTCACACAAGACTAAGAATTGTGTCACTATCGAGGTGACCTGTTCGTGTCAGACTCAATCGTTCAAAGCATAAGTTGGTTAAAAGAGCTTACCCAGGCAAAGAAGAGCAATACTAGTCAGGCAAGATGTCAGCAAAAAGGTCGATAGCAGTCAATTGACTCGTGAGCCGATCATCCTGTCAGGGTAACAATGTCACAAATACGTACAATCATCAAGTTGGAACTTCCTCATAACAACTGACTTCACGTAGACCCTTTGGGCTGTGAACAGCATTGCAAAGATGAGCCCGAAGGCAGCCAGCCAGTAGGTCGGAACATCAGCTCTCCGCTGAGGGTTATCAAAGTCGACCACATATCCAGGTGGAGGTGGTACGAGGACCAGGACCCCGTCGACGACAGACATGATGAAAGTCTCGAGGCCTGGGCTTTACTAGTCGACGGGACGGTAATTAAGTCCGCCTCATAGACTTGGTCGATGATAAAGAGATCTTTGAACAACAAGCAAAGACGATAGACAGGGCCACCTAAAGCAATGGGATGTATGGTGCGAAGGTCGGGTGTTCGGCTCCAGGGAAATGTTGTGGACCTGCGGGCTCAGCTCTCTCTTGTTTATCTGTGACGGAGACGTGGTAAGGCTGTGCCGAGAGCTGGGGAATCGTCAAACTGCAACAGAAGCTCGGCAACCTTTGCAAGGTAGCTGACACGCGCGCTTAAGATTTCGGTGCTTGTGAACCGTTGCACGTCTCAGAACAACTACGAGCAGCTAGAGGTTCATGAGCTGGGATCAAGTAATTGGGAGAAAATGGGTCTAGTAAAGGGTCCAAATGTCTCTTTATCCGGTAGGGCCTAAGGGTACGGCCAGCACCTGCATGACGAAATCGTCCCGCCTGCAAGGATCAGCCACGCCCTCGTGCATCTTTGCGTTCACGAGCGTGAGGGATAAGTGCACTATCTGTCGCCTGGTGGAGGAACAGGCCAAGGGACTGTCTCGGTGGACTCAGTAACGATCGCACGACTAAACCTTAACAAGTCTCGGTCAGCCCTAGTCTGTTCGCACGACATGATAGATGACGGCCAGGATGCCTACGGCAGACGTATTCGAACTGCTTGGTTCCTGGATTTCTGAAACCAAATCATGCTCTACAGACGATTGTTCATACTGCAGACAAATACTACAAGTATCCCGGGCCTTGACATGAGGGCATTTCTTCTGTAAGATAATTACCACGTGCGTTCACTCGGAGGGAGCCTTCCGTCGATACACATTGCTTGCCGTCTCATTGAGGCGGGATCGGCGCTGCGAAACCTTCTCATCATGATCGCGTCTGTCTTCTCGATCTTTCCTGCAATTTGGTTTTTGTGTCAAAAACGTGGGAATATCCCTGATGAACCGCCCAGCCCAGCCAAGCACTACTAGTACGTGCCATGTCCATTGATAATGAAAGAGCTGGCGATATCAAAATTGGTGGAGCGACAAGTCCGTGCCCAAAAGGCAGCGGGGATCACCATTCAAGCTCCATGTGCAGCCGTGGTACCCATCTGCTTCGACCGTGCGTTTAAGGTTTCGACCGTCGCCGTTCCCGACCAGCACGAGCAGCACTGCACGCCACGCGGGGGCTTCTAGGCTAGTTCCAGAAGACCTGGGCGCCACCGATAGGCTCAAAAGGTGAAGAGGAGAAACTCCGAACGCGTGATGTTCTGATACGCATGACGCTTCCAAGGTTTGGAGGGAATATCCCGCCTGTCGGATTCCTCCGTTCGTGGGCGGAGGAGGGGAGCGCGGGGCGGCAGTTCATCGTCCACCTTCTAATGTCGATCCCCATCTGGCAGCGGCTGTCCGCTGGTGGAGACGCGGGGCCGGAGATCAGAGGCCGGCACCTGGGATTTCACGGCCTCGTCCCGAGTGTGGTGGGGACTGGTGTGCGACCCATAAGGCTAATCGGACTTACTCCGTGCGTACACTTGGCTGGGCAGGCTTTCAAATGTTGTAGGTGGTGTTCTCGGCGATGTGTTGAGCAAGCACCTTCAAGGGGAGTCCCTTAAACTCGATACACGTTGTCATTGAGGGCCTAATAACGGCAGAGGCGTTCAGCACGTGCGAGCGCATCCGACCATCTCAACCCAAAGCCTCCCTGGAGCCGGCGTCCTTGGGATGGCGCGCGGAGCGGGTCGGGCAATGCGAGCTAAGGCGGATAGAGTTTGGATAAAACACGTCCCTTAGTCACTCAGTCTTTATCTCATTGGATATTGGGCTACAGCACAGGGGCTCCCGGCTAGAGTCCCCATATCCTGGACTGGTCTACTGAAGACCAAGAGACTAACGATCCTTCGGAGTGGGACTAGCTTTAACGGCATCGACAATCGTTCCAACTCTGTGCGTTCGTTCATAATGCGTGGGTTATCACTCGAACTATTGGGTCTTGCTCCGTCTCCGCCGAGTCCTTGAACAGTCTCATCTTTGGACGGCAACCCAACTTGCCAGTTCGCAAACCATTAGGCGCCATTGATATAGCTCCCCGAGTCTCGAAGGTGGTACCAGGCCGTGCCATAAGCCTGCCTCATTTCCAGGTCATTCGTCCCCCTGCACAGTCTAATCATGCAATGCGAGGGCGGGTGCAAAGGGTCTCAGTACTTCTGTCTACTACCTACCAGTTGACCTACCCCTAGGCAATGACTCGACCAGGGCCACGTTCTACTCACACAGCCAGCTCTCTTGTCCCTCGGCAAGTTACGCGCTCCCACCCCGGATAGACGTGCCGGCCTCTTCCAGATCGACAGAGACTCCTCTTCTTTACACCATCACTCTCCGGTGGGGCAGCCTACAGCAGCACCTCCAGTCAGACTAACGATTTCGAGGCATGCCCTCCGGATGGGTCCATCAACGTGGGTTTGAGGTTGACAAGACATAACTGAGCGCGCCGCCCATGGGCCAGCGTGTAGCTCAAGAGGCCGTTTCCAAAGGTACCCAGCCGTCTCCTTTGAGCGTCAACCACTCGTTCTTGGCAAAATCGTGCGTTCTTACGCGATCATGGCTTCTTTACAGCCAGATGCCGTGGGCCGCACCACGAAGAAGATGGCAGCCACGTGTGGTGCCTTGACTCTGGCATCGCTGGTGTCACCAGTCTGCGCCACTTCTCGTGCTGGGACTTGTGTAAGTGCACTCATTCGCTCTGTCATCCCATCTCACCCTGCTTATCACTCTCCATCGATCTTGAGCCTGCTACCGCACCACGATCTGCTGCTAAGACGCAGGATGCTTAGCATTTGACTTTGCTTTCTCACCACACCATTACCACCACCACCCAATATGTTTCGCACAGACTCCTCCACTAACAATGCCACCACGTGGATAGTGCTCGGCACTTTCCTCCCAGCCGGTCCTGCAGGCCAAGACCTACTATCCCAACACCACACTCTACTCGGACCGTATGTCGACATACTGGTCAGTAAGCGCGGCCTTGGACCCATGGTGTGTAGCCCAGCCGGAGACGGCTGAAGACGTCTCGTCTATCATCAAAACTCTTACTGCCAACGACTGCCCCTTTGGAATCCGCGGTGGTGGTCATGGCTTCTTCGCACTGTCCAACAGTGTGGCCGACGGCGTGACGATCGATCTAGGCTGTAAGTGAGCTTCACGAATATGAATCCAGATCGAGGACCCTGCCAGGATAGCATCGGCCTGGTATCTTGAATTCGAGAATCATGTAGTCACGATTCAGCATGCCAATGTTCCCACGATGTGTCGTTTTACGAATCGAACGTGTGTCCAGCTACTGACTCTCTCACCCCCGAACAGACCTCAACACAACCACATACGACGCCAGCACCAAGATAGCATCTGTACAGCCTGGCAGCCACTGGCAGCAGGTCTACGATGCCCTCTCGCCTCAGGGTGTCACCGTCGCCGGCGGCCGCGCCGGCACGGTCGGCGTGGGCGGGTTCCTCAGCGGCGGCGGCAACAGCTTCTACGCCGCCTCTCACGGCATGGGCTGCGACACGGTGGCCAACTTCGAAGTTGTGCTGGGAGACGGTTGCATCGTCAACGCCAACGCGGACGAGAATTCGGACCTCTTCCGCGCGCTCAAGGGCGGCTCAGGGAACCTGGGCGTGATCACCAGGTTCGACATGTACGCTATCGAGTTCCCCAACGCCACGGACCCGTCTATCTGGGGCGGCATCTTGATCTACGACCTGAGCGCGGGGGATGCGCTCATCGATGCCATGGTGAGCTTCACCGAGGCCGCGGCGGACGACCGCAACACCAGCTCCATCATGTACTGGGCGTATCTGCCGGCGCTGGGGGGCATGATCCTCAACGCGGCGCTGGAGAACACCCTGGGCATCGAGAACCCGCCCGCGGCGGAGGTGTACCTCAACGTCAGCGGCATCACGTCCAACACGATGCGGCGCGCCGACCTGGCGGTCATCACGGACGAGCTGGGCGCGGGCCAGCCGGCCGGGTTCCGCAACAACTGGCGCACGCTGGGGTTCCAGAACGACGCGCGCGTGATGCGCTTCGCGGTCGCGGCGCACGAGCACGCCGTGGCCCAGCTCAACGCGACCATGACGCCCGACAGCGGCTTCAACACGCTGTGCATGTTCCAGCCGCTCAACAACGTCATCGCGCGGCACGGCGCCGACAAGGGCGGCAACGTCATGGGCCTCGACTACTGGATGCGGGGCGGCGACGGCATCATGTTCCTCGCGACGCTGGCTGTCAACGGCGTCGAGAACGAGGCCAACGCCGCGCCTATCATGAAGAACTGGACCGACTCTGTCGCTGCGTATGCGGACGGGCTTGGCCTGGGCTGGGGGTGGCATTATCTCAACTATGCGTCGCCTGATCAGGACCCGCTTGCTGCTGTCGGGCCAGAGAATATCGCCAGTCTGCAGGCTGCCTCGGCCAAGTATGACCCTCATGGTGTCTTCCAGAGGCTGAGGACGTCGGGCTTTAAGATCCCGGAAGGGGTAGAGTGGCTGGGTTCGGAGTAATGGTTTTGGGCTAGGACCAGTGCCGTTGAAAGCTTAATAGTTCATGTACACGATTTATAGAAAACAGCTATTCATCCATTTACACTTGTGACAGCTGACGACTATTATCAATCTACATTGTGCCTTGATCATCACGTTCTGAACTTTGGAATGGCGAGTGTTACAATATTGGATTAGACCCATTAATGGAGTTGGCATCCGCAAGCGAAAAGTCACTGGTCAATTGTGACACAAATCCAATGTAGGTTCGGATGTGCTCTTACACTTGGGTATTCCCCGGCCCAGACAGTAACCACCCTCTGTGTATGTCGTGCCACAGACTTGGAACCAGTGCCCGGAATGCAGTCCGGAAGGTACCTCAGCAACGGGATTACATCGACGAGGCATGCCCCAGGGACGGTGAATGGAGCAAATATTCCTACCAGTCGGTGGTTGATTTAGATCAGAGAGTTTCAAGGCGGGTTGCCTGAGTAAGGTGGCCGTATATAATTTTGAGGAGCATCGAACCGGTCACAGTATTACCAGCATTAGTTATCTGCTATTACTGAATAATGGGCAGTCAAGTTCTTGCGTAACTGGTCCGAGTCTCGGAGAGAAATTTTCGCATCTTGTGCCATTTTCCACTCTTGGAAGATTGGCAACGTGCTTTACTCATCTTCGCCGTGTATGTCGGTGTACGAACAGCATAATCAACTCCAGAAGTCCCATAGTATCATAATATTTATTATAATACAAGCGACTTGAATTTGATTGCGAAGAAACCTGGCTGCGAGATCTGCTTCTTGGTTGTGGCAAGTCGTCACGGCTAGGTACCGACTTTTCAGCGACGGTCTTCGGATATGTTGAGTGAGCATAACCCCATTAAGACTTTTATACCCGGTTCTATGTAATCAATGCACTAAAATGTAAAGGAATTGAATAGAATAGTAAAATTCATATAGAAAGAAGGCAAACTAGCCTAGGTAGGCTTACACTAAATCTACCTGTCTTCTAGTCCAATTCCACCCCTGCCAGAAATGGTTCCTCATTACTACCACCCCTAATCTCTGAAAGCTCTGGGAATTGTTGTCTACTTGATGTAGAACAAGCACGCAAGGCTTAGAAGGCTCATACCTGAAGTCATCCACACGTGGGCGACCCAACAACAAAACATCGGGCTTCTCAAATATTGACTCGTCGAGGATACGATCTGCATTAATACTGACAAAAAATTCGGACATTATCGAAACTCCGTATCTTAAAGATTCTTGCTCCTCCTCATACTCACATGATATATCTGAGAGTTGATCAGCATCACACGCTCGGACAAGCTTTGCAGGAAGAATGTCTCCTTCGACAGTGAGGACAGCATTTTTGACATCTCCCAGGTAGGCGTTTTTCCCCTTGTCATTGTAGACAGCGTGGTAGCTTTTGAACTCAACTGACATTTCGCATGCACTGAATTCTATTAGAGTCGAAATGGAGGCCCAACTCCATGTAGGCAGGTTTTCCGAACGAGGCTCTGGGGAGGGACTCATTGCGGCCCACGCAATGTTCTGAGAGATATCCTCTTGCCACAGACCACACATGTAAGTCCATTGTCTCTCTTTGCCGAATACTTCAGCGATTCCAGCCAGTGCAGCTAGTCGGTCCTTCGGATATGTGAATTTCAGTTGGTTATAGTCTTCGAGGATATTGGGCCAACTTCGAGAGGAAATTTGTCGCTGTATTCTGCGAGAAACGTAGTATGTTTCGGTACTACCCTTCTCCTTCGAAATGTTCTTATCGATGTCATTACTATCGTCCTCGTCGTATCGTGCGCACTGACAGACTGCGTGATCCTGGCACCGCCACATGATTTCACGATTCAGAAAGAATAGGGTCCGAGGAGAGAGAAGAACTTCCTGATAGACCCAGCCCCGGCCAAGCAGGCCTTCGGTGTTGACGAATTCCTGACGGTAGGGTCCATCTAGAGTGGAGCTATAAAGGAAGGGGTGCTCTGGTGGCTCCTCGATGCGTGCAGTGTAGCCTCCAGGTAATGTTCCTAGAAGTGCACCCCGGGCAGTCTTGGTTGGATCGCTGAATAAGCTATCATAGCTGCCTTGACTTTTGGTCGCTGAGATCGTAAATGCGGCATTCTTATATATTGATGCCATAGATCCGGCTTCACGATCCCAGTCCGTATTATCACCTTGGATGATACATAAGCAATCAATCCACAGGTACTTGATGTGGAACCGACTGAGAACATATATCGTATCCTGCACTGTATCCTCTTTTAGAAGCTGTTATTGGCGGCAACGAGATCCATATCTCCACAAAAAGCTAAGTGCTAGGGGTTTGAAGGCGAACTTACTGAGGCGCGGCAACTTAGCGGCAAGAATCCCCCTTTCCGTCCTTTGATGCATGTTTGATGAGGAAAGTGAGATCTCTTCAGTTTCTTTACTCCATCGGTGGCTCAGTGTGACATATTGTACAGGCTCAGTCACCGTTACCAGCCACACAACTGTGCCATTGGACTTGTGCTCAAGGCGAAGGAGACGAGTTGGTTTATAAGAGCACCTTACTGGTTGGCAATTGTGGTTACGAACACACGTCTCCCACCAAAGTTTCGCCTGGTCAAGTACATGGTCATCCGCAGTTGACTTCATTTTGATGGTTCCAAGTCCTCTGCAGACGCGATTCCTCAAAGCTCTAGGAAAAATAGGGCCCTTGGTCAAGTCTTCGTATGAAAAGGTCAAGGGTACAACGAAAATGAAGCGTGAGGATGTTCCATCAGACTTGGTAACCTCGAGATCTCGGCTTTGGCCGCCCGCGAGTTGCCTTATGCGCCCATTGATCGCTCCATAGGAACGTGCAAATTTGAGTATGTTGCGGCAAAATATGCAATCGCGGTTGGAGGATGCTTCAATTGCCTTCAGTCCGGGTGCATCGAAGTAAGGCCAATTTTGTTGATCGGCATCGAAATTTGAGGGCCGGGCGCCACTCCCCAATGGGAAGAGACAAACGCCGCAATCGGGATTGCCAGCATGACGAGATGGTCCGTCGCGGCGTTCGTCAGAGTACGTTAAAGACCAGATATCCACAGGCTCCCGGTGCGTTGGTAGAATTGACAAGACTCGGCGCTTTAGTCGATAATAGAGTTCTCTCGGCATTGTGAATGGATTGATTGCCCAGGTGGAGTGTTGATGTTGTAGCTCGTACATAGCGTGTTGGTAAGGTGAAAAAGCAGCTCAACTTGAAACGTGCATGCAGGTAGATGTTGGTTTGCCACAGGGTGGAGATAACTCAAGGCAGCTTTATAGATTATATAAGGAAGTAGGTAAAGTTTTACTTATATAATATATATTTTTAAAAAGATATAATATAAATTTACTTCTATTTTATATCTATTTAAGAATATATATAATACTTTTATATAATATTAGATATTAAAAATTTAATATTTAAAAAGAATATAATATTAATAATAATAATTATAATATAATAAATATTTATAATCTTAACTCTATAATATATAAATAAAATTAAAAGTATTACTTTTATAATAATATTAATATTATAAAGAAATTATAGTAAAATTAATATTTTAAAATAATTATTATATAAATAAATTATATTAAAAGAATTTAATTAAAAGTTATTTTTATATATATATTTTATAATAAAACTTTTATTAAATAAACTTTATATTTTTATTTAAATATATAATTAACTTTAAAATAATTTAAAATAAAAATAATTTATAATATAATACTTTTAAAATTTTAATAATAAAATATTAAAACTTTTAAAAATAATTTTAAAAATAATTTATAAAAAATAAAAGAAAGTATAATAAAGTTATTTTTCTTTAAGTTTATATTTTTATTATTAATAATTATTAACTTTTTAAAAGCTAATATCTATCTATTTAGCTTTAATATCTACCTACCTAATAATTTCTATAGACCTACCTAATACTAACTTTTTATATATAGGGTCTATATAAAACTATATATTTAATTAAAATTCTCTAAATTTTTAATACTTTAAGTATAAACCCCTTTTAATATACCTTTTAATATACCTTTTAGTATACCTTTTAATATACCTTTTAGTATACCTTTTAAACTACCTTTTAAGCTATATATATTTAGGTATTAATTAAGTATTTAAATATTAACTAAATATTAAAAGGTTAGAAGTTTAGAAGGTAAAAGTAAAAACTATACTCTTTCTAGCCTTTTAACACCCCTTTTAATTCTCTAATATTTTAAACTTCTAACCTTTTAATATTTAATTAATATCTAAATACTTAATTAATACCTAAATATATATAGCTTAGAAGGTGAAGGTATAGATAAAGGTGTAGGTAAAGGTATAATAAAAGAGGCTTATATTTAAAGTATTGAAAATTAAAGAAGGAAATTATATTATAAAGTTTTTTAATGCTAACTTAAAAAGTATTTATAAATATAAGAAAGTTATTAAAAAAAATAAGTATTAGGTAGGTTTAAGTAAATTATTAAATAGATAATTATAGAAGTTAAGTAGGTAGATATTAACTTACTTTTAATAATATAAAAAGTATAATAAAAAAAGAAACTTTAAAATTCCTTTATAAAAGAATTATAAAAATATATATAAAATAATTAAAACTATATATATAAACTTTAAATTAAAAGATTAAATAATTAAATAAAAATAATTATATAATATAAAAGAAAAATATAATATAATTAAAGTTAAAAATATAATATTTTAATTTAAATTAAAATCTTTTATAAATCTTTTAATCTTTATAATATTATAAATTTAATTAATATTAATTAATTTTAAAGTATTAATAGTAAAATATAATAAATTAATTAATTAAATAATATATAAACTATTTATATGTTTTTAATTTTATTATTAAATTAAAAATAAATAGTTAAAGTTTTAAAAGATAAAATATAATATTTCTTTTAAAGCTTAATTTAATTAAGTTTATTATATAAAACTTTTATAATAACTTTATAATTATTTATAATATTATTTATTATTAAAAATACCTTTTATATTAATATATTAAATTATATTAATTTAAATTAATATTATTAATTTATTAAAAATTAAAGTTATTATAAATTATAAGCTATTTAATTTTAATATTATTAAATACTATATATACGGTTATTATATAATTTAAATCTTTTAAGTTAGTTAAAATAAATAAAAATAAAGCTATTATTCTCTTAAAAGTTTTAACTCTATTTAAATAAATATCTATTTAATAAACTTAAAAGACTATTAACTCTACTATATTATAAGTAAAACTACTTAAAAGTAGTTATTTAACTTACTATATTATTAAATTAAAAGATAATTAAATAAGGTAATTATACTCTATTATTTAAGTTTATAATTTTAATAACTCTATTATAAAAATACCTATTAATAATTAAATCTATAATTATATAAAAATAAACTCTACTTTAAAAGAAGTTATTAATATTTTAAATAATTAATATATTTTTAAAAAGTTAAAACTATAAGTTTAATTTAAAGGAAATTAAAATTTATAAAATCTTAAACTTAACTTTAAATTTAAAGGTTTTAATTTAAAGTTTATATTTATAAAAATAAAAACTTTTATTTAATTTAAAAAAGTTTAAATTAAATTAAAAATTAAATTAAATTATAATAAAAGAAATTAATTAAATAAAAATTAATTAGAAAATTATAATTATAAATCTTTTAACTTTATATTAAAAAGAGAAATAAAATTATATATATATATATAAAGCTAGTGTCTACCTATCTAGTTTTTATAGCTACCTACCTAGTAATTTATTTAGATCTATTTAATACCTATTTTTCTTAGTAACTCCCTTATATTTATAAGTACTTTCTAAGTTAGCGCTAAAAGACCCTATAATATAATTTCCTTCTCTAATTTTCAGTACTTTAGGTATAAGCCCCTTTAGCACCCCTTTGGTATACCTTTTAGCACGCCTTCTAGCACGCCTTTTAGCACGCCTTTTGGCACGCCTTTTAGTATACCTTTTAGGGTATATGTATTTAGGTATTAACTAAGTATTTAAATGCTAACTAAATATTAAAAGGCTAAAAGTTTAAAGTACTAAAGGGTTAAAAGGGGTGCTAAAAGGTTAAAAAGAATATAATCTTTACCTTTACCTTTTTAGCCTCTAGCCTTCTAGTATTTAGTTGGTATTTAAATACTTAATTAGTACTTAAATATATATAGCCTAAAAGGTATGCTAGAAGGTGTGCTAGAAGGTGTGCTAAAAGGTATGCTAGAAGGTATATTAAAAGGGGTTTAAAAGGGGCTTATACCTAAAATACTAAAAATTTGAAAAATCCTAGTTAGGTATATAGTTTTATATAGGCCCTTTATATAAAAAGTTGGTATTAGGTAGGTTTATAAAAATTACTAGATAGGTAGCTATAAAAGCTAGGTAGATAAATGCTAGCTTATATATATATATATATATATAAATTATTCTTTTTATTTTTAAATTTTATTTAATTAAAATTATTATATAAAGCTTTTATAATAATTATATAATTTATTATATTAATACTTTTAATTATATTTTTAATTAAATATTATAATATAAATTAATATTAAAGTTATTTTAAGTTATAAAACTTAATTTAATAATAATAAATATAATATAAAAATATTTAATTTATAATATACTTTAAATATATACTATTTAATTAAAATAAATAAATATAAAACTATTCTTACTTTAAAAGTTTTAATTTAATTTTAAAATAAATATTTAATAAAACTACTTATTAATAATAATTTAATTAATTTATTAAATTAAAATATAACTTTTAAATTAAGTAAAACTATTATATTATTATATATAATTCTAAATTTATAAATTTAATAACTTTATTAATATTTTAATAAAAGTTATAAACTTTTAAAATAAATATTTATTAATTCCTTTTAAAACTTTAATTATTTACTTTTAATTTAATAATAAAATTAAAGAAATATAAATAGTTTATATATTTATTAATATATTTTATTATTCTTTAATATTAAATAAAATTATTTTAAATTTTTAATAAAATAAATAAATTTTATTATAATTTTAAAAATATATAAATAATAAAATATTATATTTTATTTATTAAAAATATTATAATTTAAAAAATAATAATTAAAATTAATATTTATATAATTATATTATAATATTTACTAATATTTAAATAAATATATTTTTATATTATTATTAAATATATTATTTATAAAATTAATTATTTCTTTTAAATATTAAACTATAATTAGGGTAGGCACAAATGGGTGCAAGCAAGTAATTGGGCGCAGCTGGCGCCCCGGGCGCCCCACAGGTCGACCTACGGAGTACCTAAGGCTTCGCCTATACAACCACTTAGCAGTTAGCTTTCCTAGCAACCAACCACCATACAGACTTCGATACAACCTCGTTGCCCCATCAGCTCTTCCACAGTAATACTAATGGAGGACGAGTTGCGCGAAAATCATTGAACGTCTCCCTTCTATCATATGCTGAAACAAGGGTATCACTGACACCACCTCTCTATTGCACGTGGTGTCCCACGAAATTCCATCGCCGACCTGTAGACCCTCAACCTGTGATCACTCGCTCTTCTTACCATCGCGCCCACCACCACCGCCCCTGCCGCCCCTCACCATCTCGCTCTTGACCCTCTCCTCCTCGGCGTCCAAGTCCTCCTCGTCGCCCTCGTCATTGTCACGGGTGTTACCGCGCTTCTGCTTCTCCTTCTCGAGGGCCTTCTTGACGCGCTTCGAGTACGAGAGGTCCTTCATCTCGTCCCAGTCGACGTCGTACTCGGCGGCGATGGTCTTGATCTCCCTGCGCAGGCCGTTGGCCTCGCTGACAAGCTGCTCCCAGCGGTGCATGTCGAAGCCCTTTGTCTCGTACAGGGCGTTCTGCCGCTTGCTGACGGTGACGTTCATGGCGGCCTTGTAGGACAGGTCGCGGCTGATGTACATGAACCACAGGTAGCCGCCCATGATGGTGGACAGGCCGACGAGGTAGGTGACGGGCTCGACCAGGTCCCAGCCCCACTCGGTCTGGAAGGTGACGTAGTAGACGACGCCCCACCAGCCGGCGAGGGCGGCGAACCCCCCCTGGGCCAGGCGGTGGGCGGAGCGGTGGGCGACCTCGTCGCACTCGCGCTTGATGCCGGCCAGCTCCTCGATCTGGCGCGACATGCGCCGCAGCCGCATGCGCATGTAGTAGGTGCGGTCGTTGAAGCTGGGGACCGACACGTGCATCTCGAGGTTGTAGCCCTCGACCTCGATGGCGAACTCGCGGCCCCTCGCCGCGTCGCGGATGAAGTCGCCCATCTCGGTGCTGCTGCTCCACCGCACCCACGCCTTGTCCTTGTCGGCGGGCGTGTCCTCGGCCTCGTGGCCCAGCCCGGAGTAGGACGCCACGTGCGGGTTCTTGGGGCTGTCGTCCTGCCCGTCATCCTTGGCCCGGGCCTCCTTGCGGGTGGTCGGGCGGTTGTCAGATGCGGCTGAGTCTTCTGCGCGGAAGTAGATGTTGGGGATCTTCTCCTTGCCGTCCTCGACCACGGGAGGCAGCTCGGCCTGGATCAATCGCTCGACGTAGGAGAGGGGCTGCTGAGGGTGGATGAGGAGGGCGAGTGGTTGGATGCTGTCGTTAACAGATATGGCGCGGCCGTAGTCTTTGGTATTATTCTCCTTGTCCTTCTCGACACGTAGGGGTAGGGGGACGATGAGTTTGAGGAGTCGGGTCGGCGTGGTCAAGAGTTTGCCTGTAGATCGCGTGGCCTGTCAGTGCCATGTGAATGCGAGCTGTGCTCGATCACAGATCTCACCTTTTGTGTTAGAATTGAGGTCTGGGACCTGTTCAGCCGGGGGCTTGTCTGCGTCTTCTCGTAGCCATGGCCGTTTGACCTGCTTCTCCTTCACCCTGACCTCCTGCTCGTCTGGATCCAGACCTTTCGGGTCCGAGGAGTGTGGTGCTTCGGCGGATACATCTCTTTGTGCAAACGAGGAGTGAGTGAAGAGCCTGCTGCCGTTGAGGCTAGTGTGACATGACGATATCCTTGTCGATCTTCTCGTGGCGCGAATGGAGGCAGCAGAGATGTAGGGCGAGGACGAGAGCCAGGTTGTCGAGGTCGCGAATGGTTTCGACGATGCGAGCGTGCACGGCAGTCGGCGGAATGCAGAGGCCATGTCGGGCTCAAAGACCACGTTGTCGCAGTCACTTAAGCCTGGAGGATGCCTTCATCATGGGAGGTCGGCGCTCAATAACAATCAGAGGACCAAGGGCTCGGCTGGCGTTGTATAGGTCGCACGCTTTCCAAGCTTTGGGAGCTGCTGTTCCGGGGCAGCAATCGAGGTTACGGTGACGTCACCCTCGCGTACCCTGGTGGCACCAGGCCGCCTAACAAAGCCTCACCCAAACAGGATGTCAGCTGCTCCACTCCGTCATCTAATCTTAGCACCCCTTTCATGACTAAAAGCTGTATTCATGACCTTGAGGAGCAAGGCAGAAAAGCGACCTACTATAGGTTGGTTCAAGACCCTTTTCTTTGTCTGTTATTTCCTCTCGAATTATTATCTAGGCAAGCTTACATTAGAGTGGAGTACCCTAGTGTAGTCCCCTAAATTCCTTGTAGTGGCTCACCTAGGTATTCATGTAAATGTATAAGCTAGCTATTTTCTAACTTTTATGCTTTTATTACTTTCTCTATATTTAATTATTAAATAGTACTTAAAGAATAAACTAATATTTAAACTATAATTTATTAGATTCTTTTTATTATAGAAACTATTTATTTTATATAAATTATAATAGTATAAAAATTTAAATAAATAAGTTTAAATTTTTCTAAATATTAAAAATATTTAAAATAATAATTATATTTTTAAATTATTAAATTAATTATTTTATTATTATTAAACTTTTAAATAAAAGAATAAAAGAATAAAAGAATAAAAGAATAAAAGAATAAAAGAATAAAAGAATGAAAGAATAAAAGAATAAAAGAATAAAAGAATAAAAGAATAAAAGAATAAAAGAATAAAAGAATAAAAGAATAAAAGAATAAAAGAATAAAAGAATAAAAGAATAAAAGAATAAAAGAATAAAAGAATAAAAGAATAAAAGAATAAAAGAATAAAAGAATAAAAGAATAAAAGAATAAAAGAATATTATTTATTTATAAAAATAAATACTTTTATAATATATATAATAATTAAATTTAAAATTCTTAATAATTATAATATTAAAATTAAATATTAAAGATTTATAAAGTAAAAAAATATTATAAAGTAATTTTTCAATAAAATAAAGGTTTATACTTAATATAATTTATTTAATATATTATTAAAATTATTATTAAACTATTTTATAATAATTATTATTATTTATTATATATATATAATATTTCTTTATAATATTAATTTATTAATATAAACTTTATATATTAATAGATTTTAAAATAATAAAAGTATTATATTTAAATCTTTTTTTATTTTTATTATAATTTTAAAAGCTTTAATTAAAAGTTAATAAATATTTTATAATATAATATAAAAATATATTTTATTTTATATAATTATTTTAAAATAAATATTATAATATTTAATTAATTTTAAAATATTATAAAAGTAAATATATAAATTATTTATATTTTTAATTTTATTATTAAAATAAAAATAAATAATTAAAGTTTTAAAAGAATAAAATATAATATACCTTTTAAAAATTAATTTAATTAAATTTATTATATAAAACTTTTATAATAACTTTATAACTATTTATAATACTATTTATTATTAAAAGATATTCTTTTATATTAATATATTAAATTATATTTAATTTATTAAAAGTTAAAACTATTATAAATTATAAGCTATTTAAGTTTAATATTATTAAGTATTATATATAAAGTTATTATATAATTTAAGTCTTTTAAGTTAATTAAAATAAGTAAAAATAAAAGCTATTATTCCCTTAAAGGTTCTAGCTCTACTAAAGTAAATACCTATCTATTAGCTTTATAAGTAAAACTACTTAAAATTATACTTTATTATTTAAGTTTATAAATTTAATAACCCTATAAAAGAAGAAATAATTATTAATAATTAAGGTTATAATTATATAAAAATAGACTTTTATTTTAAAGAAAAGTTATTAATATTTAAAATAATTAATATATTTTTAAAAACTTTAGAGATTATAAACGTAATTTAAAGGAAATTAAAATTTATAAATATCTTTAACTTAAATTTAAAGGCTCTTTTAAATTTAACTTCTTTAAAAAATATTAAAAGGTTTTAAAAAAGTTTAAATAAAGTTAAATAAGATTATAATAATATAATATAATTAAATAAAAATTAATTATAAAATTATAATTATAAGTTTTTAATCTTATATTTAAAAGAGATTAAAGAATATATAAATAATTTTTAATAATTAAATTATTTAAATATATTATTTATTAAATAATAATAAATAATATAAAAGTTTTTAAAAGATATATTTATATATATTATTTGTAATATATATATATATTAAAAGTTTATTTATATTTCTTTTTTATTTTATAAACTTTTAATTTTTAAAATTATTTTTATTATTAATATTTTTAATATTTAATCTTTTAATTATAATATAAATTTTTATATTATAATTATTTTTAATTTAAAAGTAATTTTAAATTTTTTTTAAATGAATTAATATTTATAAAGAATAGAGATTTATAGAGTAAAAAATAGAGAGAATAGAGTAATATATACCCTTAGTATACTAACTATAATTTATACTATTAATTTACTATATAAAATAATAATATATTGTTATTAACTCTATATCTATTACCCTATATAAATACTACTTTTATTACTTCTACTTACCTCTATTACTTTTACTTACCCCTATCGCTTCTACTTACCCCTATTGCTTCTACTTGCCCCTATTACTTCTTTTACTTTAGTGGTTTGCTACTACTTTCCTTATTGTCGCTTAGGGTGCTTTAATGAGTCCTTAAATATTTAAATCTCCTCTTAAGTCTCCTTTTTATAGATGAGTAGGTCTATAGGCTAGGGTGTAAAAAGTACTTAGTTAGGGTGGTGTAGGTAGTGAGGTAAGGTTGAATAAAGCCTTCTAATTAACTAGCGGTACTTCTTACCCTATACCCTTTATTTTTTATTCTATGAATCTCTATTCTCTATTTATATATTTTATAAATTCATTTATATATTTAATATTTTCTTTTATATATTTAATATTTTTTTTATAATTCTTTTATATTTATAATTAATTTTTAAATTAATATTAAATAATTTTATAATATAAACTATTTTTTAAATTTTTAATATTTTAAGTAAAAACTTTTTTTAATACTTTTTTAATACTCTTTTTAATACTCTTTTAATACTTTTTAATTTATAAATATTTAAATAGAAATTAAATATCAATATATTTATTAAATATTAAAAGATAGAAAGTAAGAAAGTAAAGATAAAAATTAATATCTTTTAATTTTTAATATTATTTTTAATTTTTAATTTTTAAACCTTTCACTTTTTAATATTTAATTAATATTTAAATATTTAATTAATATTTAAATATATATAAATTAAAAGAGTCTTAGAAAGAGTGTATATTAAAAGGTATTAAAAAGTATTAGAAAGTAAAAGTAAAAAGTATTAAAAAGTAAAAGTAAAGAGTATTAAAAGTTTAAAAGAGGTTTATATTTTAAGTATTAAAAATTTCAAGAATTTTAATTAAATATATAATCTTTTATAAACTTTATATATAAAAGTAAGTATTAAATATATAAAAAGAAAATATTGAATATATAAATTAATTTATTAAATATATAAATATTAACTTTTTTAAATATAAAATTTTAAATATTTATTATTAAATTAAAATTTACCTATCTAACTTTTATATCCACCTAGTTAATAATTTTTATAAACTTATTTAATATTACTTTTTTATATATAAAGTTTATATAAAACTATATACCTAATTAAAATTCTTTAAACTTTTAAAACTTTAAATATAAACCTCTTTTAAACTCCTTTTAACACTCCTTTTAACACTCCTTTTAGCACCTCTTCTAATATTCCTTCTAGTACCCCTTTTAGCACCCCTTTTAACACACTTTCTAGTATACCTTTTAGGTTATATATATTTAAGTACTAACTAAGTATTTAAATATTAACTCACACTTTTTAACACCCTTTTTAACTTTTTAATACTTTAAATTTTTAGTTTTCTAATATTTAATTAGTGTTTAAATACTTAATTAATATTTAAATATATATAGTTTAGAAGTATATAATTTAGAAAGTATATTAAAAAGAGTGTTAAAAGGGTTTATATTAAAAGTATTAATAATTAAAGAATGAAATTATATTATAGAGTCTTTTAATATTAACTTAGAAAGTATTTATAAATATAAAGTTATTAAAAAATATTAAATAAGTTTAAGGAAATTATGAAATAGATAGTTATAAAAACTATATAAATAAATACTAGTTTTTATTATTATATAAAAGTATTATATATATTTTTAATTATATATAAAATAAAAGTTAAATTAAGTAGAATAAATTTTATTAAATTTATATAGTTTTAAAAGTATTAATAATTAAGTATAATAATTATAATATATAAAATTATAAATTTAATTTTAATCTTTTATAAATTAAAAATAAATATTTAAAATCTTTATAAAATAAAATATAATATATTTCTTAAAATTAATTTAATTAAATTTATTATATAAAATTCTTTTAATAACTTTATAATTATTTATAATATTATTTATTATTAAAAGTAGTTTTATATTAATATATTAAATTATATTTAGTTTATTTAAATAAATATTATTAATTTTAATATAAATTATTTTATTAAAATTTAAATTATTATTAATTTTAAATTATTTAATTTTAATATTATTAAATATTATATATAAAATTATTATAAAATTTAAACTTTTAATTAATTAAAATAAATAAAAATAAAATTATTATTTTTAAAAACTTTAATTTTTAAATAAATATTAATTATATAAAATTATTTAAAAATAATTATTTAATTTATTATATTTTATTAAATTAAGAATAGTTTTTAAATAAAATAATTATATTTTATTATTTAAATTTATTATTTTAATAATTTTATTAAATTAAACCTAATTATTAATAATTAAATTTATAATTATATAAAAATTATAAGTTTAATTTAAAATAAATAGTGTATAATATATAATAATTTTAAATTTAAGTTTAAAAACCTTTTAAAATTTAACTTTTTTAAAGAAAATATTAAATAAATTTAAGAAAATATTTAAATAAAATTTAATTAAATTATAAATTATAAAGTATTTATACTCTTTTAAATATAAGGTTGAAAAACTTATAATTATAAAATTTTAATTAAGTTTTATTTAATTATTTTATTATGTTATAATTTTATTTAATTTTTAATTTAGTTTAAACTTTTCTTTAAATTCCTTTAGTTTTTATTTTTAAAAGAGTTAAAGCTTTATATTCCTTAAGTTTAAGTTTAAGATTTTTATAAATTTTAATTTATTTAAAATTAATTTTAATAATTTTTACTTTTTAAAAATATATTAATTATTTTAAATAATAATATATTCTTTTAAAATAAAAATCTATCTTTATATAGTTATAAATTTAATTATTAATAACTTTTTATTTTTATAATAGAGTTATTAGAATTATAAATTTAAATAATAAAATATAGTGACTTTATTTAATTATCTCTTAGTTTAATTAAATAATTACTTTTAAGTAGTTTTACTTTTAATATAGTGGAGTTAATAGATAGGTATTTATTTAAATAAAGTTAAAACTGATTAATCTATAGTCTATAATAACTTTAACCTTTAATAGATTAATAATATTAATTTTAAATTAATATAACTTAATATATTAATATAAAAGATATATTTTAATAATAAATAATATTATAAATAATTATAAAGTTATTATAAAAGTTTTATATAATAAATTTAATTAAATTAATTTTTAAAAATATGTTATATTTAATTCTTTTAAGATTTTAATTATTTACTTTTAATTTAATAATAGAATTAAAAAATATAAATAGTTTATAATTTATAAATTATTTATGTTTTTAATTTTATTATTAAATTAAAAGTAAATAATTAAAATTTTAAAAAATAAAATATAATATACTTTTTAAAAATTAATTTAATTATATTTATTATATAAAACTTTAATAATAATTTTAATTATTTATAATATTATTTATTATTAAAAATATTTTTATATTAATATATTAAGTTATATTTAATTAATTTAAATTAATATTATTAATTTATTAAAAGTTAAAGTTATTATAAATTATAAATTATTTAGTTTAATATTAAAAATATTATATATAAATATTAAAAATATTATATAATTTAAATATAAATATAATTTAATTAAAATATATAGAAATAAAACTATTATTTCTTTAATTAAAAGTTTAACTTTACTTTATAAATAAATACCTATTAAATAAAATTATTTAAAAATAATTACTTAACTTATTATATAAACTAAAAGATAATTAAATAAAATAACTATATTTTATTATTTAAGTTTATAATTTTAATAACTTTATTATAAATAAAAGAAGAAATAGTTATTAATAATTAAATTTATAATTATATAAAGATAAATCTTTATTTTAAAAGAAGTTATTAATATTTAAGATAATTAATATATTTTAAAAGAATTAAAGAATTATAAATTTAATTTAAAATATATTAAGATTAATAAAAATTTTAAACTTAAAGTTAAAGGTTTTAATTAAATATTTATAAAGTTTAAAAGTTTAAATTAAATTTAATTAAATTATAATATAATAAAATAATTAAATTCAAATTAATTAAAAATTATAATTATATATTTTTAACTTTATATTTAAAAGAATTAAATTAAATTATAATAATATAAATAAATTAAATAAAAATAATTAAAAAATATCATTATAAACTTTTAATTATATATTATAAAAACATTTTAATTATATAAAATAAAATAAAAATTAAATTTATATTATTATATATTAATTTTAATAATAAATTCTTAAATATTTTAAATTAAATTCTTATATAAAAATATTCCATTTTATTTTTAAAATTTTAAATAATCTTTCTAATTTAATTAAAATAATTTAATTAAAATTAATAAATTATATTTTAATATTAATTAAAGTTTATAAATAAATTAATTCTAACTAATTTTAACTTTATTAATATACTTAACTTTATTTACTAGGTGTAATATATCTTATTAATTAAAGGTATTGTGTATATTAAACTCTTATATTGTTTAAAGCCTTAAATAGCTGTGTAATTCTTATCTCTAGAAGGCGAGAATCTGACCGAGACAGTTACGGGGCCTATGTTCTAGGCGCTCCGCTCTGGACAGGATAGTATGGATCATCTAGTTCCACCAGCCAGGGCTCGGGACGGAACCATCTAGGGTATCATTTTAAGGCAAAGTATAAAATTCACAGATTCATATTCTTTGTTTCGTACCTAGAGATGCCCTCGATCGTCTTTCAGCTGTTTCACAGGCTGACCCCACGCATCGCTGCATCGACTGATCAAGAGGCATTGAGGGCTACGATAACGTTTCTTATTCACAACTATAGTGGCTCTAGAAGTACATAAGCTTGATCTACTCACTATCCTCTTCCTCTTCCTCCTCATCTTCGGTTTCGCTTTCGGTCTCCTCTTCCTCAGTCTCGGTCTCTACCCCGGATTCACTTTCATGGACAAATGGTTCAGCATCCAGATCAGATCCTTCGTCGGCATAAAAGGGTTCGTAAGGATCAATCATTGTGTGCCTCTGGTCATGCATTTCTCCGGCGTGGGGACTACACTTGAAGCACAAATAGAGGTTGCATTGACGGCACATCAAAGTTGGGCCACAACGTGTACACTCCTATTCAACTTCGAAGTCAGTAATTTACCGAGTCCACAAGGCATGTAAGAAATGAGTGCTGTTTCATACCGTCCGGCAATAGTGACATGTAGGATAAACATGATTATCATCATCGTTAACCAAAGGAGATTCGGGCTCGCGATCGCGCTCGATGAGGCTTTGCTCAACACCCTGAGTCTCACAACACTTTGCCATATCATCGATATACTCTAACGCATGATCGACTCTGTAACAACTGAGCTCTCTGAGGTTTGATGAGAGCAGTTTGAGCGCCGACCACTGCCCATCTTTGCTCCGGATACGCGCGTCGGCTTTGTAATCGTTGATGAGACCCAGGCCAAAGCGATAGAAATAGCTGCGGTGTGTCTTGCATGCCCACATCAGTGGTGTCCAACCATCTACATCGACAATGTTGATGATGTCAACATCCTTGGGGACCCTTTCGACGATGTAAGCTATGATTTCGGTGTTCTCCTCAACAGCCGCAAAGTGTATTGGTGTGCGGCCGAACATGTCGGGCTTTGAAAAGTCGGCCCCAAATTTGCCGAGAATCTTCAATGCATCGAAGTCCGAGCACATGACCGCCCAGTGAGAGGCTGTGCGGCCGAAACTGTCGGATTGGTCCGGATCGGCCCCATGCCGGAGGAGGTATTTCATCAGAGCACTTCCCTTCTGCTTCCGGTCGACCAACGCTAGGTGTAGAGGACGACCCACGCTTCCCCCAAAGGCATTGACATCAACTCCAAGTTCCTCTACGAGATACCGAACGATCTTCCAACGTTCGGTCTCGTCTATATTTTCAATCGCGGAGTAGAGCACGGACGCGGATTTCTTGTACCCGGGGTCCACGACACTGGGTTCCGCGCCTGTTCTGACAAGCTGTTTTACCATCTCCAGAGTCGTAGTCTCGGCAGCGATGTGCAAGATGCTTCCACACGTGGGATGACAGATGTCACTTCGCACGCCCTTCACTGTTGTCAGGTATCGGGCAACTCTCCAATTCCCTCTTCGCAATGCAATTGCGAGGGGCGTCTCACCGCAGTCGTTGACTGTGTTGACCGGTGCACCTTCTTCTACCAGGCGCATTACTGCTGGTAGTTGCGTGGCACTGTCGATGCCGTGTAGAATCGTGCACTGTCTGTCTGTTACCTGATCAAGTTTTGCACCTCGCTTGAGCATCATCGCCACATCATCCTCGCGAAGTCCCTCATGAGAAGCAAAGAGAATCATGAGCGGGGACATGCCATCACTCCTTGTGTGGTTGATATCGGCACCGGCGTCAAGGAGAAGTTCCCGAATAGCTGCATCGTCTCCCTCGCAGGCAACGCAAAGTGCTGTTTTCCGAAACGAGTCCGTGCTAGCTAATTCGAGGTCTACCTTCGAGTCAGTCTGTTCCAAAAGCAATTGGACACTCTCTTTCGACTGTTCCTTCACGGCCATGTGCAATACGGAAAGCCCTTCCGTAGACATAGCAGCCCACCCTTCCCGGCGAGCTGATCTCCAATTGACGTTTGCGCCGTGGTCGATGAGTGTCTTCATGAAGCGGGTATCGCGGCGGTCATGAGCCGCAACAAACAGTGGCGAACATGTCTCCAATAACCAAACTGTACCTTGTCCTTCAGGCACTGGGTTCGGGTTCGCGTCTCGCTTCAGAAGTAATTCCATGATCTCGTACTGATCATTGTGAACGGCACAAGCAAGGGCGTTGCGCGGGAACCCCCCGTCCCCTACAATCATCTGGGCCCCATAATCAAGTAGCACCTCAACGAGTAACTTGTTCCCAATTTTGATGGCTCGTGTCAACATCGTATCCTCTGGTTCAAGATCCAAGTATTCAGGGCTTGTTTCCTTGTCCGGGAGATATTCGGGGCTTGCTCCCTTGTCCAGGAGACTGCGGCAAATCTCAATATGCGGCCCAGAAACTATTGCATGCCACAAAGCACTTCCACTTTCGGTGACAGCGTTAGGATCGACGCCATTGTCCAGAAGGATGCGAGTGCATTGGCTGAAACCGAGTTTGGCAGCCTGCGATAGAGCGGTAGATGAGATACCAGTGGAGGAGTCGTGAATACTGTGCGTAAGGAGATGAGATGAATAGACTTTGGCCGCAATGAGCATCTCCAGGGCCTTGTAGTTCCCATATGAAATGGTATTGTAGAGCAATGCCTGAATATCTCTGGGATCCTGAGTGGCGAGATCGGCTCCCGCATCTAGCAGTTGTCGTATCGATGCGGCAGTGCCCAATTTGGTCGCCAGTACCAGGGCCGACTGCCCACTACTGTCTTCGAGTCCGAGGTCCACGCGACCGGTTTCCAGTAAAATCTTCAGTAACCTGTCCTGGCCGAACTCTATTGCGAGGTGAACAGCGCGCCAGTCCCTTTTGCTGTGCTCTTCATCCAAAGGGTAGTCGTAACCGGCTTCATCCAGATCATGACCAGCCTGCGCCAGAGCTGACACAAGATTCTCAAGTCCGGCGGTCACGGCGTGGGCAAGGATTCCTCGCGGCCAGCTGAAACATTCTAGCTGCTGCGCTCTGGATATCAGGATATCCAGTGCCTCCCCTTCACCGTATCGGGCTGCACAAGTTAAGGCTTCTCCTAGGCCAGCTGCGTCGGTATCGGTGTGATCGAGGAGTAGAGCCACTGTCGACCCGTGCCCATTCAATGCCGCTTCTGCAATTGCCAGCCAATGGTCATAGTTCCGACTATTGCGGGCTTCCTCGTTCTCAATATGACTGCGAACAAGGTCGTCAAGCCCGAACATGGCCATGTATGGAAGCGAGGACACGTATTCTCTTTCCATCCTAGTAAATGGATTTGACGCAACGTAAAGTGCTTCTGCCCAAGCGGCTTTTTTGAGCCCGTTTTGAAGAAGTTCCGATGCCAGCTGAGTTGGCCGATAGTCACCGGCTGCTCGGTAGTGGAATGTCCAGAATCGCAGCGCGTATGAGACTAGGCTATGCCGAGGAAGTGTTACCAGTGACCAGCCCAGATCCCCCATGCCCTGTTTCTCCACTGAGAGAGAAGTGAGCATTCCCTGCCCTTCTGTACCCAAGAGGTAATGCAAACACGTTGCGGCCATGCTTGCATGGGAACGGTGTGCCTGATCCCGCTCAGCGTCGACTTCAGTGCTCGCTGACACGTTATAGAAGGCGTCATCTGAGAATTTGAAGTCATGACCATCTCGTAAGATGATTCCTCCCATGACTCTCTCCAAAAAGCTGCTGAAATCCCCGTAGTTCCACATTTGTTTTAGTTGTGCCATCTCCCTCGGCAACGTGTACTTGACGGACTCGACCAGAATTTCCAATGTGAGAGGTTCTGCGGCATATTTTATCCAGCCATAGATGTGCATCGCAATGCGTTGTTCCGTGGTCGGAAGCTGGTTCACGATGCCGCTCCAGAGCTCCTGGTGAGGACTGCATGCTCTCTTCCGGATCTTGTCGGTGATTTCGGCGAGGGAATCACATTGGTAGTTTGAAAACCCGTCTAGCATTGTTTCTTGTAGGGTGGGTACTGCCCCTAACTTGCTGAAAATTTGGTACAGCTCCAGACCAAATTGGGTGAGTTCCGGCCGTCTGGCCAGCAGACATTTGATTCTGTCCTCGGTGACGAGCGGACCTGGACAAGTACTGATCAATGTTAACTGCATGTCCTGTACCATTGTAAGGAGGCTCTGCTCCAGTGCGCAAATTGGTGATACAGGTGGCTATTTAGGAGACACGTTGGAACATACAGGTAATCCTCCACTGAGAGCGGACAGTCTTCCAGGTTGATGATGTTTGCTGGTGGCAAATGGTCACACAGAAAGTCGTCTGGTTCCCTCGTCGTTATGATGAGGTTAAATGGTATCTCGCTGCGGTCTTGGCGATCCAGCACGGCCTGAGTAAAAGCGAATCGCTCCTTCTCTTCACAATTGTCAAGTCCACCAAGTATTACTGTAATCGCTTGCATGGCGGGGGCTTTCTGCACATCCAGGAACACGTTGATCAGATGCCTCGTTGACCATGATCTGAAACGCCGCATGTAAGCAGCTGATGACACCAGGTAGCTATCAGCCGACTTGGACCAGAAACGTCCCGCAAAGATGATCAAGAAGGACACGATCATATCTTTGATGCTAGCCCGCCTGATATCATGCTTATCGAACTCGAAATAGAAACAGCCAATTTCTGGTCGATACACAGAATTGGGGTCTTTCTGAATATCATACGCAGTGTATAGCTGCTGAGACATCAGTTTCATATTGATGGCCTGACCAGCGATCCGTCCAGCATGAAGATACACAATTCTCGAATCATGCTGCCGGGCGAGCTGTCTGACGATAGGATCTTGCTCAAGTATCCACGACAGGGCGGGGCCATGGCTTGGATCTTCGTATTCGTATTTGTAGACTCGCGTCGGGGGCGAGAGGTACAACAGTGAACTCTGATATGCAAAATGAGCGTGGCGTCTCTTGATGTCTACATTTAGTGCTGGGTTAGCAAATACAAAATGTACTCTTGAAAAGATATGGAGCATCATTATGTCCGTTTATCAGACTTACTGAATCCAGGCGTTTGGTTAAATAGCTGGGACAAATTAAAGATCCAGCCGGACCATAACAAAGTAGAAGAACCCATCACAAGCGACAGGTGGTCTGTCCCTGTCAGCACTATGCTGCTTCGATACGCGAGATTGTTCTGCAGTTCGCTCACTAGTGGTGAGAAAATATGAGTTGACGTTTCAGGCACCGCAGTTATATCTTCTGCGTCCGCTGTGCCGATGTTCACGATCACAGCGTGATCCAAAACTTTTGTCTCCAAAAACTCAAGGTCAATGGCTTCGATTTGTCGAGATAGATTGGCAACCTTATTTTGTATCTGCGTTCTAATTGGAACGCCTGGCAAATTCAGCAAGGTGAACAGTTGATCTTTCAACTCTTCGGACTTGTTGCCTTGTGGGCACGCCAGGAAAATCTTCTTCAGTCAATAACAAGATCGAGTGTTTGAGAAGGAGAGACTTAAGTGATTCGTTAGAGATGAATGCTTACGATTGATGATGTGAGCAATGGTAGCCTCCTGTATATAGTTCGAATATGCAGAGAATGTACGGGACCATCTTGTGATCCAGGTTCTGGTTCGTTGTGTATTGCGTTGATGAGAGCCTTGGTCAAAAACACTGATCAGTGATCCGCAATTTCTAACAGACTCTTGAAGAGATGCACCTTTTTCACAATGCTGCCTCCCAAGTCGTGGCATATCCATATGATAGGACGGTGGGCTTCGGTCTGCCATTTGAATCTTAGTACGATACGAACACAAGATTGCATGATAGGAAGCGTACAAATCCGAGCTGAGCTCTGTCTTGTGCCAGGCTTTTCAGCAAATCATTCGCCTCAGTAGAAATGCCGTCTGCGCTTGGGTCATAGATGCGAGCAGAGTTGCCTGTACCGTAGACATAGTCCAACTGTCTAATCGAAAGGTCTCGGAACAATACGCGTTCAATCCAACTCGAGCCATCCTGCTTGTTTGTCCATACAGTTTGATGATCATCTCGAACACCATGTACAGTGATCACACTGCATGGTGGAAAGATTAGCAATGAGTGCAAATACAGTGTTGCCGGGAAATACCTACTCGTAGTCAACGAAGTCTGACCAACCATTCCTCCGAGAAAGTCCCAGTGTTTGCAATGGAGCTGGAGGGTATTGCCAAGGTTGCACATTGACTGATGATGCTTTGTCCGAACATCGAGTACCGTTGCTCTCATTGTCCCCCGCTTTCTCACTCGGTACTGGCAACGCATCATTTGCATCGTTTGTGCTCTCATCGTGCACTTCCACGGCCTCGTTGAAATTTGACTTCTGTTTGAGCTCGTATTCACGAAACAGTGCACGTTGGTACTCCCGATCGGAAAGATTCTCCCAGTCCACGGAATCTTGGTCTCCATCTGCAGACATTTCCAATTATGTCAGTTATCAAGAGGTCAGATTAAGCTTGGCTTTCCAAGTGAGGCTTGTTTCATTCCCATCAACGCGCTTTGAAACTTGCTATGCTTCTCCCTGTATGGAGGCGTCGTGGATATCTTCGGACGTATACGGGATAGAAGCAAAACCAGGTATGCTTCACAAAGGGAACTGGCATTCGTGTGTGGAAATCTGGAGGGCAACGGAATTGATCATGGACGGGCGGGTTTGTAGTATCCACAAATATGTACCTCTCGTATCATTTACGCGCGCTGGAAACCAGACCTCGACCCTGATTCAGCCGCGCACGGCTTGAAGTCCACCGAGGGGTGAGTCATTTTTTCCCCTCCACGACAGGGGTTCGATCATCAAGCGAGGTTGATGAGTACTTAGACGCACTGTGTAGCTAAGATGGGAGCACACGCTTGCAGCTCGCATCCAGAGTTCAGTTGACAGCCACTGAAGAGCTGCGTTGGCCACCTAGGGCGTTGCATCAAAAATGGCACATCATCTCCAATACATACTGCAGAAACTAAAGTCAAATAGCCACTATGATTGACCAAATTCACTACCGGTAGGCGCAGCTACTATACGGCCTCCTCTTGTTCTTGCTCGGAATCTCGTATCAAGGTTGTGGGAACGATATTTCCGAGAGCTTGCAGATCAATGGCTCCAATGTTGTCCGTGTCGTACACCATGAGCCTGTTGGTCGGCTTCTGCTCCGGGTTCAAAAGCACGGGGTCATCCTCTGGGACCTTGCCAAAAAAGCTCTCGATGGACGTCCACTTGTCTGCCTTGCACCGGATCGTGGGCGTGCACGTGAAAATCTCCTCATCCTGTCGCTGGATGCGCACCGCGACCTGCAACAAAGCGGGAATCCCGGTCTTGAGGGTCTTGTTCTCAAGGAGTGTCCACTTGGCAATGCGGTTCGGGGGAATGTTGTCGACCACAAATCTTCCTCCGCTCACAGTTGTCTTGTCCGAAGTCTCCCGAGTCACGGTCTTCTCCCACTTGGCCGTGCCGCTAGCAGTGAGTATCTGAGTAGCTCCCAGAGTTCCTGAGCCCCCGACGGTCGTGGACTCGCTTTGCTTGCTTGGCAAAAGACTGTAGTGGCCATCGAATGATATGGCTTCGACCTCGGGGAGTTCATTTTCCGGGTCTGCCAAGTCAAAGAGCAGCTCCAATGATGCCTCAGTGATACGACGCATCCTTTTCTGAGGGTCGAACCGAAACTGGAGGACCATGAGAGTTGCCCAGTAGTCGCTCTCTGGACTCATGACACCGTGGGCCACGTCCAATATGGAACAGCGGATGTCGATAGCACCTGTCCGTTGTATAACCTCCCGTCGTTGGTACGGATCCTTGGGATTGTTTTTGGTGTGGAATCCGCTACCCGCGCTTCCAGATTCGAACATTGCAACGTCGAAGACGTCCATTCCCTCATCAAGCTCCATTCCTTCAATGGTCAGATCCTTGTTGATCTCGTTGGACATGATCTGCGTTGGCGGTAGACTGGCGAGAACTCAGTGCTGCTGATGGCTAAGCTGTATCGATTGGGGCTTTTGTTGAAGCCACCTGGGCATGAGAACTTAGCTGTCTGGGGACAAGAGTATTTGGGAAATGTTCTCCCACCATCGGCATGCACAGTCGCCAAGCAGACGGGACACACTGTACTCCGTACGGGCGGGCCGACTCATTTGGCGAAAGCGGATAAAACAACCGGCTCGTCTGCAAGTCAACCAACAGCTCATGGTTCTCAAGGGCTGATTCGCAGAAATCGACTGCAAAGCTGCGCCACGGCATCCGCGGCATCACAATATTAGTGGAGTGCAGAAAAGCGATGTGACATTGTTGCCTGAGAGTTGCAAAATCTTTCCTGTATTGTTGGCTGTTGGTTGGGTTACGAGCGGGCCGACTGTTTTATCGGCGCCAACCTCGCATCGCGATTTGTACTGGTGGCATGACAAATCGCGAGAACAGAAACGCAGGCGGTGCAGAGCGAGGTCCCCTCTCATGCGAGTCGATCTGAGAAGTTGTTAGACTCAATGCATTTTTGACAATTTGCTTTCACAGAAGTACACTGCTCACAAAAGTACACTACATTGTGACGACAACACATACACCCCCCCCCCAGCACCCCTCCACACGCACAAGGCGGAAAAATGTCCGACTCCGAAGAACGAGACGACAGCGACATGACTGAAGATGAGGATGATGAACTCTTCGAAGTCAGTGATCGCAGGCAAAGGCTGACAGCTGCGCTAAAATGGATCACGACCGCCATCGAGAAACGGCCCGTGGAGAAAATTCGAGCCGCAGGATCGTCGAAGAAAGCCAAAGCCAAAATCACAGAAGAAGACGTGGATCAATTTTTCCAGATATACTCGGACCTCACGGACAACAACAACGAAGATACACCAACAATACTCAATGAAGTCGTCAACCTCGTGCTTTCCAACATGGAGGCAAGCATCGACCAAGGCTCGGTCAAAGCACTGGTGCAAAGGCTCGCCAAGCAGTGTACGCATTTCTTGTGCATTCGCAATGATGAGCAACAGAACCCACTCTATTTGGCCATCGTGAAAAAGAAGAAATATCTGGTGGATTACATGGTAATGAGCTGCCCAGAGGACGACAGAGGAACAAAGTGTCTGGTCGAAGCCCTTGAGGACACTCGGGCCAACGAAAAACGCAAAAATTGTCTGCATTTGGCCTTGGAGATGGACATGAAGCCTGCCACACTCCTGAAAATGGTTAACGTCGCCAGCACCAAGGCACTAGAAGCCGTGGACACGACGGGCAGACGCCCCATGCATTACGCAGTCCAGTACAAGAACTGCAACGTGGACGTCATTCGCAGATTCATCGATAGAGATCAACAGCTGGTCATGGATCAAGGGTCAACTTTTCCAAGTCCACCAACCAGTACCTTCCTGGACATGAATGAAAAGACCAAGGCCTCGGTCTATCAGCAGCATATTTCATCGGCGGCAGCGCACATCGACGAACGAAACTCCAATCAAGATATACCAGACCACCACCACACGAAACGAGGAGGTTTGTCGACGGTGGGGGACGGCAGAGGCAACCGAGCTCCAAGAGATGAGGCAGCTCGAGGAATTGAGCCCATCACGAAGAGAAAAGCTACACCCAAGGTGGAATCTAAGCCCAACAATCAGGCAGCCCACCCTGCACTGGCCAACCCTGTTGCTGCGTCTCGCGATTCCAAGGGTGTATCAACTCGGACGGGGAGGCCGAGGGACCGAGATTGGGATAGAAGAATGAGCGATGATGATGATACACAGGATCAGCTAGAGCTAGTCCGCGAATTGCTGAAACAACAGGAAGCGGAAGCCAGAAGAGAAGCGCTGGAACAGAACGCAGGTATTAGAGACGCAAGCAAAGATCGACGAATGCTAGACCACGGGGTTATCCGGGACGCTCTTCGCATCCAGACAGCTTTTCCCTCCGGGTTTGTGGAAAATCCGAGTAATGAAGTTGCAGCCAACACCCCAAAGCCGCTCAGACGAGTGCCAACGATGCGGGTGGGGATTACGGATAGCAGGTCAGGCTCGAAGACGAGACGAGCTCCTGCCGTCACCAAGAAGCCCCCGAAACCTGTGGACCATGAGGCTGCGGCTCGCAATTCAAAAACTGTGCTTCGAATGCTAAAGTTGCATTACATGAGGACGAGGAGCATCGAGGTAGCCACATCGTGGCTATACGGCACGAACCCACAAGGTAAGATACGACAGCTAGTCCATATAGAGACGACCGTTAACATGTCACTACAGATGTACAAACATGCTTCGAACAACCCAGGCTTCCCATTGAGCTTAAAGCCGCTATGTTCGAAAAAGCCTTTCAAAACACTAAATTTGACGACGTCCTCAAATTTGTACACTTTCCGAATGTCAAGGTCATTCCACAGAAGACTGCCAAGTCCAAATCCCAGCAGCCCTGTGATGGAATCGGCCGGTTGGACATGAAGTTCTTCTTCAACTTTTTGTACGGCAAGGGAGTTCGTTCCATCTTAAAGGTGTTTGTTGAAGAAGGTGGACAGGCTGTTCACTCTGATGCAGCCATCAAGCATGCCCTGAGCCGATTTTCAGTGGAACATCTGGACTGGCAGAAGATCGACTGTGGGCATCGCCACCCTCGAAAGCTTTTGTGTATTGTGCTAACATGGAAGAGTACAGTGGATCCTGAAATCATCCGTGGTATCGGCGGCGAGGCAGAATACAGTCTGGAAAAGACCAAAACCGGGGAATTCAGTTTCAGAAATCAACTGAGGACTTTGGACTTGCACTGGAGTGGAACTAGCGCAGTCTTGCGAGCATGGAGTGAGCCTGAAGGGCTACCATCCCTTCCTCACCTTAGTACTGTCAATATCATCATACCTGACTCCGTTGTTGTAAGTAATACACCTGTCCCCGGGCAAGGGCTCTCCATTTATCCCTCCCTTCAAGAGTGTGCGTTATTCGTCTCCATTGTTGCCATGGTCACTCTCATGCATAAAGACTGATACTGACTTTGGTAGCTGTACGACTCCACCGAATACATCCAGGCCAGGGTGGATGAATTTGAGGAGCGCCTGAATAAACACACCGTTTCCAGGAGAACTCGAGAGGAACTTCCTCCATTGGCCTCGACGACAAATCAAGGCAAGATCATTGTCAATTTGGACGGTCTGAAACTAGCTTCGGTGAACAAAGGATTCTCGAGGTTGCCTCAGTCCGGGACAACACAAGGTCGAACAGCCAAATCAGTGATAGAGAAAGTGATCAACACGCACGAGTGGCTGACCACTATCGACGCGTTCGCAACGAGTATCAACGAAATTTGGAAGTCGACGCGAGACGCCTACTTCATCAGCATCGGCGTGCCTCCCGACAAGATTGCTGATCACATTCACTCAACGACTGCTCATACTCACAGGCCAGGAAGGCTTTCCTGTCCTGAGGATGAAGTTGTTGTGGCACTCATAGATGACGGTGTTTCACTATTAGATCAGCAGTTTGTTGGTCGAGTCCTGGAAGGTAAGAGTTTTGACTACGACAACGGGGTCATTGGGCAACCATACAACTCAGCACGTGGCCACGGGACTGAAATGGCGAGGAATATCCTCAGGGTGTGTCCGATGGCCAGGATTTATCCGAGTAAGTGCTTTGTTTTGTTATCCTGGAGGAACAGGGGTGTTTCGGAAACTAAGTTTGGAGGGCTAACACACATCTATAGTTCGTTTGAAAGTACAGGATTCGGTCGACCGGACAAAGACCGAAATCAATCTGAGATCAGCTGCAATGGTGAGTCCACCCAGATGGCAACATTGCTGGTTTCCTTTTCTTGGGAATTTGCCTCTCAGCCCATGTACTAGATCCTGCTAACGAAACTCTCCTTCCCACAAGGCAATTTATGCTGCTTTGGAAAAGAATGCCACCATAATATCCATGTCTTGGACAATTCCAATTCCCAGGGACCCCGACCCAGCGCAAAAGCTGTTTGAGGATGCAGTTCGCGAGGCTTGCAGGCGAAATGTTCTCATGTTTTGCAGCTCGCCGGATGGGGGCCAGTTTGTAAACATCATGGATTACCCATCCGCGGTGCAGCGTGACAAGATGTTTCGCATCGGTGCAGCACATGACTACGGCTCGGCATCTGAGAGCACAGACAGGGGTGTGGATTACATCCTTCCGGGTGTAAATGTGAATACCAACACCACCACCCCCGCCACGGGATCGAGCGTCGCAACAGCGTTGGCTGCGGGGCTGGCTGCGACCATCATCTATTGCTTCAAAATCAGCGCGCTGGCGGCTAAGACGCAAACTCACACGATGACTTCAGAGGATATCGCGCGCCGGAACGACAGGGAACAACGGCTCCAGAAGATCTCCAATCATGCAGAGATGAAGAATGCTTTCAATTCCATTGGCACGGTTACTCCCTCAAAGTTCATTCAAGTATGGGAGGTATTGGACACAGTGGTGGAAAACATTGAGAGTTCTCAGAGTGAAGCGCACAAGGATGCGAAGGTCCAAGCTATTAATGACCTCTGTATAAAGATGATGTGGGCTCCTAGTCGTGTCTAGTATTCCTATTGTCTCAATGGCCGTTAGTACCAGCCCTAGATACAAATTATAATAATAAGTACCTCTCCCTTAAAACCCTTTTAATATAATTTATCCTTTCTTATTATTATTTAATTAATATTTTAAAATAATTATATTATTTATTTTTCCCTCCTAAGTATGAGGCTAAAAGACCTATAATTGTGAAATTCCAACTGATTTTTATTTGACTGTTTTATTATGCTGCAACTTAGTCTAGTTGAAGCGGAGGTCTGCCTTTATGCGGTTATAGACCTAGTCGTTAATAGCCATTTCTTCTTCTATTTATAGCAGAGCTATCAGAACCACAAACCTAGATAATAGAGTGTGGTTACCTTATTTAGAGGTTATCTCTTAGTTTAGTGGAAGTATAGTAGGCTAAGTGATTACTTTTAAGTGGTTTTATTTATAGAGTTAATAACCTTTTAGGTTTACTAGATATGTATTTATTTAAGTAGAGTTAGAACCTATATATATTCTTTAAGGGAATAATAATTTTTATTTTTATCTATTTTAATTAATTTATATTTATTTAAGTTATATAGTAAATTTAATATTTATATATAGTATTAATTAATATTAAATTAACTTATAATTTATAATAATTTTAATTTTTAATAGGTTAATAATATTAGTTTAAATTAACTAAATATAGTTTAATATATTAATATAAAAGGTATTTTTATAATAGATAGTATTATAAATAATTATAAAATAATAATAAAAATTCTATATAATAAATTTAATTAAATTAATTTTTAAAAATATATTATATTTTATTCTTTTAAAATTATAACTATTTATTTTTAGCTTAATAATAAAATTAAAAAATATAAATAATTTATAATTTATATTATTTATTTTATTTATTTATTTTAAATAAATTATTATTTATAAAATAAGTAAATAAAAGTTTTAATTTTAAATTTATTAATATTATTATATATAATATATATTCTTTTAATCTAAAATTAAAGAATTTATAATTATAAAATTTTAATTAATTTTTATTTAATTATTTTATTATATAATAATTTAATTTAATGTAATTTAATTTAATTTAAACTTTTAAAAACTTTTATTTTTCATTTTTAAAAAATTAAAATAGTATATTTTTAAATTTAAATTTAAAATTTTTATATTTTTAGTTTTTTAAAATATATTAATTATTTTAAATATTAATAAATCTTTTAAAATAAAATTTATTTTTATATAATTATAAATTTAATTATTAATAATTATTTTTTATTTATAAATTATTAAATTTATAAATTTAAATAATAATATATAATTATTTTATTTAATTATATTTTAATTAAATTTTAATTTAATAATATAATAAATTAAATAATTATTTTTAAATGGTTTTATTTATAAAATAATAATCTTTTAAATTTATTAAATAAATATTTACTTAAATAAAATTAAAACTTATATATATTTTTAAAAATAATAATTTTATTTTATTTTATTTTAATTAATTTATATTAATATATAATTTAAATTATATAATACTTTTATATATAATATTAAATAATATTAAAATTAAATAATTTATAATTTATAATAATTTTAATTTTTAATATATTAATTTAAATAAATATAATTTAATATATTAATATAAAAATATCTTTTAATAATAAATAATATTATAAATAATTATAAAATTATTATAAAAGTTTTATATAATAAATTTAATTAAATTTATTTTTAAAAAATATTATATTTTATTTTTAAAGTTCTAATTATTTTATTTTAATTTAATAATAAAATTAAAAAATACAAATAATTTATAATTTAAAAGAATTTAAAAGGTTATAACTTTATTTTAAAATAATTTAAAATTTATAAAATTTTAAATCTAAATTTAAAGGTTTTAATTTAAATTTAATTTATTAAATAAAAATATTAAATAAATTTAAATAAAATTAAAATAAAATTAAAAATTAAATTAAAATAAAATTAAAAATTAAATTAAAATATAATATAATAAAATAATTAAATAAAATTTAATTAAAATTTTATAATTATAAATTTTAATTTAATATTTAAAATAAATTAAATATATTATATAAAATATTTTATAATAATTTTATAATTTATTATATTAATAAAAGTATTTATTTTAAAAATAATTTTTATATAAATATATTAAATTATATTTAATTAATTAAAATAAATATTATTAATTTTAATATAAATTAATTTATTATATATTAAAATTATTATAAATTATAAATTATTTAATATAATATTAATAAATATTATATATAAATATTAATTAATTAAAATAAATAAAAATAAAGTTATTATTAAATTAAAAATAATTTTTAAATAGAATAATTATATTTTATTATTTAGATTTATAATTTTAATAATTTTATAAAAGTTCTATATAATAAACTTAATTAAATTAACTTTTAAAAGATATATTATATCTTATTTTTAAGGATTATAATTATTTACTTTTAGCTTTATAATAGAATTAAAAATATAAATAGTCTATATATATATATATATTAAACTTTTAAATATAAAATTAAAAATTTATAATTATAAAATTCTAATTAATATTTATTTAATTATTTTATTTTATTATAATTTAATTTAATTTTTAATTTAATTTAAATCTTTTAAGTTTTTTTAATTTTATTATTTTTAAAAATTTAAAATTTTATATTCTTTAATTTTAAATTTAAAGTTTTTATAAATTTTAATATACTTTAAATTAAATTTATAATCTTTTATTTTTTAAAATATATTAATTATTTTAAATATTAATAATTTTTTTAAAAATAAAATCTATCTTTAAATAATTATAAACTTAATTATTAATTATTATTCTTTTTATAAAGTTATTAAAATTATAAACTTAAATATTATATATAAAAATAAAGTATAATTACTTTATTTAAAGATTATATTTTAATTTAATAATAATATAATAAATTAAATAATTATTTTTAAATAGTTTTATTTAATAAATATTTATTTAAATAAAGTTAAAACTTTAATTAAAAATAATAATTTTATTTTATTTATTTTAATTAATTTATATTTATTTAAGTTATATAATAAATTTAATATTTATATATAATATTTATTAATATTAAATTAATTTATAATAAATTAATAATATTAATTTAAATTAATTAAATATAATTTAATATATTAATATAAAAATATCTTTTAATAATATATACTATTATAAATAATTATAAAGTTATTATAATAAATTTTATATAATATATTTAATTAAATTAATTTTTAAAAATATATTTTATTTTATTTTAATTTAATAATAAAATTAAAAAATATAAATAATTTATATATATATTAAATTTAATATAATTAATAAAGTTTAATTAATTTAATTAAATAAAGTTATTAATTAATATTAAAATATATTATTTTAATTATTATAATTTATATGTAAATTAATTGCTTAATATTTAATTTAATTTATTAAAATTATTTAAAATAAAATAAACTATAATTATATAATTAATAATATATTTTAAGTAATATTAAATCTTTTAAAAGTTTAAATATAATTATTAATATATTAAAATTTGAAATATTTTAAATTAAATTTAAAAGAATTATAAATTAAAATGATTTATAATAAATAAATAATTTTAAAACTTTAATTTTAATAACTTTATTAAGTAAAAGTTTGAATTTATAAAAATATAATTATTTTAAAATTAATTAAAATTAATTAAATTTTTAAATATTTTATTATTATTATTTATTTATTTTAAAAATTTAATTTTTAAAAATTAAAGTTATATAAACTAATAAAAGAAATATATTAAAGAAAATATATATAAATTATTTTTATTTTTTAGTTTTATTATTAAATTAAAAATAAATAATTAAAATTTTAAAAATAAAATATAATATATTTTTAAAATTAATTTAATTATATTTATTATATAAAGCTTTTATAATAATTTTATAGTTATTTATAATATTATTTATTATTAAAAATATTTTTATATTAATATATTAAATTATATTTAATTAATTTAAATTAATATTATTAATTTTAATATAAATTAATTTATTAAAATTAAAACTATTATAAATTATAAGTTATTTAATTTTAATATTATTAAATATTATATATAAAATTATTATATAACTTAAATATAAATTAATTAAAATAAGTAAAAATAAAGTTATTATTCTTTAATTAAAGTTTTAATTTTATTTTATAAATAAATATCTATTTATTAACTTTATAAATACAATTATTTAAAAATAGTTATTTAATTTATTATATTATTAAATTAAAAGATAATTAAATAAGATAATTATACTTTATTATTTAAATTTATAATTTTAATAACTTTATAAAAAATAATTATTAATAATTAAATTTATAATTATATAAAAATAAACCTTCATTTTAAAAAATTTAGTATTATTTAAAATAATTAATATATTTTAAAAAGTTAAAAATTATAAATTTAATTTAAAGTAAATTAAAATTTATAAAAATTTTAAATTTAAGTTTAAAATATTTAAACTTTTAATTTTATTAAAAGAAAATATTAAATAGATTTAAAAAAAGTTTTAAAAAAAGTTAAATAAAATTATAATAATATAATATAATTAAATAAAAATTAATTATAAAATTATAATTATAAGTTTTTTAATTTTATATTTAAAAAAGAAAGAAAATATATATAAAATATAGATTTAAGGTTTTATTATAAAAAAATATTTAATCTACTTTATTATAGAGTACTTATTAGTCCTATATGTAATTAGCTTAGGGTCCTTATAGTTAGTAGAGTTAGTTGTTTGGCTAGTGTTGAGAGCTTGAATTCTTTAGGCCACACCACGGCCCCCACACCCACCTGTAGGTGGAGACCGTGCGCGGCCTGCCATCGGGCCTGTAACAACAGTCGCTTGCTTTGCCCCTTCCTTACGTACTTAGTTGGGTAGATTCTGGTCAGCATTCTGGTCAGCATCCCGGCCACGACCGTCTAAATATAGACGTGAAGCAGAAGCGGCGTTCAAAATGGCCAAATGGGCACCGTGTTGGCCCAAATGGATCACCGATGGCAACATTGGGGCAACGAGGGCCAGCAGATATGAGAATTGAGCAGGTCTCAAGGTCAGGTCGGTGTGCAGCCCACCGCGAACAGGTTTCCATCATCTCCTGGGCGTGGCCTTTTCTGCAACCACCTTAATGCGGTCCACGCTTATAATCTCATTAACCTCCGGCCACTGTGGATTGCACTATATAAGAGCCGTTGGCTGTTTTCCTATTGTCTTCAGAAGACGACATGTGCGCTTCGCTATACCATGTGACCAAGTCCCAGTTCGTTTCAAATCATCCATTCAATCCGGACAGCTTACTTCTTTTGAGCTGAACGATACCTTTCAAAATACACTTTTCTTTTAACTCAACCTCTCACCACCACACAGTCTCCAGAAACTCTACTGTCAAATGGCTGTAGCAGCGAAAAATGTCCCGCCGATGAGTGTAGAACTCGCCGTGACCAGGGCGCTCCAAAACTACTTCAACCGGACAAAAGACCAAAAGAGCGATGAGGAGGATGACAAAGCTTCCTACCAAAATTTCAAACACATAGTAGCAACACTCACCTTGGAGCAAGTTTCGCCCCTACTTGCCAAATGCAACCAGATTGCAAACACGGACGAGCGCGTCAGAAGGCACTTCTTGAACCAGTGGGAAAAAAAGTATCCGGAAAAGGCCAGGAAGGCCAGTTCCACGCTCGAAAAACGACACAAAACTTTGGCAAAGGCTTTACAATTGCCGTTATAGTCGGTCTAAAGTGCAAAGGGAGGCCAGGAATGTACTGAGACATTTGGGTGGGGTCTTTGAATGGTGTACCATTTGATGAGGCTTCCATCATCGAACATAGTTAATATCAATTAGACATCAATGATGGCAAGGTGCTTAATATCGTAGGGCAATGATTGCGTGAAGGGTTACTGTGTCAAGTCCTGTTCCTGTGTCACCACGTAGGAACCGGGCAAACAGCAAGGACTGCAAAAGCAAGTTGCGGACCTGCTCACGAGTCCTTTGAATGTATATCGATGCCACTACCCATAGGTTTTGATCAGACGGTTATCAGAATCCAATCTAATGATGATTCTTTGAAGTCCACAAATATGGCATTCACATCAGATGCAACTCGAACGTAACCGCGGTGGCAACACTTCTTCACACTGATACTGATGTATACGGCCCCTCGATCTCATTTCGCGGTGGAAATACTAGTAGTGTCACATGAGTCCTCTCGGCTCTCCAGCGTTGCGAGTATGCCAGTGATCAGCTCGCAGTCTAATTAGGATACGACATGCGGATTCTCTTATCCGCTCCTGAGACACGGAAGCTGAGACCATAGCACGTCGTCTTTTGAGGAGCTTCAGATGATGGTTTCGTTTCTCATCCACGTACATACAAAACGTACCTAAAGCCTTCATATAGTGGTAAACGGTCAAAACCCAGCGTATGAAAAGGGAATCGAACATTGAAGCACGGCCGGTCGTGGGGCCCTCGACGGGTAGCACATGAAGCTACCTAAGTATTTTAAATCGAGCCTTCCTTAACATGTTGATTTGTGTATCACTGGGGATCAAATCCACCGAGGCTTTATGCGATAGGTCTATGCACAAATGATTAAGGTGCTGTATTCTAGAAATGTTTGCGTGCCTCTATGCCTCTATATTCTATGTCTACACAAAAGCCTCCTTATTGAAAATGCCTTGTCACTCATGGGCTGCTATCCTCCGACTCGGACCCTCCACTGCCGTTCTCCTTGTGGATGACCCGCCCCTTAACGTCCGTGCGAAACCGCTCCTCCTCCCGCGCCAGCTCCTCCTTGAGCGTCTCGTTCGCCTTCCAGATCGGCTTGATCTCGAACAGGCGCTCCATCTTCTCGAGCGGGATGCCGGTGGTCTCGGGGATGAGGAAGAAGGCGTAGAAGAAGGCGAAGAAGGACAGCGTCGCGAAGAAGAAGTAGACGCCGTAGCCCATGGCGGCGAACATCTGCTCGGTGAAGCGCGACACGAGGAAGTTGAACAGCCAGTTGCTGGCGGTGGTGGAGGCCTGGGCGATGGAGCGGAAGTTGGGGTCGAAGAATTCCTGGGGGGGCGTGCCGTGTTAGCGTGACTGGCTGGACGGGGCGCTGGTCATGTGTCATGAGCAGGGAGGGGTTGGTGGTGTTGCACTTACCGAGTTGATGACCCATGGGGTGCCGTTCCAGGTCGGGGTGTAGACGGCGGTCCAGAGGTAGAAGAAGACGACGGCGGCGATGCCGCCGCCGGTGAGGTGGTCGCTGGGGTTCTCGGTGGGCTTCGCGACGCAGATGTAGGCGCCTATGACCCACATGCAGATGGAGCCGCAGATGGCGCCGAGGAGCAGGAGCTTCCTCCGCCCGAGCTGGTCGATCAGGAAGAGCAGCCAGAAAAATGTCATGATGGCCTTGATGACACCGAAAATTCCGGTCATCAGGTTCACCGTGGTGGACTCGATGCCAAGGCTCTGCAGGAGGCGTTAGTCTGCAGTCCAACAAACATAAGGGGCTCGGGGGGGGGCCGCTGGGATCCATGGGGTGGGTGGAGGGAGAGAATTGGTGCAGATAAAGATGGCTTCGTGAGACTGACCCTGAAAATAGTGGGTGAGTAGTAGTTGATGGCATTGATACCGCTGCCATTCTGCCAGAAGAACAGCATGCATCCCAAAAACAGCCGCCACTGCATGCTACGATCCTTGCTGATGGCCTTGAACGGCTGCCACAGGCCGACGCCGACGACGGTTCTCTGCGACTCGACGGCGGCGTCGATGCCGGCGACCTCCTCTATGATGTACATCTCGCCGGCGTCGAGCTGGCGGATCCAGCAGAGGTTCTCCATGGCCTGCTTGGGGCGGTTGTGGAAGAACAGCCACCGAGGCGACTCGCGGATCCACAGGGAGCCGATGAAGAGGAGGCCCGAGGGGATCAACTGGACTGCGAATGGGATCATCCATTGCGTGCGGCTCGGCTTCATGTGTTGCTCAATGCCATACTGATATCCGACGATTAATCAGCACAAGAGTCAGCCAGCCTGCAAACCCTGAGGGTCAGGGGCAGGACGAGGAGGGAGGAGGAAGGAGGAGGGTGGTAAACAAAAATCTGAGGGCACATGACTCACGTTTATCCAGAAGCCGATCAAGCCACCGATCTGCCAGCCAAGCTCGTACAGGCCAACGAGCCGGCCTCGGATAGCGGGCGGCGCCAGTTCCGATAGGTAGATCGGGATAATGTTTGAGGCGACGCCAGTGCCCAGCCCTGACAAGACCCGGCCCGCATACAAGATGCCCAGCCCGCGGGACGAGTTCGCGCCGCACTGCAGGCCCGATCCTAGCGCGAACGTGGCGGACGCGATGGCCAGGCAGTACTTGCGCCCGACCCAGTGGCTGAGGACGTAGGTCAGGAGGGCGCCGAAGAAGGCGCCGGCGATGAAGAGCGAGACGATGTTCTCGCTGATGAGGCTCCTCTCCTTGGCCGTCATGACGTCCAGCCCGAACTCGGCCTTGAAGGACGCGAGCGTCACCGTCGTGCCGATGAAGGCGCTCGTGTAGCCGATCATGTTGGAGCCGCACGATGCGATGACGGCGAGGACGTACACCCGCCAGTTGTAGACCGAGGGTGGCGTGGGCCGGTCCTCGACCAGCGTGAGTAGACCCATGGCTGCTGCTGTTTTTCTCTGGTTGGGGGGTTGAAGGTCAGGAGAGGACAGGAACAGCAGAGGGACGGGGTGCTCGAAGAGACTGCGTTTGTCGAGGGAGTCGGCCTTTTTGGACGATGCAAGATATCAGCGGGCGAGCGAGGTCGGGAGCGGCATTTGCGAGCGAAAAAAAAAATCCTGTGGATTTTTGATTTGATTTGCCCCTTACACGACTCTTTCTGCAGCCTGCTAGAAGGGTGAATGAGTGGGCCTGGCCAAACGCGTGGATCTCGTTGTCACTCCAGCGTGCGCCATTCCCCATGGTCTACGTCGCCCTCCCCGTATCCTATCATCTCCTATCCGGGGAAGTATGGGGGTTCTAGAGTGAGGCTGAGGGCATTTCCAGGGTGATAATCTAGTCCCCGAGGTCTCTCCGCGCCTTTTTCTGCGTGCGTGGGGGCCAACGGGGTGGAATCCCCATCCGAAGCCATCCGGGGTAGTGTTTTCCCCCAGTGTGGAGGGAACGTTCAGCCGGGGAAGACGAATGGGCGCCAGCATATATGTAACAATGCAATTCCACTTTTTCGCCTGGTTGGATTCGTGTCCATTGATGTGTCTTTGCGGCCAGTACGTAGAACGGCATCTGGCTCTGGTCGGCGGTGGGTGTCACCCTGCATAAAACCTTGAGGCGATGATGTCACATCCATGGATTGATTCGTGGCTCCCCGGCAAAGCTTGCTTCCATTCGAGAATGCCGTGTCGGAGCAGCACTCTGTTACTTGCCACACACATAAAATTTACAGGTAATATGAGAAAGGCGCAATGATTAAGGGAAACAGCGCTGCACATCATCTTCGGATCTACAGAAACGGCCAGGTCAGGTATGAAACTACCTGACGGGGAGTGTCACTCGGAGTGACTCACACTTGTTGACACTTGAAATCAGCTCGTGAATGCCAATGGCTCAATTGGATGGGAATAATGATCTATATCATGTGAATGGATCGGGTATGATGGATGTCCAGACTCCAGAACATATATCCCTCGGCTTCGCCGGAGATGTCAGCGGAGAGCAAACCGAGCTTGCAGGTTAGTTCAAAAGCCGCGCGTGCGGGATGGCGACACGACTCCCGATGTGCATTTTTTGGTTCACCAACACGGGCGTCCGGGGTGCTCGTAATGCAAGGGAAATGGGTCACAGGCCCACGGGTGAACCCTTAGCCTGGCGCCTCGCGGCGGAGCACGGAAGTTGGCCGAGGTCGGTCCGGAGCCAAGTATAAGAACCATCAACTTGATATCTGGCACCTCGAGGGCGGTGAAATCACTTTCGGAGCTGTGATTGCCTCGATCAACGGGCAGTGTTGGAAGTAAACATCGTGGGAACCAAGTGTTTGCAGCGCTGCCTGTCTTGTCGTTCCATTGGAAGTTATCCTGCCGACTTCAGATATTGCCGCGGTCTCCCTCAGGAGGCTACGCCCAAAAAGAAATTTGCTACATTGCTGCTACCAGGCGTGACTTATCTAGGAGACTGGGGTGTACTGTGTAGATGCCGTGCCCGTGTGGCGAACACTCGAGCGAAGCTCAACACAACACGGTGTGTTGCAGTGCCTACGGCAGAATGTGCTGCAGTGAAGGTATCAACTTCGCTGTATCCTCCATTCTTTCGAGGTGCATGAGGCCGTAGATATGAATGCAAAAACTCGTTGGCTTGGCTAACAATCTTTGCGCGGCGCGTAAACAATCTTGCGACCTTGTTTGGACGTCGCCACTGGATTGAAGTGCTGCTCTTAACGTGAGGACACGAGCTTTGGTTTCCCTCCATCCTTTATGCCCATGGACTCTCAATTTCGATGATGTTGACTTTGATTCTTGAATCAGAACGTCAAAATGCTGGGCAATAACAGCCATGGGGGAGGCATCTCGGCCCATGCCAGACCACAGGAAGGCAACAACTGGCCAAGATTTGCATCATAAGAGCCTCAACATACTGCATAATGAGAAAGATCCCCGTGCCTCCCAGGGAAAGGGCGTAGGTCATGTCCGCTTCCTGTTCAGGCCCATCCACTGCGCCGGGCTGATCTGCAGAGGCTCCAGATGAAGTGTCTCACCAGTGTACATTGAATTTGGTGCCATATCCACCAGTGTTTTTGCTGGGTTTCGCCAGTCACGATAGGAGAGGTCCCTATCAGGGGCCATTCAGGCCACGTGTGACCCAGACGGCCGGGTTCATTCACACTCTCTCCATGACCAACATCTGGGGCCTAGAATTTGGACCCCAACACATCTCATCACCTCAATTTTCCAATAAGCCAAGCAGATCTGGAGAGCTAGTAACAGCTGATTGATTTTACGACAGCCTTATGGCAGCGGGCAGTGCCGAGCAGTGGTCGATACTGATCAGTGACAGCATGCCCCTTGCCTGAACCTTCCAAGGTTGGCTCTGACTCTCAGCAGCCTCACGACACACCGGTAGACACCGACCACCACATTCGACTTTAGCAACAAAGCGCAACACATCTGGCTGGCCAAGATATGCTGAATCCTCGACGGGATCAGCACATCCTCAGAGCGTGGACGATATTTCATGCCACAGCAGTGACCGTCGTCGCTACAAGCCACTGGCAGTGTACCGACGGAAATTGACGACCGTCTCTTTGTTTTTGTAGTTCTCAAGCCTTGCCTCGTTGCCTATTACTTTGTTCTCTGTCATTGCAGAGAAACCAAAACGTTTTGCCAGATACTCCTCGGGAGATTTCACTTATTAGAGTACCCTACTAGTAGGGTAGGATTGATTCCATCTCGGCCAGGCATCCACATAAGTTTGTCCTTGTCTCCGTTCTTCACCACTGGACGCTGCGTCGTCGTTCCGCCTCTCCCCTCTTACTGCGGCTTTTTTCACCAACCATCTACCTGGTAAAATATCCGTCCCGCACTTCTGAAATGACACCGTCGTCAGCCTAGCGGGAGCTCCTGTGGGTGAGGAGAACACAGCACCTGTGCAGCGCCTGGTCAGGATCGACTCAGCCATCCATCTTTGAGGGCTTATGGGGTTATTCGATGCGGACAATCCGGATGACCGCCACAATGAAGACTGACTCTTGAGCTGCCCCAGTGTGCCCTCGGCGGGCGCGTCATTGAGTCGGTTGCCGTCACCGCGCCATGGATGGCATCACGGGAGGGTCAACTGCCTTCTAGCAACATCATCAAGGGCATCCTGACAAGTTTCACGAATCAACCCCTCCATGCGTCGTTTCAAATGTTCAGCTTGCGCTTTGTTTCCATCTCAATCCGTAGGAAAATCATTTCAGTGCCATCGACACCAGAACTGGGCTCGACAAATTAGAAGGGTCGGAATCTCCAACAGACTCCTATGAATCGCTTCTCGGATGTCTTCTAGAGCAGGGTGCTGTACACGCACGGAGGCATCCTGAATACTCTGACCTGCCGTTCCTAGTGCTTGTTACCAGTGAGCCAAGGCTCCGGTATGATTTTACAGTGCACGACAGGGGTGACTTTTTAGAAATCTAGCTTTACTACTTTTTATTTACCATCAAGTTAACCTTAGAAGAGATAAAAGAGTCTTATTTTATTGTTTTTAAAGAAGGGTTCTTACTTATTTTGGTTCAGTTTTAGAACCTTAAGAAATTGAAAGTCCTCTACGTACCTCATTCTAAGAAGTGGTTTAAGGTCAGAAGGGGTTTTTGGAAAGTTGCCCCTGTCGCGCACCATAGATTAGGTAAACAGGATCCCGGCCGAGAACAGTTGCAACGCGCCACCTGGGCTCCCGCTGGACACTCATCTCCCGTGACCGCGCCAAGGCCTCAGGGTGGGCTCTCGTTTCACCACATCACCAACAACCATGAGCTCCTCACGAGCGCAGCCACCGCCCGGCGTCGACCCCACCAAGTTCGCCCAGCGCGCCATTGGCCGTACCCCAGAGGAACATGCGGCACTGGAGAGGGTCCTGGCCGCGCGCCGACGGCGCCGCGGGGACGGAAACGGTGCCAGGGCGAGAAGCCGCTCGCCCGAGCCGGGTCCGAGCCGGGAACGTGCAGACCTGGCACAGCAGCGCCGGGACCTAGAAAGACGGGAGAGGTTGCTGGCACAGCAGCGGGAGGATCTGAGGATTCGGCGCCTTGAGCAGGAGCATGAGCTGAGGCAGCGCAGAGTCAGACAGGAACAGCAGCTTGCCGAGCAGGAGCGCCGGATTGCGGCCCAGGCCCATGCACAGGCACAGGCACAGGCTCAACAGGTTGCTGACGACGGTCTGTCTGAAGACGATGCTGAGAGACAGCATCTTCTATCCTTGTCCGTCGCACAGCGTCGCACCGCGCTGCTGACCCCCTTCGGGTTCACTGGCACCAGGCGCCGGGCCAAGGGGAAGAGCAAGGGCTCGGGCTGGCATAAGCGTGGATATCGGGACTCGGGCGGATACATGTGGATCAACGTCAAAATTGGCGAGGAGAACACCCAAGGGCAGGATGTTTGGGAAGGCGAGACTCTTGCCGGGTTTGTGAGCCACGTGTCAAGTAAGTACAGACGTTGCTGGCTTGTGTCCACACGTTGCTGACTCGACGGCACATTGAAGGTATGCGAGAAGATTCCGACTACGGTTTCCAGGCGCGAAATGGTACTATGGACTGGGACCTGCTCTTCCGGAAGAAATCTCTTCGTAAGCTCCTCGTGAGCCTCGAAGAAGCTGGGCTGGAAGACAGTGATGTCCTCGTTCGTGATTTATTCGACGGTGGAGAAACAGTTTATTATCGACTCTATAATGGTGACGGAGACTATGTGAAGCATGTATGGTAAGCGGGTCCTTGCAGAGGAGTGTCCAAGACCAGTTGCTGGCGGGGAGGTTTGTCTGACTGTGTGGGTGCGTTCTCATCAACTCGACTTCAACTTTATGCCATATCACTGCCTCGTGGATCTTAGTAGGGTTCTGCCTAAGAATTATATCTTGCCAGCCAGTAAACGACGTAACGATCTAGCTGTTTGGCCCTCTCTGAGACCGTGTAGCCACACACCGATGGGCGGACAACGTATCTCTTCTTGCTGTTCGAGATTTATCTGTACGGATTAAGTCCTCTCAATGGCAATATACCTAGGCATAGTAATTCCAATAATGTACATAATCGAACATTACTGTCTGGCTGCAAAGAAGTGGTCGGAAAGTTCTTTGTATTCAGTTGCATGTACAGGCCGTGATGAGGCATGTTGTATGAATCCTGGGATTTGCATAACAACCAGAAGCCTGCAGCCTGGGCAGGAGGATCTGTTTCTGGAAGACATACACAAGGTCGATCGATCTGCAGAAGGTGAGGAGAATTCAGCAGCAGGCAGCGAACGTACCTAGGTAGGATTATCCGCGGGCGTGAGTTCTTCAGGCTACCCTAGCTATGATCATGCAAGCCTCCAGATGCATATCGAAGCCATTGCAGTGATAATGCGTGTGATTGGACGTCGTTCTCTCAGCCCCACAGTTGACGCATCATAATACTCGAATAAGACGTGAAGTCCATAAGCAATTAGTTAAGCCATTTGTGTGCTGTACAACCCCAAACGTATGTAGTGTGACAGCCATTACTCACCGCTGTGGAGATACAAGAAGCCAATACCAGTACGAGAACGGAAATCATAGGTACTCAACGACTGAACCATTGGCAACTCTGGGAAATTCCCTCCAGACTCGGAGCATTTATCGAAGGGTAAAAGAGGTTGAGCGTTCTCCTCATTTTCTCCCAATTTTGTTTCCGGATAGAATAATAGCAAATCGGAAGTGAAGACCAATACCAATACAATATCGATGGCTCATAGAAACAACTTCCAACCTGCAGGGGCTGATGAGGAGCGGGAGCCATCCCGCGTGGTCGTAGAGGCTCAACGAAACCCACCTCCTCGCCTGAACGCAACTCCACAGTTGGACCCAAATCGCTTCAAGTTCGGAAAGAAAGCTCTAGGCGACGAAGCCTTTGGCGAGAGACTCAGAATCCTGAGCGACACCCATCTCTTCCCGAAAAAGTTTCAAAGACCCGGTGTCAATGTTGCGCCAGAATCGTATGATATCGAGCTAGCCATCCTGCAGAGGATGGTTATTCATGATCTTCAGGACCAGCTCGTCAATTTGACGAATGACATACACAACTCACGGAATGTGAGTAGGGGGATGATGGTCGTTGCGGGCAGGTTGCTAAGAGAGTACAGTTAGTGAACAGACTTGCGCACTAGGCGAAGACATTTGAAATACAGAGCAAACTGATATGATCTTTTAGCGGAGGCCATCCGGAACTACGACTTCATGAGAGAGCAAAATAGCCTGGCAAAGTCGATGGATACTATCGACCCGTTCCTAATCACGACTAAGACCAGGCCTGGTTTCATGATGCTGAGAGAGCACAACATGATACCTGTCCCCACGGATCCACCTGCCTGGTTAAGGCGCGTCGAGAAAAACATAGACGAAGATCAGGAATGGGACAGAAACCAGTGCATCCTCCCGGGGGGGTCGCGTTCGCAGAGGCAGGAGTTTATTGAAAGAAAGGGGTTGTTGGAAAGACTGACGATGGGCGTTGCGGGGGGCACTGCGCTGATCATCCCGATGCTCATCATGGTGCTGCATAAAGATCTGTTGACGACATTGCTCGTTACGAGCGTCTCGACTCTCATCTTTGCTGGGCTTCTGGCAATAGGAGGCAAGGGACTCAAGGGGGATACGGTGCTTGCTGCGATTGCAGCATACGCTGCTGTCCTCGTGGTGTTTGTTGGAGCCAGCTCGTGATAGCGTTCTGAGTCATAATGTGACTTGAAAACTGGGAGTAACAGACTGTTCAGTCGCATCATGGACTGTTGGTGTAAAGGAGCACTTGAGGTGGTGCGTATATACATATGTACCAAGAGTTTATTCTCTAATGGAGAGGCGGATCATCCCTTTATCAACATAACACAGTCTAATGCTCATTCCTGCCCAAAACGACTTTTCACGCAGCAGAAGCACAAGGCGTTCCAGTGCCTATTCTTGTCGGTTGATCTCCGGCGCGAATAATCTGCTCCCCATTCAGGTCCCGGACCATGAGCTTGTCCTTGTCCTCGGCATGCACCCTCTTCCACATCTCCACCTCCCCTCCGCCCCTGATGACGCCGACGCGCATCGTACTCAGGAGGTTGTGAGCCGCGTTGGAGTGGAGGTAGACCCCGCCGTTGAAGATCGCCGTGGCGTCCTTGCCGATGGCTGACGAGATGAGCGCCTTGCCGCCGGGGTGCTCCTGAACAAAGTCGGTGACGTCGTGGACCACGCCGGCGATCGTGACGAGCGCCCTCTTCTCGGCGCCGCCCTCCCCCTTCGACTGGGCAACGAAGTCGTCCCACTCGATTATGGGCAGCTGGTCGAGGGGCACGCCCCAGTCCAGCTTGGCGCGCTTCTGGTCGAGCTTCTTCTGCAGCTGCTGGACCCTCCCCTTCTCGATCTCGTTGGCCCGGAACTGCTTGAGGTCGTAGGCCAGGCCGACCTTCTTCCACAGCCAGATCATCCACTTTGTGGGGTCGTACTGGTACCACTCGATGGCGTTCCTGTAGTCCGAGGGGAACTCGTGGTGGAAGTTGTGGTAGCCCTCGCCCAGCGTCACCAGCGCCGTGATCCAGTTGTCGCGGGGGGAGTTGCGGTCGTCGAAGGGCTGGTCGCCGAGCCAGTGGGCGAGGGAGTTGATGCAGAATGTCGCCTGTTGTACGAACGTGGCACGGAGGACACCAGCGTAGATGAAACCGCCGACTGGGTGAGGATGTTAGTAATTCTGAGATTATGCTGCTCTCCGGGGAGAAACTCACACCAATCGCCCCAACCGAAGCCGCAGACAAGAGTGGGGAAGATCAAGGCCATGAAGATGACGCATTTCTAAACATCGTGGTCAGTAACAGGCGCGACATAACATTGGCCTGCCTCGGCCAGTCTCATCTGCATGCAGGAACAAAACGAACCAGGTAGTTGACATGCTGCCAAACAACAATGGGATCCTCGTTCAGGTCGGTGATATCCGAGCGTCCGATACGCTTCGGGTTCTGCTTCATGACGATCCAGCCGATGTGCGCGTACAGGAAGCCTTTCCGGACAGAGTACGGATCCTTGACGGTATCTGTATACCGGTGATGCGCGCGGTGGCCCTTGGACCACCACCTGATCGAGCCTTCAGCTGCTCCGACGCCGACTGCAGCCAGGTAAAGCTTCAGGGGTAATGTGGCCTTGTACGAGGTGTGGGCCCAGAGTCGGTGATATCCTGCGATGGCCCTCAAATCAGTCCATGCCCGCGTCAAGACAAAACGACAACCAAATTAGGGTTTGCATACCAGCCGTGATACCCAGCCCGGTGTTGAAGTAGTAGATAATGCTGAACAGCAGTGTCCAGCGGTTCAGTGGGTGAAAATAAGCTGCCGCGAAGCCAATTATCGGCACGCCGAAAATGAAGAAGGTGTTCAGCCAGTTGACATGGCGATACCAATTTGACCAGGTGATAGGGGTCTCTGTGATATGAGGTTTCTTGAGGTCATACTGTCTCGACCTCAATGGTTGGTAGTCCTTTGTCCCGTCGTTCACCATTTCACCTTGCACCGTGCCTTTTGTGTTAGACTCGTGCATCTGGGATGCCGCAGTCCGGCGGGCTGTCGACGAATCCATCATTGAGACCGCCTTGGGAACTTCCAGTGCAATGCGGAATGGCACTCGGAAGAATCGATTTAAATACAGGGGAAATTTTGAATTCAAAGGCTGGCCGTCCTGAGCCTCCTCTTGCACGAACTAGATGACAAGCGTGGGTGTTATCTATTATCTCCATCGATGCGGCTGACAGTCTGCCGAGGTCAACAATACCAAGTCTATCTCCTGACAGCCATAGGTTGGGACTGGAATCACGTGGTACTTCGGTTCTGTTAGTACGGAGTGTAGTGTACGCTGTTGGGGCGTCATAAATTGTTTTTGTTGGGATATCTAGGTGAACCCGATATTTGCGGGTGGGTCGTACGATTTAGCGTCCAAATCTGCTAAAAATCAGCTGTTTCAGCAGATCCAGGCTGCAGCGGCCACCTGCAAACTGCCACTGTAATCGAACGATTCCTCCCACTCCATCTTCACCTCTAAATTGATCAAACCATTCCCCGGGCAAGCGGATGGTGGAAAGATCGCCTTGAACATCCCTTAAGGTGGACCAATATCCACTACAGCCAGCCAGATTCAACCGGAACTAAGCAATGCACTACTATTGTGAAGTACGCTGCACAAACATTCAGTCCTTTGCCACGGTCCACGAATCTGCATTGGCCATATCATTGATTGCTTTCAAAAAGACAGTGCGAAGACTCATCTTGATGACTTTCATTCATAAACTCTCCGGGTCCCAACAGAGTAGACCTGCACCTGATATCGCATTTCGCGCATCAGCTGGGAGTTGATGACTTCCTCCGACATGACAAAAGGGCTGTTGGCGATTCGCTTTCTTGAACTCAGTTTTGACTGTGATCCACTCACCGTCATGGACAAGGTTCATGAGTAGGCCAGCGAGCGACGGTATTGGCCGGGTGAGGCCTCGTAGTACTATTAGTATCAAAGGCAAACCCAAACAACCAGCTACTGGAGGCTTCAAGGAGATGTTGGTTAATAAAGGAATAAGTTGGGCTTCAAACTGACCACAATACTGGCGGTTGTTGACGTCCGTGGCTACACGGCGGATGTACAAGCATCAACTTGAACTTCGTTCCCTATTTTGGAACTCTCCCCTCTTTGCAGTCGAGAGCAAGCATTCCTGGGTACGTTGACCTTGGTACTTCTCCCGCCCCCTGCAATCTCTATATCACAACATGGCCCTTCTCAAAGGATAATGTCTCGCGCAACACACGCCCAGTTTGGGCTTGGTACAAGCAATGCACACACTGCGCCATGAACCAAGGCAAGGTTATACCGTTGAACGGATTGAATTAAAATTTACACTGAAAAGTGGTAAGTTCTACTTATGCATTTCCCCCAAAGCCGAGAGCCTGGAACTCCCATCTAGGCCAAGCCAGTCGACTTGCGAGCAGCATCGATGATGATGTTGTTGTAGTCTCCACCAGCCTCCCACATAACAAAGCCCTTGAAGCCCATGTCCACAATGTACTGGCCCTTAGCCGCAATAGACTGGGCATCATCGTAAGACACATAGATCTGGCTGGTGGCGTTGTAGAGGAACGGCGTCTGGCTGCAGGTATCGTAGGTGTACTCGATGCCAGGCATGGGCTTGGCATTCTCGTCCAGGACGCCAGCCTCGGTGATCAGGCTCCAGAGCGGGTAGGTCCCGGACGGGGGCTGGGCGTTGCCGCAGTCGTCGATGGGCGGGTCGTCGTCCCAGCTGCTGCCCTGGAAGCGGTCGCTCGAGTTCTGGGGCGGGTACAGGTTCAGGGTGCCGTCGGCGGCGATGGCGGAGGTCTGGTTGACGCGGAAGCCGTGGCCGTAGGCGGGGAGGCCCAGGGTCAGCTTGTTTGCGGGGACGCCGGCGTCGATCCACGCCTGCACGCCCATCTTGCCCGAGCCCATGACGTTGCGGGTGTCGCAGGCCGAGTCGAGCGGGGCGTTGGGGCCTGCTGTCGAGGCCCAGGCGCCGTAGAGGTCGTAGTTCATGACCATCAGGTAGTCGAGCGCGTCGGCGAAGCCGCTCAGGTCCTTTGAGCGGTTGCCGGCGGCGTCGTTCCAGGGGAACAGAGAGGTGGCGGCCGTCAGGACCAGGTCGGGCGCCTGCTGGCGCAGCTCCTGAAGGAATGTGAGGAAGTTGGCCGTGTCATTCTCGTTGATGGCATTGCAACCGAGACCCTGCTTGAAGGGGTACTCCCAATCGAAGTCGAGGCCGTCAAGATGGTACTGGCTGACGAGGTCCAAGGCGTTCTTGATGAAGACTGTCCTGTTCTCCGCAGAGCCGACGTTGGATGAAAAGAACCTGCTCCCTGTCCAGCCACCAATGGAAACAAGGGCCTTCACATTCTGTTCGGAACTATGTCAGTGGGTGCCAAGTGAGATGCAGCCTGGTGGGACCTCGGGATTTACAAACATTCTTCTTGGCGTCTGCAACGAAAGTAGGAAGTTGCTCCGGGGCAGCCTTAGTCAGGTTCAAGCTGTGGTCCTCGCTGGTCTCACTGTGCAACTGTCAGTGGATGCCACAGAATACTGTGTGAACACACTCGTTCAAACTTACGCAAAGGCATATTTGATCTCAGTGTACTTGTCCCACTGGATCGATGACACTGGGTAGCCTCGGTTGGCGTGGTAGCCGGCGAAGTAAGTCGAGGCAACCAGACCACTCGAGTTGGTGGCCCGCTTGGAGCAGCCCTTTGGTGCAGCACTGACGAAGGGGACTGACGCTCCCAGAATGAGCGCAGTCAGAGATGTTGACAAAACCATGTTGAAAGAAAACAAAAGTGGAGTGTAAAAGAGCGAAAGAAGCTAGTAGTCTTACTGAATAGGCTGTCAATCCCGCAGAAGGATGGGGGGGAAAGATAGGATATAATAAACGATTTTCGGGCTTGAGCCAAAGTCCGTAGCATAGCCGTGATGCGGTCCCAAATAAAGCATTGCATCCATAATTAATCTCGGGAGGTGCCAAGACTAGGGGGTTTACGAACCTTATTCCCATGGTTGATGAATCACGCACGCACCAATCGCGGCAAGATCGGACGCCCAAGATCAGGCACAGGCGCCCGAGTGGCCAGTGGGGCTCTGCTTGTTGCAGGGAAGTAAATAAAGTAAAGAGAAAATAACTCTGGGCTATTTTACTTCTGGGCGCAGCTTGCTCAATGCGACAACCACATCATGGCCATTTCCGGCCGTCATCTGCCACCAGACGAACCTAAACTCTGCCCGATCCGATCACGCGAACCAACCACTTCGACGGCCCGGTGGCCAACTATACTTCCACAAGGGGAAACGTTGTTTCGCCCAGGTTCGAGGAGGATCAAATCCCGGGATACGATTCGTAGGTCATACGAGCTGGACCAGAACCTTCTTGCCGGTTAAAAAGGGTTCTCAAATCTTATCCATCTCGCACGTCCTGCGGACAGGCGGACTGCGGACGCCTTGGCAGTCCCGGTGCAGCATTGACGGTGTTTTCGGCGTGCCCTGAATTGCCCTGGTGGATCGCCACATGGGCCTCCTTGGCCTCGCGCTCCGCCCTGTGGGCCCCCTTTTCCTTCCCGCGTGCCAGGCTGGGTTGATCCATGCCCTCGGCATGTTTGGCACAGAAACACGCCGTTTGTTGGTTCCCTCCTGAGCTGCCTGGCTGCATCAATGGCAAAACCCCGGGCCGGCCACAAGGTGGCGGGAAGACTATAGCGGTAGAGGCTAATAAGTGCCGCTCGTGCCGAATGATTGGACGAGCGGCCGAATCACAAGAACCTTCCAAGCTCTTCACCCCTTCACCCCTAGAGGAGGTAGACCAATCAGTTTCATATCCAGCACAAACTATTCGGCAGCGATGCGCTAGTTATTGGGAGATCGACGCTGCGAAGTGGCATTTACAGAGAGCGTGAGTCTCCTGCCAAAACACTGCCGTCAGGTGCATCGTCACTGGTTTCTTCAAATTGTGCCTTGTGTACGATTTTGTCTTGCCGGATCGGACCGCTGTGTGGCATCCCACGATTTGGACATCTCGGCTTTCTGGTTTCATCTAATTAGCATGTTTCAAGCCGTCGATACGGCCTAGGCCCTGAGAGTGAACACATGGATGAGCAAAACCAGTCTCTTCAAGCACGGCGGTAATTAGAAAGCCTCTCATAAGAAATTCCGGACATACGAACTCGGATCTCCAAGTCTTCAGGTCTCAATTAAGCACCGGGTCTACAGAGTCTTTGGCCTGATTGCTTTGCATTTGCTTAGTCAACATAGAGTGCCTTGGTAGGCGTTGCAATATGCCTGTGTGGTTCATTCAACAAGAGCAGACGATCTATCGTCTACAAACCTGCTTGCGTTCGCAAAATCCAATGACTGCACTTCTAGAAAAGAGAAAGAGTAATTCTGACTTCAATAAAAAAGGAAAGATGATAAACGTGAGGCACATGGGCATGTATATCAAGTGCCAAACGGCGGAGCAGTTATGGTCCCGGAGTTACAAATGTACGAACTGCACTCAAGCATATTTACTCGTTCGATATGTGAAAACAGACATTGATCTCAACAGATACAGGAGATGCAAACAAACATGTCAAATCACAGCTTCAACTGCGTGCATCGAAAGGAGACGAATTCTACGAATTCTTCGCATCGAGTAACAATTGCCTGCACAGCTTCAGGGCTGCCCGAAATCGACCCCGTGATTACAAGAATAAGTCTATCCATATGATGGGAAGCCCATTTATCTAAAATACTCATACCTACGTTCGTTCGACCAAGAACATCAATCATAGTCTTAGCACTTGTAGCTCGGTACTGCACTTCAAGTTTTGTCCATCAGCAGAAGCGGCCACAGCAAAATATTCTGCCATCCAGATAGCTCGACTACTCTCTTCAGATGTTCAGATTACAGATATGTCATTCTTGAGATGAGACCTAATTTTGCGCTGAAAAAAAGTAGCTGTTCGTCAGGGAGCTTGGCTACGCGTGGCTGTTGTAGTGCCAGTGATCCATGGATGTCTTGCGACTGGACTCGCACATCATCAGTGCCCCGATGCGTGGGAACCGACCTCGCTCTTTCTACCCTAGGGTAGCTGGTCACAAAAGCACATTATCACGGAAAACAGGTATGATGTTGACTAGAGAGTGGGTCCAAAAGCGGTATAAATATTAAAGTACCTAGGTATCAACCAACCAGACTCGTTAGGTAGATCCCCGGCATGTTCGAATCCAGCCTTGTCACCTGGCATGGTACATGCCAGGCAACCATAGTGGAGACTGGAGCATTAAAAAGTGGAAACGCTAATAAATATGACGCCTGCATGACAAGAAAATAATGCGAGGAATTTTTGAGATCGTATTACAGTTTGCGCAATCTCAGATAACAATACAGATCTAGCTGCAAGGCTGATGACGGCATATCTCAAAAAGCAAACACATCCCTGTGGCACGCGAAAACAATGGGAATGATCAATTAACGAAACAAACCTTTGTGAATAGGATGGTTTGCACAGCGCATCGACATAAAATCGTTATCACTAAACTATCCGAAACATATCAACGTGGACGTTCTTGGGTCTTTGGCCCGATATGCCGCCTGCACCTTTGACGTACCTCGGCTGTTCAACCCGTTACCGATGTCCAACATGCCTAATCGGGACCCTGCAAGCTACACAGAGGGCGGCGATTCTCCTTGTTGTGGTTGGTGTCGCTTTCCCATGCTGAACATGCACCACTGGCTAAATGAATATCCGCCTTGGCGCATTACAGTCGCATTGCTATTTCACGATTGCCACGCGTTCGTTTACTTGTGTGTGTTTTCACAAGAGGATGAGTATTTTACCCCTTTACCTTCCCAATTAGTGCTTCTCCTAGCAATCTGATTACGCGTAACCTCGAGACCCACTTCCCCAGGTTTCATTGAAATTGGCCCGTTCGTCTTCACGTGCACAATATCTTGAATATTGTTGATATAGTATTGAAACGTCAGAATGTCTATATAAACAGAGGTGTGTAGCTTAGCCAATGTTGATGAAAGTGTGAGCATCGTGTCACTTCCTCTCTTTTAGCCAAAGCACAGTACAAGATCAGCCACCATGATTGCCGCCTCAATTGCCAGCGTTGTCTTTGGACTCAGCTTTTTAGCTGGTGTCCAAGGAGATCTCGTCCAGGTCACGAACTTCGGTAGCAACCCATCCGGAATCGAGATGTACATTGACTTGCCTGACAATGTCACTGCAAACGCCCCAGTCATCCTTGCGGTAAGCAGTCCTTTTGCTTCGTTCTTGGACGTCTTTGTTCTGACTTGATATCTTTCCAGCTCCATGGATGTGGTGGCTCGGCCCAGAGGTACTATGGACAGAACAATCTTGCCGCAGTGGGCAAGGGCAGGGGCGCCATCATGATTTATCCGTCCGCCGGCGACAGCACGCACTGCTGGGACTCCGGCACACCGGAGAGCTTGACCCGCGACGGCGGAGGTGACACTCAGAGCCTTGTACAGACGGTACGTATATTTTTTACGCAAATCCCAAAACTACGCCTCCATCGCCATACTAATGCGTTCCCCTCCACAGGTCCAGTACGTTCTGAGCGAGTACAAGGCAAGCCCAGCCAAGGTCTTTTGCGTGGGCAGGTCATCGGGTGCCATGATGTGCAACGCTCTCGCCGCCGTCTACCCGGACGTCTTCGCCGCGACATCGGTCTACTCGGGCGTCGCTGCTGGCTGCATGGCAGTGCCCGAGGGCACCCCTGCCAACCCCATGGAGACGTGCGCCAAAGGAAACGTCACCAAGACCCCCTCGGAGTGGGCCGCCACCGTCCGCTCGTACAACCCCAGCTACAGGGGGCCCTACCCGCGCATGCAGCTCTGGCACGGAACTTCCGACGTCGTGGTTGTGTATCACAACTTTGTGGAAGAGCTCAAGGAGTGGTCTGCCGTTTTCAACGTGCCTTTTACTCGGAATATCACCAGCTCCCCTGAGGCCAACTACACGCAGATGATCTATGGAGATGGGTCTAAGATGGTCGGATACAGCGCACTGGGCGTCGGCCATGTCGTCCCCGAGCACGAGACTTCTGCAATGGCGTGGTTTGGTATCTAATTGCAGGGCCATAGCACGGTGGTTTCACATGGAGGTCGATGTGTAAAAGTCTCACTTATTTGTACATTTTCAGAGAGCTGATTAACAGTCGGAATCGGGACTTTCATTGTTCAAGCCCAGTTAGTGTCTCCGGTTTGAAAATATTCACTCGGACACATCCCTATCAGATGATTGGAACAATTGATAGTGATGCCCAAGTTCCGCATTCATGCCGCCTCACATGCAACCTTGGAAGGCTGCCCAGGTGTCCATGTGCAAGCTGTAGTATTGACATTACTGTTCTCGGCATTGTATGTTTTTCAGGGTTGATACTTTGAGCATCTAACACAGTATGGAGACGACACGACGCGGTTGGCCTCAGACAAAGGAGGAATAGAAACGAAACCTGTTACGAGGGATAGACATGAAATCACCTCGCGCGCAATGCCATGTTTCCACAGTAAAGAATGTTCGGGGTCACTCCAGGAGTTTTCATAAAAATTGTGAGCCGCTCCTACGGCATATAAGCCCATTTATGATTATGTTACAATTGGTTCCGCTTCTATACCTCAAATGGCCGAGGGCATAGATGGCGCGTTCATAGGTTAGTAAAAGGTTAAGAATCAGTGTTTTAAAAAAAAATATGATGTTAATAACAGTGGTTACAATATGATAGGTGCATGTAGCTTTAGGCTTGCGACGCATAGATCAATAAGACTAAGGGGTACCATCTTGACGGAATCATTACATAAATATAGATAACTAGACAGTCGCAGCAGCCTTTGCTCTGAAAAATGTCCACGGGTAACAGAATTGACTCACTACGACGAAGCTCAACACGTGGTCTGCAGTCTGTTCGAAGCTGGCCAGACAGGCTCTATTATTGTATGCACAGCTCAGGATGACCTGGCGAGATATCGACTATGAACTACTTGCACGACGAAGCACCAACTCGATGTGAGACCATTCAGTGCAAGACATGAGATACTCAGCAATACACTTCATTAAACCAAATAGGCATGTCGTAAAACACGTAAAGCGGATTAAATTATATCCGATCTATTATTACCGCAGGATCACCACACGTCCCACAACTTGGATTATGCCATGTTAGAAGCCCTGGCGCCTATCTGATTCTGATTCATTTCTCAGAGCTTTGACGTAAGCTTAGGGTATGATAATAGGAACTCAAACACGTAATCCCATAAAAGTGTAGTTGATCTAGGGGGCGGTCTCTTGGGAAGCTGCGGAAGAATACCCTAGAGGATGTGGAAGTTCTACTCTACGAGTTTATTCTATGGGAATTTGGAGTCTTCCGTATAGGGGATGGGAGGGTGTGCTACGGGGGCAATCCTATAGGAGGATGTCTCATGGGGGACTGTCTTACGGGAGATGTCCTATAAGAGGCTGTCCTAGGGCAGGATGTCCCATAGGGGGTTATCCTATAGGAGGTTATCCTATAGGAGGTTGTCCCATAGGAGGTTATCTTATAGGAGGTTAGCCTGTAGAGGAGGTTGCCCCGTAGGAGGTTTCCCTAAAGGAGGTTGTCTTGTAGAAGGCTATCCCACAGGAGGCTACCCCACAGGAGGTTATCTTATAAGAGGTTATCTTATAGGAGGTTGTCTTATAGGAGGTTATCTTGTAGGAGGTTATCTTATAGGAGGTTATCTTATAGGAGGTTGTCTTGTAGGAGGTTGTCTCATAGGAGGCTGTCTTGTAGGAGGTTGTCTCATAGGAGGCTATCCTTTAGGTAGACACCCCTAGGAGGTCGTGTCATAGGAGATTATCCCATAGGAGGCTGTCTCATAGGAATCTGTTTCACAGGAGGTCATCTCACAGAAGGTTATCTCATTGTGAGCTCATCGTGTGCAATGTCCGCGGAAGTCATCGCACCCTGCAACGCACAACCCCACCAACGCACACGCATTTCCTACTAAAAAGGTCGATTTTACCCTAGTCTATTTAATTCTATAAAAGTACTATAATAATAAAGATTAAATTAATATTTAAAAGTATTTTTATATTATATTTATATAGAAATAAATTATTAGATATTAACTTTATTTTTTTTATTAATTTATTATTTTATTTATTAAATTTATAATTATAATAAGAAAGTTTATTATTAAATAAATTTAATAAATTGTAATATTAAGTTTAATTATTAAGAAAATTAATATTATATTTACTTATATTTTAAACGTTTTATTTAAACGATAATCTTTTATTATTATTTATATAACTTTAATAAAATTTATAATATATAAAATTCTTATTTATTAATTTTATTTTATTTAATTATATTTTAAAAGTAAGAAATATAATATTAAAATTTATTTTATAACTTTTTTACTTTTAATATTATAAATAAATTAAAGATGTTATAAAATAATAAAATTAAATAATACTTAATTTTATTATATATTATTTAAAATAAGTTTACTTTATTATTATAATATTTATATAAAATTAAATAAATTAAAGTAAAATCGAACTTTTAATAATATATATATATATATTAATAAAGTTATATATTATAAAGTATATTAACTTATATAATTCTATTTTATTATATATATATATTAATAAAGTTATATATTATAAAGTATATTAACTTATATAATTCTACTTTTATTATATATATATTTAAGAATATTTATAATACTTTTATATAATAATAAATATTTAAAACTTAATATTTAATAAGAATATAATATTAATAATAATAATAATAATATAATAAATACTTATAGTTTTAATTTTACAATATATAAATAAAGTTAAAAGTATTATTTTAATATAATATTAATTAGAATATTATAAAAGCTATATAGTAAAATAAAATCTTTAAAATAATTATTATATAAATATTATTATAATATTAAAAACAACTTAATTAAAAATTATTCTTTTAAATATATATATATATATTAATAAAACTTTTATTAAATAAGTTTATAAAGTTAATATTATAACTTTTATTTAAATATATAATTAACTTTTAAAAGTTTAAAATAAAGAAATAATTTATAATATATTATTTTTAAAACTTTTATTATTAATAATTATTAACTCTTTAATAATATAAAAAGTATAATAAAAATAAAGGAAAAAAGAGATTTAAAATTTCTTTATAAAAGGATTATAAGGATATATATAAAGTTATTAAAGACTTTATATATATTTAGATTAAAGAACAAACGAGTAGTTATATAGTATAAAGGAAAAATATAGTGTGGCCGAAGCCTATGTTGACTTATAGGAAGTCATCTCATTAGAAGTTAGAGGTTTTTTTTTTTCTAAGAAAAAAAGGTATACAGGTTGGGAGATATGTTGACATCAATTCAATCATTCTATTGCCCCTGCCATCGCATTACTTGTGGCCCAGAAAACGAGCCGTGCGGGAAGGGTGGTCCGGCCGTGGTGCAAACAATTCCAAGGTTCCCAGACCACCATGTTCCTTGCAGGCAATACTATGCCGAACCCGGCTCAGACTAGTTTTTGCTGGCCGCCAATGGCATTGCGATTCGAAATGAGTATAAAAACTTTTCAATTAGTCCGTCGTCGTTGCACTCAAAGCTATCTTGAACAAATATCTGCTGTGAGGATCCCTTCGAGGGGCTGGGTGAGACACTCACAGCTCCAAACGCGCGCCGGTAACGTTAGTGCCCCAATCAAGCAATGGTGCACATGTGCCTGGACCGGCAATCGGTCGGGGCACGGAGCCGTCCATCTACGGGCAAGTGTCGCTCATTTCCGATCAGCCACGCCACCTACCGCCCAGCCTATTCAACAACCCGAGTTGTCCAGAAGCTCAAAGAAGTCTCAATAAATGATTTCCAGGTCTTTTGAATCCCGCACGGACCATTTCAACAGGGGTGCGCCTTGGCTGTGTTGCCAAGGTTCGGATGTGCCGGCTGCGCCACCTTTACATACTCCACCACAACACCTTTTTCCCACAACCGGCCTGGTGGTCTAGCGGTATGATTCGCGCTTCGGGTGTTCAATCCGATACGTTATAACGTATTTACTGTGCGAGGTCCCGGGTTCAATCCCCGGCCAGGCCCTGAGTCCTTGAGGATTATCTTTTTCCTCATCTCATTTTGATATTTTTAATTTTGGCTCCTATGACTGGGCCTGCCCGGTTTGCAGCATGTTTCACACAGTGTTCAACCGTCCTACTTCACTCTCACACTGTGGGCTTGCTCTATACCTAGGTATGCTTCTGGTGAGAGATGGGCTGGCCATCTCTTCCGTATGAGCTGTCTTGGTACCTACACAGTATATGTCCCTTGATATCCCACCAACACTCGCGTTCCCACGTGTCAGTATTATTCAAGGCGGGTCACCTTGATGTAAACCAGATATTCTCTGATGGTCTCCTTGTAGTGTCGGCAAAGAATGACTGGTGTGACTCCCGAACGCTCTATAATCTCATCATACATGACCTGCACACCTTACCCCCACAGATGCCCATAGACCAACTATGTTTGTAATCTGTTGTTCTTCAATGGGCTAGGTATGTTACAAATATCATTTCCCCAATATTGTGAGCAAGCGAGGAGGTGGGCTCTGTTCTGAACGGACCCTTCTCACACCTCGTGTGGGAAACGATGCGCGTTATTACAACTTGAATGGCACAGTCATATTGCAAGTCATTTATTATGTCCAGATTACCTAACCCATGCCTAATTCATCTCTAGGAAATCGAATTTCATCATAGAAGCACTTGAGATTGTTCTATGTCAGATCGACGCTGCCCAATTCTCCGGTGAACCACGTTATAGCATATATAAAGACGCAGTGTAGTCCCAGAGCAACCTACTACATAAGCTTGTCTCTCAAACATCTGGAACGACTCACGGCTTTTGAAAGGCAAACGAAAGCTTCGGGGCCGCCCTCACCCACCATGGCAATTCCAGCACTGTGACAGAAGCCAGATGGTCTCCGTTGCCGCTATTATCGGCATTCAAATAATCATCAAAAAGTCTTCTGAATCTTTCGAAGAGAGTCTTGTAGCTCCGAAAGGCCGAAAGACATCTGTCCGGGCCCTCTTTGGCGCCGATTTCACACAGAGCGGGATCTTCGGCATCCACAACCCGAAGTTTGCTCCAGGAAACATGGCCCCGCGGGGCGCCGACCATGACAATCAGGTTCGGAAAGCCCCCGAACTCGCAGAAAAGTTCCTTGATGCAGTTCTTCTGTCTCCGGAAGGTCTCGATGTCGACGTCCCCGCACCACTCGTAGCTCGGGCTTGCCCAGAGAAGGGCCTCTTCAAATGCAACGAGGTTGATCATGGCATACTTGACGTTGTATAAAGGATGAAATGCCATGATGTCGCGGGGCGTTTCAATGCCGTCGCTATTGAAAAATGTGACATAAGGCTCATACGGAGCACGCCGGAAGGACGAACCATAAATCGTTTTCGCGTATCGGAGCAAGTCGTCGGGTAGCCAAAAGATATCCCGTCCCAGATATAATGGCACCCTGGGAGGCCGGGGCGCATCAAGAAACCGGGCTGCAACATGCCTACTAGACCAGCACAAGGCCAACAAGCTCTGGGCCACATCTGAGCGCGGGTCCGCGCGTAGCGGCTCGAAGTTGTCCAACTGTAGGCACCATGGCCAATCTATCGCAACAAGATCAGCATAATCTCCTAGATCAGCAGCAGTAGATCGTCTGGCGCCCAGGAGTACAACGCGTGGTTTATCTCTGTCTGCGGCGCGGAGGAATTCTTCCCACACCATGAGCTGAAGCTCGCTCGGTAGTGACTGAAAGTAGGAGAAAACGCCAGGAGTTGTGGCTGCTTGGTGACTCTGCGAAGGGCAGGATAGCGACATGTTGCTAGAGGTCAGTGTATAATGTCCGATATCACTCGTGGTTCTTCAGTACTAGCTACTCGCGCTTACCTGTTGGGAGACCTTTTCGCTGATAGCACCAGTGCGTGTTGCGGCAGATTGTGGGTATGCGAGACCTGTGCAAACCAGGGTGGGTATATAGGTTGCATTCCCTTTCTTCACTCGGACAATGCTATTCCACTGGTCAATGCCTGACAATGACACCCCGTCTGCTCCCTCATCAATTGGACAGTCGATTACATTGTGTACCTGGTGCACAATGACATGCTACAACCCGCTTACCGCAGTGCATTTCTTTCTCTTAACTTCCGAGGGTTTATTTTCCCCGGGAAACAAAGTCGCATTTTACTAGTTTCAATTCTATTCCATACATAGCACCTTTGCACAGTAGTAAAAAGCGGCATCTAAGTCAATGTTGAGTCTTGATTATTTACTACTGTGTCACATATGTTTTACATGTATGAGGACTAGAAACGAAACCACCTAAGGACTAGAGTACCTAGGTAAGAAGGGTAAAATGGCCTTAGGAGAACTATAATCTAGAAGGACTGAGAGCTAGGTTAGGGATTAAACCTCTTATCTTATTACAAAGGGAAGTATAACTTTTAAGATCTTAATATAGAAACTTATTTAATTTTAAATATTATTAATTTAATTAAATATAAAATAGTTAAAAATAGCTAGCTATTAATAATAAGATATCTCAAGACGGTTATGATGGATTTTATGCTATAAAATATCTATGTGGTGAAACTTTCTGTTGTCATCTCTTTGCATTGGTCAGGTCGCAAGAGAGCCTTCTCGTGACCCGTGTCCTACATATCGGTCCTTCTTGTGCATACAACCCACCTTTGATGGCGTCTGCCCACATTTACTCCCGTTTCTGCCAGTCGGCTATCGATTTCCTTGAAACGTCTCTCTACGTACTCATAACCATAGTGAATGCTGCAGATTTTTACTCCCAGCCTCGCATAGAATGGATGCCCGAGGCGTGCGATGATATTGTTTTATTTTCTCTCGGCGCTGTCGTGTTCACCCCATCCACCCATACCATTGAAAATATTTCCAGTGTTTAGAACCATCAAAAGACGTCCTTCTTCCTTTTTAGCACTAGACCAGTCGCGGAATATTGCTTGCGAAAAACAGCAAGTCCATCTCGTTCTCTCGGAAGGAGCCACGTGACCTCATGACTAAAGCATACAGTACGAAGGTCGCACCACACGGTCCCGACACTGTAGGCCCCACCAGAGCTTCTCACTACAACTTCGACTGACGGCGCCAATGCAGCCCAGCTGATCAACGACGCAACGCGGCAATGGCCTCCTTCCCCAATGTCTACACACACCGAAAGGTGGCTGAAGCAGCATCAAAACGATGTGAGATCTGCTTCAAGCCCAGCACGAGCGTGCTGGTGACGCCCGACAAGCAGGTTCGTCTCATAATCAGCTCACTACCACCTCACAAGTGGCATGGCCGCATCTCACTCATCGCCCTGATGAGTGTCCAGATGGCCTCCTATTATGACAAGACTTGAAAAGTGCAGGAACTCATCTCTAACTCAGCCCCACGATAGGACTTCTTCTTTGTTTGCCCAGGCCACCTCAAGGACCGTGGGTTCTGCACGCCCATAGTTGACCAGGCCGCTATCGATGCCAAGAAGAAGAAGGACATGGAGGCGGAGGTCGAGAAAGTGAAGAAGGAGTACGAGGAGCGACAGCGCAAGAAGAAGGAGGAGAGCGAGAAGTCCAAAGACAAGGATAAGGACAAGGATAAGGCAGGAGACGACAAGAAGGCCGATGAGAAGAAGAGCGATGAGTCTAAGGCTGACACCGACAAGGTAGGTTGATCCGGCCTGCCTTGGGACTCATCAGAAGTCTGCACACGACATGCAAAGCTAACACTGTCCTTACAGAAGGCTGAGGAGGAGCCAACGGCGGAGGAAGAGCCTCGTGTCTTTGCCTTGCACAGGTCTGCTCAGTCTACCTCCAATAGTGGCCGTCCACGCCTAGAGTACCACATGTCTGACACACTCGCAGGACCTTCCACCAGAACCGAGTATACCAGAAACGGCAGGCCGAGATGGCCAAACGGAACCGGGAACGGATCCAGAACCCCAATTTCTTCCCATCTGTGCCCAAGGGGAATCCTTGACAGTGCCTGGGGGGAACGGTATGCCCTGATCCTCCGGTTGGAGGCGATCAGAGTCATCTGTAAGCCAGATGAGGATAGCACTGAGTTGGCCATGTGCACATGCACTGCATCGTGGATCGTCCCCTGGGCAGACTTCCTGGGGCCATGTCAGCATCGCAAAATATGCCTCGGAAGGGCAACGGTCAGAGTCATGAGTGGCGCTGAGGCGCCGGGTTGTGGGGACAGAGCTGCATCACGCCGATGATAGAGGGAACCTCTCGGTAATGAGAAGTAGTATTGACAACAACGGCCGCGGAGTTCACGTCACGGTACTCTAGCTTCGCGTCGTCATTTGTGCTGCCCCAAGTCACGCAATACTTAGTTTTATCTGCCGGGTCTCAGCTGCGGTCATATCAAAGTACCAGCCCTGACCCAGTCCGCCCTACGCCCCGTTGTCCCAAAATCTGACATGAACCCACGCAAACAACACAACCCCTCCCCTGCTCGTGACCCGGTCCTGGGATCTCTTGGAGATTGAGGCCCTGGCTAGCCGGATTCGAGAGCCGTGCATGTAATGTTTGACGTTGTGCGGCGTGGTCACATCACCGAAATGTCACTAATACCTCTACTCCTAGGAAGGAGGCTGGCACTTGAGCACATACTCATTTTCCTTCTCTGTTCCCCTCTCACTGCAGCAGCCAGCGTCCCGATGACGACGACGCGAGTTGTGCTATGCGCGCTGCATCACGTCGGATGGCGGATGCACCTCTCTGCCAGTGACTCGCTCGCTCTCTTGATTCCTCAAAAGGGGAAGCATTGTCGAGATCGCGCCCAACTTTTCCCCCCCCCCCTAAGGCGCCCGCCGCCATCGGCCGCTATCTGTCGATCAAGATCTTGCCGTTGGCTGGGAGCTGATTCCAGATACGCATTGCCCCTTCGGGGCCAAGTGCTTACCCTTTGCTGTGCCACCCATGGTTCCCCGGGGCCGGCTTCGTCACACCCAAGAGCCCGCCAGGCCCGCGTACCAGTTGGAAGGGAATGATATTGTTTCGGCGATCGTTTGACCCCGCTTTTCCCTGGAGGCGCAGCAGCTGGAACTTAGCTCTTGTTTCGTGATAGGGAGATGCGTCAAGCTCTTGGGAGCTCTCCCGCCCTGATTTGTTGTAGAATACATCCCGTGATTGATAATAACTAGCTCCAGTTTCCCTTACTTGCCCTGTGTCTAGCCACTTAGACGAGCCGACACCTGTCTAAGTTCGCCAGGTGACATAGCTTGTGTAATTTATGAAGGTTCGAGTAAGTCTACCCTAGCGTGCCTTAGCAGAAGCCCAACAACCAACTTGCGGATAACTAGTAGTCAAGATGAAGTGATGAAATGCATAGGGGAGTCCAGCCCACTAGCGCATTGCACTAGAGCCGAATATCTACACCTTCACGTCGCTAATAAAAGTCCGGTCGCAAAAACTGCTAGTCTATCACAGTGCATCGGCTGAGCCATACAACAGACCATAGTCTTATTCTACATGCGGATGATATGCCACAGAAGCAAGTCCCTACGAGTTAGGACACCGACCAACAGCGGGCTTGGGAACTGGTACGCGACCGGTGTGCCGCGGAACAGACTCGGATAGTTGGGCATGATATTTCGCCCCCATATGCAGCACGCTTTAGCAGGGGATGCCACCTCGACAGGAGACGATCGGGGTATCCAGCCATGCGTACTTTAGCCGTATGCATTCCTGGGCCGGGTCTCATGATGGCTCGCAACACCTCGCCAATAAGCCACGTGTTCTGCATTAAGCGATCGCGCCACCACTCCCGTGCCGCCCTCAGACCCGCGGCTCGCCCAAACATACCTAGTAGTCGTAGCGATGTAAGCGCCTGCCGGTGTTCATAATAGCGCCACCAGCGTATGAGAATGCCCTCGGGGGTAGAGAGAGGGGTGTAGGCCTGAACGGGGCCAATGGGGCCGGAGGAACTCTGGGTGAGCCGGCGTCATCACGCCATGGAGATCAATGCATGCAAGAGGGCACTATACTCCTCGTGACACGGGAACAAAAAAATGACAGGTCGACCTGCGTAGGGCTGTGGTGTCACGGTTCCCGCGATCCCCAAGAGGCTGCGCAGGGGGGGCACCTGGGAGGTTGGGGGGGACGGGGGGTGTCACGCCCGACTTTAAGCGATGGGCTGACGAGATATTACTCGCCCGGGCGGGGACACAACAGGAAGGTATTATGTGACCAAGGCCAAAGGGCGAGCATCAAAACCAGCTGGCCGGCCCTCTCTCTCCTGCTCGATCCCGCCAAGATTGCCCGTGTGTGTTATGTGCATGTCTTACGTGCATCAAGCCCTTCTGGGCGGAGGGCCGTAAGCCGCCGTATTCCCACACCTCCTCCAGCCCGTGGGAAACTGGGATGACCCGCCCCCATCGCGGGTCTCATACTACACCTACTACTAGTACTGCCGCTACTATCTCCGTGTCCCGTCTGACTCGCTGTGAGTAAGCAGTCGCTGTCGCTTGACGATGCTACCCAAAGGCCCAAGAGGGCAGACCGGCAGGGCGAGGGGCGGGCCCGCGTCGTCTGTCCCGGGAGGATTGATAGGCTATGTCTGAGTGCCACTTGGGGGCCGATGCAGACCTGTCTTGGATTCGGCCCCCATGTCCCACTCCCGGCCCCCCGACCGGTGGATAATCTCGGTCTCCTTCTTAAATCCGTAACGGAGTGCCTGTCCCGTTCGGCGCTGTGTTACGGAAATCGGCCGTGTCTTGATTTGGCCAAACAATGATGCATACCCGCTCGAACAAGCACGCCGGTCTCGTAACATCACAGTCGTTGGCTGACAAACCAACCGGAAGTTGTACCCATACTACTACTGATTGTCAGTAATTACCGCATGTGAACAATTTGATTCGAAGATGAGAGCGAAAATGGCGTGGGGGACAAAAAAGCTCCGAGTACTTCGTGAAACCAGCGCAGCTTTTGAACAGGTTAGGGAAAACGTTCGGACGGAACTTTCTTGCCTCACTGGCAGGCGAAAGACATCGTTTTCTTCTTCTGTTTCGTTTCCCAACTTCTTAGGTGGTAGGATGAACAGTCACAGAAGTTTGGTTGCTAAGTACTGTGATTTGCATTACTCCGTCCGGTTGTTAATCCATTGTCGATTGTGGTATCGTGGAATTTCTAGCTTATCCGTGGCACTTGAGCATTTACCACTGTATGAAGGCGCCGCATACGTTTCATATGTATAGGTATGTATTAGAAACGAAACAACCTAGCTTACCCATCCCCGTACCCATAGAACCCCCATAACATCGACGCAGAACAGATACCAGACGCCTCAGCACCCTTCCTCCTGAGAGGTGGCGTGCTTCACTCCAGTTTGTGGCCCTCCAAGGGTATTCCCCGTTCGTCGAACAGCTTGCGTTGTTCTTTCTGAAAATGAGACAGACTGGACGTGTGAGGATTCATCTTCCCAGGGGCGGCGGCGATGACCTCCGAGCAGTTCCTAGCGTTGACCCAGACCCAGAAGTCGTCACCAACCTGCTTTTGGAGATCAAACTTGAGTCGCCAGGTCAGGTAGAGACTCCCATCCTGCACGGTATATACGAGTTCATATTCTGGAGCATCCAGAGCACTCCAGAATGGCTGTTTCATTGCCAGTTGAGATGCAGTGTCTCTTGCGTGGAACTGACTGCAGCGCAAGTCCATCGGATTAATAGGGTCAAACTCGCCGTAGTAAATCTGATGTTGATCCACCTTGAACGGGGCCCAATAGGAACCATTTTGAATCCATTGGTTCTTCGTTGCTTTGTGTCAGCACAGTATCATTGCCTGCGTTCGGCAGAGGAAGGACGTGAAATGATTGTAAAACAACACGGCTTGGGTGGCTGCAGCGAGTGCGCTGGCCGTGGTGATTCAGGTAATCGACTTACCACCTCAAGTACGAGCTCCGTGTTATCAACAGGCAGATTTTCATGCATGCTCTGCCGAAAGTAATAAACGTTGTGATGGTGCGGGCTGCCAGTGTGGTCATACCAAAAATACCTCATGTGGTCAAATATAAAATTGAGGCCTTCCAACCCTGGCTTACCATCCCCCAAGGAGGGAGGCTTGATATTTTCTTGGAGAGCGGAGATAGCGTCTTTGACTCCTTGACCCATCTCTGCACCCTTGCAAGAATCTCCTGACTTGGACGAACACTGAATCGGCAAGACCTTTTGGTCCTTTCCAAAACGGGGCTTTTTGGGATCATCGTAAAGAGTCACAGCAGTAACCTTCGGTCCACCCTTTCGGGAGACGTGAGGCGGCGTGCCAAAGAATCGAGGGAAATTGCTTGTAGCAATCATGAGGTCTACCCATTCAACAGGTTTGACAGCGTCATCGGCCATGGAGAGGGAAATAACCAGGGCCCATATCGCCCAGCTCAGAAGGGTACCCATTGTTAAGCGGTTGAGGTCGGGTTTAATATCAGAGAAGAAGGTGCTGAAGAGCCTGTGGAAAAGAAATAGGTACTTGTGAGCACATGATTTATATAGGTGCAATGATTCACATTTAGTCTAAAGTCTCTAGTGAGCGGCGCCGTCGGGAGCGATGCCTTCCAGCCTTGTCTATGCGGTACGAGGCTAAGCTACGTACCCACAGACGTACTATATTCTCTTTCTACTATTATTGGCACTATATTTCTTTAAACGCTATATCTTAAGCGTTTACTACTATATAAAAGTGCCATGTATATTTTATATGTATGTGGATTAAAAATGAAACCATTTTGTCTAAAGTTGGAGCTGCACGTTAATGAGCAAAAATGCAGTACATCATCTCGTGTGAAAAGAAGTCCCGCTGATACTATCTCACGAAGCCTTCGCTAGTCTACAAACGGGTGCCGGCTCTGGTGCGAGCTCGAAGATTCGTGTCATGTTCAACATTCTTTAGCGGTTGTTCTAGCAGTAGTTTGGTATATTACTGCCCAGGTGCTCGGTGGCTGCGATGGCATCAATTGGACCAGCAGAAATTTTCGAGTTCGTAAGTCGCTCAGTACCTAGGTAGCTAGCTGTCAGTCAAATGACAAGGTTTCAGGCATATGAATATATTATCTTCTGGATATCCAACCCTGCCCTTCGTGATATCCTTAGAATGCTCGTGCAGTCTGCGTTCCGGGAATCGCCATGCTTACGGTGCTTGTGTTTCCCGGGACCACCTCAAGGACAGTCCGTCCTGCGCTTGTGCGACAAATATTGCCCATCTGGCTTAAATGATCCAACCGATACAACACAAGTCTCCGTTCCTTGAAGGTCGAGCAAGCACCTGGGTGTGCCCTGATTTCATTAGCTTTCTTCCGTTACGAAACCGCCAGTGCCAACGCATCTTGACTGGGAGCCAGCTGTCCTTTCCATCAAGGTACTATTTGTGCCACAGTATCAAGCCCCTTTTCTTTGCTGCCTCATGCAGGCCGCGGCGTGCATGCGGCTTCTAGTTGCCCGCTTTGGCCATGAGTGGCTGGTTCGGGTCACCAAAACATTCGACAATTGGATTTGCGAGGCAAGCACTGGACCCCTCAGCATTGTACGAGAACTCGCGGCGTTCTAGTCAACGCCGTCGTCAAGACGGTGCCCCTTAGCCTTGTCTGTGCGTCGCAAGGCTGAAGCCATAAGCACCTATGGTATTATAACTATTGTTATTAATATTGTATTCTTTCTAAGCGCTGGGTCTTGAGTGCTTACCACTGTATAAAGGCGCTATATATGTCCTCAGATGTATACGGAATAGAAGCGAAACCACACATTGTACGAGAAAGAGCAGTAAAGCGAGACAGTAGATATTAGGGAGTATAAAGTAAGTAAAGGGGGTATATTTGTTTCTTATTCTATTTAAGTTCCTATTTAGTAAGTTAAAGGTTAAGAATTCCTTAAAAATACTCTATAAAGGCCTATATATCATTTTAGTATTATTCCTTCCTAATAACCTACCCCTCTTTAAAAAGTATTAATACCTTTATTAACTAAAAATATTTATTTAAATTTTATTCCTACTTTTCTTTATTAATTATAATATAAAATAAAATATTTATATATTAAAAATTAAAAGTACTTATAATAGAGATATAATATTATTAAAATTTTATTAACTAAATATTAAAACCCTAAAGTTATAAATATTAAAAGCCTTAAAGTTATAAATATAGTAAAATTCTATTAACTAAACACTAAAACCTTAAAACTATAAATATAATAATATAAAGTATTTAAATATTCTATATTATAAATACTTATTATTTAAAGTTTAAAATACCTTATAATAAATATTCTTTAAGATTAAAGCTATCTAGCTTAGCCTTTAATTTTTCCACTTAATTATTATTAATAATATTTACTTTATTATAATTAATAACTTTATTTTTATTTTTATTCTATATAATAGTTTTTAATTTATTATTAAAACTTTATAATAAATTTATATAAATTTTAAACTTTAATTTATATTTATATTATAAATATTTAAAAGTATAGTTTATAAAATATATTATATTATTAAAAGTTTTAATTAGTTTAATAACTTTATAATTAAAAATAACTTTTTTAATATAATTATTTTCCTAAAATTCTTAATATTTTTTTATTTATTAAAAGTCTATTTTATAATAAAAATCTATTTTAATAGTATAAATAAGTAGGTTAAAAACTTAAGCTTTTTTCCTATTTTTAGCTTTATTTATTATTTATTTAACTTTATTTAAAAGTCTTTATTTATCTTTTATAAATCTTATATTTTTCCTTATATATCTTTTTTAATAATATATTAATATAGCTTATATTAATAATAAAGCTTTCTTATTAATAAAATCTATAATTAATATAAGTAGCTTTACCCTTATATTTAAAAGGAATATACTTTAATTAAGTATTAAAATTAATATAAATAAATTAACTTATAAAAGGAATTAATAGAGAGTTAAAGTATAAAATATAAATAACTACTTTAAAAAAGCCCTTTATAATTAGGTTATTTTTATTATTAAATAGTACTATTTTTAGAGTTTTTAAGGCTTTATTATTAAAGTTAGAATTAATATTAGTAGGTATTTTTACTTTATAATCTTTTTAAAGGGACTCTATTTTTCTTCCTTAATTTTATTCTCCTTTAAATTTAATTTTATATCTTTTTAAATTTTTAAATTATTTAAATTTATATTTAAATTTTAAATAGTTATATTATAAAATAATATATTAAAAAGCTATAAATTAAAATAAATAAAGCTTTTACTTTTAAGGTAGGGTTATTTATTTTAAAATTATAAAATATAAAGAAATATACTTTTTTAAAAACTATATTAATAAATTTATTATAAATATATAAATATTAATTAATTTACTTTTTTAATAATAAATAATTAACTTTAAAAATAGTTATTTAAATCCTTTTATATAGATTAAATAAGAATAAAAATACTTATTATTAGGCTAAGTTACTTTTAATAATTTTTCTATTTTTTAATATTATTAATAACTTTATAAAGGTTTTTATAATAGTTATAAAGCTAATTTAATTATTTTATTAAATAATAATTTTAATATTTTTAAAGTAATTATTAAATTAATAAAAGTTATTTATATTTATTAAATAGTTTATTTTTTAAAATAGTTAAATAATTTTTAGTTAACTTTTATCCTTTTTAATATTAATATTTTTAATATTATAAAGTTATTATTTAATAATAAAGGGATCTTTTTCTTTTAATATTTTCTAATATTTTACTTAACCTTATATTAAATAACCTTAATACCACTCCTTTATTAACAATATTTAAAAGAAAAAAATTATTTAAGGAAGAAATTTTAAAATCTTAAATAATATAAAGAATTATAAAAGTAGTAAATAAAGGCCTACTTTTTTATTTTATTTTTAAAGTTTAAATAGTTATTATTATAAAAGGTTATTAATTTTAATATAATTATATAAAAATATATTAAATAGTTCCTAAACTTTATTACCTAGTTATATTAAGGTTTTATTTTTAAAACTTAAATTTAAAATTAATATATTTAATAAGGTATTTTATTTTACTTATTAATAAACTTTATTTATTAAATATTTATTTTTATAGTTTTTATATAAATTAAATTAATATTAGAAATATTTTATTTAAATAAATTTATAAAATATAGTTTTAAATAATTAATTAAAACTATATTATATTAAAGCTTTTATATTTATAAAAGTTTAGTTAGTATATTAAATAATTAATTTATTTAATAACTTTAAAAGATTTATATATTAAGAATTATATTTTTATTTAATATTTTATAGAATATTATAATTTTTATATAAATAGAAAGTACTCTATCTTTAATATTAAAGAATTATATAAGATATTACTAATTATAATACTATTTAATAGTTATATTTATTAATATTAAAGTATTATATATTTAAATATAGTTTTTAAAAGGTTTAAAAGTTAATATAAAATTTAATTTATAATAATATTAAGTATATTATTTAGTATAAAGCCTTTAATAACTTTATTTAAAATAGCTAATAATTTAAGATTTATTATTATAAAATTTAAATTATATTTATAGTAAGGCTTCTAACTACCTATTAGGATTATTTAAGTTATAAATAAAGTATTATAATATTAATTTAACTATTTATATTATTTATTTAAACTATTTATTTATTTATAAGTAGTATATTATTATATATAAAAACTTTATTTTAAAGAGTTTTATATTATTAATTAAACTTTTAATAAGAATTTTAAATTTTAATTTATTAAAATAATTTTTAAATAACTTTAATTACTATAAAATAGATATTATAAAAGTTTAATTATTTATTTTATTATCTTTTATATTATTTTTTAGGAATAAGTAATAATTTTTAAAAGTTTATAAATAATTAATAGAATTATATTAAATTTATTTAGCTTTATAATAAGTAGTTTAAGAATGAAATTTATTATAATTTAGTAGTATAAATAAAGTAAGTTAAGTATAGGTTATAAATTATTATATATTTTATAATAATAAATATTAAAAATAAGGTATTATAGGTAGTATTAAATAAATTTTTATAATTTTAATTATAATTATTTAATATAATATAAGTAAAGAAATTTATTAAATTAAGTATAATTATAATAACTTTTAAATATATAAGCTTTAAAATATTAATAATATAAAAGTAGGGATATAAAGATATAGTATTTTATTTTTATAAAAGTCTTTTAGATAAAATTTAAATAAACTTTAAAAAGTAAAATAATTTTATTTTTATTTAAAATATTATTTTAATTAATTATATTAAGAATTTTAAACTATTATAAATTTTTATAATATCTATTTTATAGATATTTTTGAAATTTTAGAAATACTTTAATATATATTTATTTATTTTATAGGTTTTAATTAAATAGGAATAATTATATAATTATATTAAT